ATGATGATGATGATGATGACAGTATTGAATCGATGAATGGATTATTCACTTTGAAATTTCTGATAATATACTATCATTGAAACTGTTGTTTCTCATTTGTTGAAACAATAATGATGATGATGATGATGATGAGTCAATTTTTATAGAATATTCTTGATTATATGAACGAAATTAAAAAAACAAATAGATAGAATTAATTAAGACAAGATCCAGAATTTTTTTCTCTAGTTATAAAAACGTATTAATTATTTAAATGAACCATCATCATAATGTTGTTAGTCGATCTTATGAAATGAACATTTACATTAACGACTTCCATATGTGTAAGTGGAAATTTTCATTTTTCTTTTGCCCTTGGTTGGTGGTAGCGAAAAAAATTTTCTTTCACACACACACACACCATTATCATCATTTTTTTTTTTTGACATCAAAAAAAAAGAACAACAAAGAAAGAATCGTTTTAATTAAGCTAATAAATTATAATTAATTTGGATAGAATAAAAAACAAAATTCTTTCTGCTCAATGAATGAATGAATGCAAAAAGTTTTTTTTTCATTTGTGTTCCAGAAACAATTATTCCGTGTTGTTGAAAGTTTTTTTTTGTTTGTTTCCCTCCGAATTCATTGTTGTTGTTGTGCCAGCATACAAATTGGAAAAGTTTATTAGTTTTTCTTCTCTTGATTATAGCAATTAATTTCGACAACAAAACAACAACATTCGTGTGTGTGTGTGTAATTTGGACCATATTCTTACATAATTGAAAAAATGAGCTGTTTTTGTTGTTGTTGTTGTTTGGTGTTGGCAACAATAGACCATCATCATCATCATAGACAAACTCAAGATGGTTTCTCTTTTTTTTGTTCTAAAATTTCCTATGTACACACACACACACACACACACTACATGCGAATGTCTTAATTAACGTCTGATTGTTGTAAGACCGAGCATAATAATTATAGTGCACCCACATTGGGCCACATTTACAGGATTTATTATCAAAGATGTCATTTTTTTCTGGTGTTGACAATTCATTTTTTTCACATTTTATTTTGATTCATTGAAATTTGTGATTAACAAAAATGGGGAACAATAGACAAAAACTTTATAATCCTCTTAATTGTTAGTTTTTTGGTAAATGAATGAATTTTGAATTTTTTTTTTGCTGAAAAAAATCAGATCATATCATTTGCATCAAGAAAGAGAAAAGATCAATTTAATCAGTTCTCATTTCTATCTCCCTCCCTCGCCCCCACATCCACAGTAATGGAAAACAATTAAAGCCATCATGAATCGTATTTTTTTTTTTACTTCTCTAATTGATTACATGTTCGTTTATTTCAAATTTTTTTTTTCATTTTCAATTCTGATTTTCATTTCTTTGTGTATGTGTGTGTGTGTGTGTTCATTATCTCTACTACTACTAACTACACACTGTTGAAACTGATGATTTTCTACTACATCCTTTGTATTCTCACTAAAAAAAAAGAACTTTTTCATTCTGGAATCTTTCATCTTGTTCGATGTGTGTGTGTGTGTGTGTGTAAAGTGCATGGAATTACCATCCCCACACACACACAGCCTCTGTGGGTGCGTAATTTAAAAAAAAAGCTCATTTGTTTGAAAATGAACGAACGACGAGCAAAAAAAAAAAATTTTAATATTAATATTGTTAATGTTAAAAACACAAAGAATCACAGAATACGAGAGAGAGAACAAAACTAGAAATTGTACACTACTGTTTCATCCAAAGTTTTTTTTTTTTCCCCATACAAACTATTAGACCGAATCCAGTCTAAATATTGCTACGCCACATATACACACAATTTGAATTTTTTTTTTTTTTGCTGAAAACCGATTCTCTATTCCGATTCTTTTCCCCACTCACACACACACATGCACAGTTTTTTTTTCATTTGTTTCAGAAATGAAATGAAACTCATCTCATGATGATGATGATGATGATGATAAAATTCAACTCACAGATGTATAGAAAGATACACAGTATTTGTGTGCGTATTTGTTTGCTATAATAACAATAATTAATTAGATCAAATTAATTTTGCTTTGCATGTTTTATTATTATTATTATTGTATATTCTTATTATAAATGCAAAAAAAAAAAAAATTTACTTTTTTTTACGGTTTTACTTTTCAAGCTACACACACACACACATGCTGAGTGAGAATGTGTTGTATGGAACCCTAGACTAGTGTATCTTTGTGTTATCCATCCATATCCTTTATATTTGAAGCTTAATTTACACATCAGATATACAGAAGATTTATTGGACTCATTTGGATCCAACAATTCACCATATGTGTGTGTGTGTGTGTATGTTCGTTTGTGTTTATGTTCATATATATTGTTTTCGGTTCGTGTTCCCATCTTTGTTCTTATTCTAATGTTTCTTAAGAATTTTTTCTCTCTCTCTCTCTCAAAACTTTCATTTAGTATCAATGATTCAACAGCGAATGAGAGAGAGAGAGACGATAATTAATTTAAATATTCTAAATGTGTACATATATATTACATGTGGCAATGGTTTTATCTTGAATTAATAAAAAAAAAATATCGATTGCCAAAAAAAAAGAGTGGGAAAAATTTTCATTTCTTCTTATCACAATGATTGCACATATGGTATCCGTTTTTTTTGTTTTGATTGAAATTTTCATTCACAATAACAAGATATTTGCACTTTTTGTGTAGGCAATTAAAAACGAACCAAAAAATTCGGTTCATTCGAATATTAATTATGGATTTTTGTTCGTTTGCTTTTGTGTACCACAGGTTTAATGATTGTGATCGGCTATTTTTCTTTCTTTCTTTTTTTGTTTTTTTTTTTTTAAGTTCAAGTGAAAAAATTTCGATTACATTGCACAATATATTCATTTGTAAAACAAAACAAAAAAAATGATGATGATAATGACAATCAAAGTGTGTAGTCGTCGAAGAGATTTAAAGATTTTTTTTTTTCTTTTTCTCTGTCTAGAATTTATGGAAAAAAAAATTCATGTGATTGTCTAATGATTCGTTAAGAATGTCTGATGATTTCGGAACAACCATGTTCACTATAAGGTTTATCTCTCTCTCTCTCTCTCTCTGATCCATTTGAACGATTATGACTAATAACCATAATAATTAATTGCTGGAATCTTAGTTGTAGTTGTAGAGTGTATGAATAAAGACAATGTTTTGAATGAAATTTTTTTTCTTGTCCAAAATTTATTAGCAAAAATTTTTTAGAAAATCCTTTTCCCTCGTTAATAATGTTATGTTATGTAACGTTTTTTTTCTCATTCGTTTGAAGAGGTGTGTGTGTGTTTGGAAGTGTTGCAGCAGCCTAAAACGTCAATCATTTCATTATTTCCACTGCTATGGCCATGGAAAATTTTCTTTTTTTTTTTTTTTTTTTAGTTCAAGTTTTTTTTGTACCCATACAAAAATAGAAATTGTTTCATTATTTTATCCCTTTTTGTTGTTGTTGTTGTTGTTGTTGTTTTTGCTATTCAAATTTTTTTTTTTATTCATTCACTTTTTTTTCCTAACATTCATTCTGGCTAATAATTGCAATATTTTAATGAGAATAAAACCTATAGAATATTCGTATGTTGCCTTATGTTGTTGATGATGATGATGATGATGATGATGATGAAGATGAGCCATTAATTTGCATTTCAAGACAAAGCAAAAAAAAAAAAAAAATTGAAATCAAGAACAAAACTTCTTGGTCGTCCTATACTACTTACCAACACACACAGTATCTGTCTGTAGTAAACTTTTTTTCTCCTATTTCCCATCTTCAAGTTTCTCTTTTTCCATAATCATCATCATCATCATCATCGTCGTCGTCGTCGAAACAAAACGAAAAGAATCCAAAAAAAGTATAATGAGAGTGAAAATTTTTCTGTTGTTGGAACATGAGACAAGTGGTGCATGCAAAATGGTTATAATTTTTTTTATTCTCTTTGCCCACTTATTTATGTGCACGTTTTTATACAAGAATGGCTGAATTCTATAAGGAAAAGAGTTGTTCGTCATTGTTGTTGTTGTTGTTTGTTGTTCCTGGTCTGGTCTAGTGTTTACTGGCTGGGCGTCAACAATAACAACAACAACAACAATGACTAGATTATCAGAATCCGGTGAAAAGTAACAAAAAAAAAAATAATTAGTCGATTTGAAACTTTTTTTTTTTTTTTGTTGTAAAACAAGATTCTTTTCATTACGACACTGCTGCTGTAAATTTTTAGCATCCCTTTTTGTTTTGTTTTCAAATTCTAGGAACAATTGCTATAAAATCAATGCTAGACTCTTCGTGTGTTTCTGCGATATCATCAGCCAAGAAATGATAGAATAAGACTGATGAAAAAATTAATACTCGTTTGTCGTTAGTGGCTTCGTTTTCATCTTTTTTGTTGTTGCATTCTTATATTACCTATATATGTAGTATTCGTAATGGAAGTATTATGGATCATATCTTTCTTTAATGGAAAAAGTTTCAGAATAGAATAGAAAATTTTATTATTATAAAATATAAAATCAGTACAGAGAAAAATAGTTGGTTGTTGGCATTGTGTGTGTGTGTGTGTGTGTGTGTGTTTGAGCTCATTAAAAATGTTTTTGAAAATTTTTTTTGATCATCATCACCATAATAATCATTTTGTTTTTTCATTTTTGTTTTGTTTTTTTTTTTTTTCATTGCTTTCTCAATGTTTACAATCCAACAAGAAACATCCAAATAAATAGATGACATGACTGTATAGTGTCGATCAATATCGTGTGATTTTCATTATGCAAAATGCAAAAAAAAAAATCATAATTTTTATTTTTATCGATGAAAAAAATTGATTAAACACAATAATCATCATCATTTAGAGTAAATGAAAATTTTTTTTTTTTTTTGGTTGTAAAAAAATTATAAAATCGTAAATTTTTGTTTCGTTTTGTTTGGGTAAAAAAATTGATTCGATAAAAGTTTGCAATGAATAGTTTTGAAGTTTGTGTTTTTTTGACACATCAAATAGTGATTGATGTATGTTCTTCGTAATGAACAATTTGTTTGATTTCATTTTCAATCTTATTGGCCATCGTTTGTATCATTGGTAAATTTGTTTTAAAATCATCATTCTGTTGCATTAAATCGATAAGTGTGATTAAAAATTTTAACATTTGTAATCCACGTTCAATAAAACGATAATGAAGCTCGATAAAATTTTTTCTATTAAGGCAATATTCTGTTTTCATTTCATTTATCACAGTATTTTTATGTTCAATCTCATTCAACATGATCAACATCATTGATGATAGAAAACGAAAATCATTCATTTTATATGGATAATGAACATTATTATTATTATTATCCATGTCCATTAATATATTGCACCAGGCATCTTCGAAATCGGTTTCCGAACCATCCGAATATTCAAACCATTGATCAGCGATCGATGTTGAATCGGATAATGTTGTAGTCGAATTGTAAAGATATTTCGAATCATCTGAATTTGTTATTACTTGTTGTTGTTGTTGTTCATTATCAACCATATCGATTAACTCGTCGATTATCGATGCACAAACCAATGAATCGACTGTCGATTTTTGTTCAGTTAATTTTTCATCGATAAACAATTTAATTAAAGATGATGATTCTGTTGTATCCGTTGAATTTTGTTGTTGTGTAATAGCCAAACTAATCATATCATAGAATTAAATTAATTTCAGATTTTAAAAAACTTTAGAATTTACCTATTCTCAATAGTTGTCTGGACATCATTATGATGATGATCATCGACCAGATTACAAACAATATTCTTATATTGTACAAGTTCCATATTCATTTTTTCGACATCATCATTGAGCAATTGATTCTCCCTTTTAAGCTGACTATTCTCTTCATCCAAACTATCTAATCGCGTTGATTGATTATCAATTAATTCGATTAAATTGAAAAATAAAGGCAATTTTCGTTGTGTAATGTTTTTCATTTCTAGCTCGTAAGATGACAGCGCTTGTCCTATGTCGATTGTTTTCGTAGCCGTTTCAAGCATGAATCGATGAAATTCCATTGATTTAATTTGAGCATTTTGTTTTGTTTCGATTATCAATCCAATTAATTGTTCATTCTGATCAAATAGATTATCGATGATTTTATTCATAAATAAAATTTTTCCTAAATCATTAAATACAAATCAAAACATTAACAACAATTACGAATACTCGAAAAAAATGACTTTTACCTCTTTGGATGAATTTGGATCGTTGATTCTGTTTTGGCAAAATTTTTTATAATCTTGAAACAATTCCAAGATTGATTCATCTTCATCATTGACTGTCATCGTTATTATGATTTGAGTTGAGCAATATTTTTATAAGGCAGCTTGTTGTTATCGTCGTTTTGATTAGTTTAAAAATGATCACCATTTGTTGTGAAATAACACAATGATGAATGAACACAATTTATGAGATCAAGAGGGTTAACAATAATAGAAACATTTTCTTCTGGTTGCTTGGCAATCAAGATTGGTGTCATAAAAGCTGATGATAATAATAAATAATTTTAATTAGAAAAAAGTTTCTTGTGCATGGTTTGTTGTTGTTTTTGGATAAACACCAACAATCGATAGTGATGGTCTTGACGAAAAAATCGGTATCGATGTCAAATTTTTTTTCTTATTCCTAAAATTCTTTGGATCCGGCACAAAAAATTTTGTTAATTTTTTTTTTTTTTGATTCTTGTGTTTGTCATGCAATCCAATCAACAATCATTTCTTATTTAATTTAAATTTTTTTTGTCTGTTTTGAATTTAAATATTTGAATTTGAATATTATCCACACATTGATTTTCATTTTTCCTAGTTTTTCAATTTTGTTTAATCAAATTGTCAAAAAAATTACGAACAGAAATGCATATACGTCGTTTTGCTAATATAATTATTACGAATTTCGTTGATTTTTCAATTTTTTTTTTCTTCAAAACGGCTGGAAAACAAATTTTCTTGAATTTGTTTAATTCAATTAGATGATTGTTGAAATGAAAATAATTTTTTCTTTCGCTAAATTCAATTAATACAACTCTTATGACAACAGTAGCGACAACAATTGATTGATTTGAATCTAAATATTCGTTATGAATCGAAATCAATATGTCAGTTTTCTATTGTTGTTGTTGAAAATAATATTCTCTGGTGCTGACAAACGAATAATTTATTCGGTCTTCATTTAGTTTTTTTTCTGGAATAAAAAGTATTCAAATCTTTGAAAAAACGAAAATGTCATCTACAGAAGGAACGCTAACACCAACTGCAGCCAATAATGATGATGATGATAGATCCTTATCGAGCAAACATCTTGATATTATTGCAATCGATCTATCTGAATTGGAATCACAATCAATGGCAAAAATTTGTCCAGATGAAACGAATCTAGAACAGAATGGTTATCGATTCAATAGACAAACAGCTATATTATCGAAACCAGGTTGTATGTATTATGCTGAAAAAGTTCCAACGAAACAATCCGATCAACAGCAAATTGTTTGTAAAATAATTCCATTGGATAATTTTCCACGTACACGTGATAAAGAGAATTTTTTGGCCAATTCTATTCGTATCATACGATTTGTTTGCGGTTATAATCGTCCAGAATCAAGACATAAGACATTCGTACGTGTTTATGAAATATTCAAGATTGAATCGAAAATCTACATTTTTATGGATGAATGTAAAGGCAATAATATTCTACAGATGATCAAACATCATGAAAAATTTACACAGAATGAAGGACGTAAATGGATCGAATCGCTTTGTGATGCCATTTTGTTTTTACATAGTCGTGGTGTTGCACATCGTTCTATTAAAATGGAAAATATTATTATTCATACGAACAGCAAAAATAATGAACCACAACATTCACAGCCAAAACTATGCGGTTTGAATCGTTCGGTGATCTATGTTGATCGAATGAATTCGAATAAGATTTTGAAACAAAAACGTGAAACACGTTCATTTGATTATTATCATTTGCCACCAGAATCTTTTCATCGATCAAATTATAATCCAGCCATTGCTGATATTTGGTCACTTGGTGTTATACTCATAGCCATACATACAAAACGATATGTTTTTAATGTAAAATCAAAAATTGATTTCAATCAACAATGGAAAATATTTGCAAAGAAACATGAAATCAATCCAATTGTTGCAAATTTATTGGACGGTATTTTCCAGAATAATCCATCCAAACGATTAACATTAAAATCAATTATGGATCATGAATATTTTCGTGTGGCCGAAGAACAACAAATTGAAATCAAAGAACAGACCGAAACACGTATGATGATGATGATGGATAAAAATAATGAAAATGAAAATAACAAATCAAATAATGTTGAGACAACAACGCCGCCGCCAATACAACCGAATGATGAGATTGTAAAACAATCAGCTGATGATGAAAGTAATACAGATAAAAACAACAACAACAACAACGAAAGTCCGAAAACGTCAAACGACCACCACCAATGATGATGATGCAGAGAATTTCGACTATTTGTTTGACACTTTTGAATATTTTAAAATTAAGTTTTTTTTCGCTTTAATTTCTTTGTAAAAAAAAAAAATTCATTTCTTCTTCATCAAAGAGGAGGAAAACTTTTGCGAAAAATGAATTCTTTCTTTCTTTCTTCGAGAGAGATGATTTTGTCAAGAAAAAAAAATCCAAGGGCAGTTAATATTCCTAAAAAATCAAGCACAATATAGAAAAACAGAGAGAAAAAAATTTTTTTTAGCCATCATTTCACAAATATTGACTTTATTTATTTTCAGTTATTTTATATTCGGTACATCACACACACACACACATTTTTTTTTTTCGTTTCCGACGTTTTTATTTTCTCGCCAACCGTATATACGGTTATATCGTTGTCGTTGTCGTTTGGTTTCAAAAAAAAAAAAAAAAAAAAAATTCACAACGATTGTGACGACCACAGAAGCAATGCGTCAGAAAAAATTGTAGCTACTCTGTAAATATACAACAGCATCTCATTGAACATTTTCATTTGTATATATGTATGTGTGTACGTTGATCATCATCATCATATATTATCCTTCATGGCTCAGAATTAGCCTGGAAGCGATTCGGGCAAAAAAAAAAAAATTTTTTCTCTCTATGATGATGATGTTGATTTAGAGAGAACATGACTCGAAAATCTAAATCGAAATTGGAAAAAAATACACACACACACACGCTCATCACATTACATTCCATATACAATAGTTTTTCATTCAATTCAATTCATTCATCATGTGTTTCTTTCGTCGTCGTCGTCGTCGTTTGCAAATAATCTTCATTTTTTTTTTGCCAATTATCACCTGAAGCAAAGCCTTAAGCTAATCAATCCAGTTTTTTTTTCTTTTTGTTTTGTTTTTTTATTCTAAACCATCAACATTGTCGATGTTTGAAAGATGATGATGATGATGATGATGAAGACCACGATCGACGGAGAAAATAAAAATACAAATAAGCTTTTTTTTAACCAGAAACAAAAAAAATAACTCATTGATTCAAGCACGATATATTCGAGTATTATTCATTCACGATCTTTATCTTTATCGATTAAGCAATTTTTTTTGCACATAGATTATGTTTTAAACATTCAAGTGGTTTTTTTTTTTTTGGATATTCAGAATTATCATCTATTAAATGATGATCCTGATTCTAGACAAGAAAAAAAAATCAAATTAAAATCCACAAAAATAAATAAAATTCAGTGGTCACAATGTTATTTATACAAAAAAAAAATTATTATTCTACATCCTGTACCTACATTTCATGATAATGATGTTCATCATCATCATCAACATTTATCAAACGAACATGATTCATGAATCGCTTCTGGGTTTCAGAATTCTGTGGATATTCTTATTCATTCATTCATTCATTTTTTTTTGTATTCAAAATAGCTATTCATCGTCATCATCATGATATGAATGTTATGGTATGGTTAAGGTGTGTATACAATCAAGTCAATGGTTTTTTTTATGTGAATGTATATTAGAATATACAACAACAACAGAAAATATTAGTACAATTTCGATAGGAATGCTTGAAGCCTTTTTTTTCTCTTTCAATCATCATTTTTATACTCAATTTTATTTTTTCTATTTTAACAATCAATTGATGTATAAATTGAATTGACTACTTACGTATACGTGTGTGTGTGTATGTGTATTCTGTGCGGATTTTATTGATTGGAATAAATTGATTATTCCTTTCATATGATTCTATTGTGGTTATTAATTACCATATAATTTTTAAACATTCGATCATATATTGATTGACCAATCAATTGATTCTTGAATGAATTTTATCCATTTGAATTGAAAAATAAAAATGAATAAATCTCAAATTCAGTTTGTTCAGGCCACACTATGCATATGAAATTTATTTTTATTATTATTATTATAACGAATGCCTAAAGGCTGTATTTGTATGTATGCAGTTTTTTTTCGTCTCTAAAATGACATTCAAATGAAATGTAAACAAAACAACAGACAAACAACCTTAACGTGTCTATAGACAAAATCAACCAATTGGTTGAGGAAGATATCCATTTTGATGAACTAAACACATGACTATCAAACGGTGTGTGTGTGTTGTGTGTCACCCGTCAATAAATTGTTGAAATACGTTTTTTCCATATGTGCGATTGCGATGTTGGTATAGTGGTGGGTGTCATAAAATGAATTATTTGATTTTTTTTTCTTCCACAAAATTGTGTGAGAATCACCGATCGACGATGACGATTTATGTGCGTATTTTCTTCAATGGAAATGAAATTTAAATTTTTTTATAATTGAAGAAAAAAATTTTGTCATTTTTTTTCTTAATTTTTTCTTTATCACTGATTTATCATTATTATCAACCCATAACCATCAGGTTGTGTGTGTCTATGTGTGTGTGAATGACCATAACAATGATGATGATGATGATAATGAGATTTAAATTTTTAATTGCTTTGTTTGTTTGTTGATTTTTTTTCTCTGTTGAAAAAAAAATGTCACTGAACTTTATCATATATCATCATCATCATCATAATCGGTCATCATCATTGATATATAAGTCACAATAAAAATCAAATTTGGTACAATCAAATTTTATCATTTTCAATTAATCACAACAGCAGCAGCCACAACAACAAGACTTTTATTTTTACATTTAAAATCAATCAACTTTAAAATGATGAAAAACATTTGTCATTCAACTGATTCTCGTATTTGAATTTGATGACATGCACATATTTTTTGATAGATTACTATCAATTTACATATAAAAAAACTACCTATATATAAATCTTATCGATGATGTTTTTATTTTTTCTAAAACATTTTAAGATGATTTATTATGATAATTTGTTTGGTTGTTGTGGTTTTTTTTCTCTTTATTCTCTTTTTCTTCATATTCATTGATCTTGATGATGATGATGATGATGATCCTGGTGATGTCCAGTGATGTGTCCAGTGTCAGAATCAAATGATGGAAAATGAAAAAAAAATGATTTGGGTGCCCATTGTGTGTATGTAAAATTCCTGTTTGAATTTTTTTTCCTTTTTGTTTTCAATATATTTATGTTATGATTACCACCTTTGAGGTCATGATGATGAATTGAAAATCAAGAAAGAAAGAAAGAAAGAAAAATAAAAATATCCACCATCAATGAATGGTAGTATCATCATTGTTTGTTGGATTTACATCTTTTTTTTCAATACAATGACCTTGCCCTTTAGGGCATAAATGCATCCACATCATCACAATCAATGGACGTATTTATATATCAAACATAGCCAGACCGGATTACTAAACAAAACAAAAAAATTTTTATTATCATCATCAAAACTATATTTCTTCAGTGTTCATCATCATTTTTATATAAAACCATACGGCACACAACATTATGAGTGTGTATGCATCAAACAACAACGAATTTTGCCTCAAGATACAAACAAATATGAGAATGTACAGCCACGATTTATCAACATATGAATGATGTAAAACTCTGTGCATGTATGCATTCATTCAACTGTCCATCGATGATATATTGAATATAACCGATTTAAAGAAAATTCTTATTCTTATATTGTGTCTGTATATAGTCATTATTAACCCTTTTATAAGTAGCATATTATCATTATCAATTTACAAGCATTTTGACAATTGTGTACTTTACACAAAAAAAATCATCAATACATGCTCATCATGCACCTTAATATAGAATTAGAATCTTTTTAATAGCTCGTAAATATCATCAATAGTGAAAAAAATGAAGAAAAATTCAAGACCAATACTTCATCATTTCTTTTTCTGGCATTGAAATTAGTGTTATGAAAAAAAATTCCATATTTTCATAGATAAAAACGTGTAAATGGAGCCAACAAAATAAAAAATAAAAAAATTAGATGACACCAGCCCTAAGGAAGGATGGTGATGTCTATGATGATGAAATATAGTTATTGTTATTATTATTTGCATTGGTATTTAGCATCTGTGTGTGTGTTTGTGTACACATATATCTGACGATGTGATGTAAGATTGTTGAAAAGAAGGAAAAATGAAAAAACGCCAAACATAGCAAAAAAAAAAAAAAAATATAACCAAATAGATTTTACTACTGCCCGAAAATTGCCTAAAGGATTTTTATTTTTTTTTTTTATTTTCTTTTCATTTTCCAAATACAAAACACACAGAGAAGGATATGTGCTGTGTGTGTGTGTGTGTGTGTTCTGAATGTTCTTGAATGCATTTGAGAAAAAAAAATGAAAAACTAAATAAAAATGCTTCAAGGCATGATGATTTTTTTCTGGTATATAATGCCACTGATGATGATGATGATGATTTTTCGTATCGATACACGTTGTTGTTGTTGTTGTTTGAATGAATAGTGTTTAAGGGTAAATGAAGTGAGGTGAATTTGTTGTTGTTGTTGTTTTCTTGGTTGTTTGCTATTGATGATGTAATTGTTATTGAAAAAAAATAGCCTAAAAATGTCTATTGGGAAAATGTTTTTTTTTTGTTCATGAACGATGATGGTCAATCGTTTGTGTGTGTGTGTATGTGTTTGGTTGGTTAGTCGATTAGTTGTTGATTGGCGTGTGTGTGTATGTTCAAAATAACAAATGATGTTTGTTTGATGGACATACATTTTTGCTGAAAAAAAATAACCTGACACTGACACACAATCATCCAAAAGAATTTTTTTTTATCTCTTTTTTTCCAAAATCAATCATTTCAATGACGATAGATGCAAAAAAAAATTCCCATATTCATTTTTTTCCGGTTAATGATTATTATTTTCTATTTTCATTCATTCAATCAAGTTTATAATTAGTGTTGTGAACAGAGAAAACTTTTTATCCATCAATGATGTTGATTTCTTTTTTGGATCATTTTTTTTTGGGAGGAGGGGTATTTGGAAATAATTTTTTTTTGTTGAATTTAAAATGCACATATCAATCTGACAATATTCATACCTTTAGGTTATTTCACCATTCATTTGATTGGCTTTCGTTTCATTTTCTTTGTTGTTGTTGTTGTTGTTGTTCAAGTCTATTATTACTATTTGAAGTTGTTCAGATCGGGTTTTTGTTTTTTGTTTTTTGTTTTTTTTTTTTTCGTTCGTTTGTTCAATGATATATATTTTTTTCAAAAAAAAAATCAACCACGGAAAGAAAAAAAAAATTTATCCTTGATTTTTGTTTTCTATTTTAAATGAAAATATATAAAAAATTTTAGGTCCACAAATTTCATTGACATTAATTTGCTTGAGGCAATCAAACGATGATGATGATGATGATGATAAAAATCGAATGTGTATTTTTTTCATTCATTCATTCGCTATTATTATATTTATATAATGAATAATAATAGCCAAAAGGCATCATCAACAATGTGAAATGTGTGTGTGTGTGTGTGTTGGTGTGCATTAAAGTTTGTTTTCAGGGCTTTGCTCTGTGTTGTGTGTGTGTGTGTTTTATTTCATGTTTTTGCCTGAACTTGTTATATATGTGATATGAAATGGTTCCAATGTTGTTTGAACACTATGATGAAATGAATACAATGTTCTGGTTATTTAAGTTGTTTGAAATAAGCACAATGTTTTTGTGGATGACCAATAATAATAACAGAGGTGTTGCTATTTGGATGCAACAATATGATGATGATGATGATGAATTTTCTATGAAATACTCTCATGTTTGATCATTTAAACATCAACATTATTCACAATCCAACCATTTTTTTTATTCAACATCTCTATCCTCATCACTATATCACAAATAAATAAATATATAAAACGTTAACAACAATCATCAATGCTTCTACCCGAATGTAGAAATGAAAAACTATTCACGTTTTAATACCACCAAACGGCTACAACGACGACGACGACTCAAAGATTCTCTTTTGCTTTTTTGCTTCATTGATATAAAAACATGATGACTAGACTACCGCATTCGGCACTTTAAATTTGGCGCCATACCCGGCACACAAACAACAACATGTTATGTATGAAAAATACGTGAAAAATTTAAATTTTTTTTTGCTCTGATAAAAAAAAAAATTTATCATGTAATTATGCAACGAATCGATTGATTAAACTGGAATTTATTTTTTTTCGGTTCAATCATAATTTGATCTTGCCATCAGAAAAGAAAAAAAATCAATCAAACATTTGATTATGTTTTTTTTCCCGAAGAAAATCAATCGATTTCAATGTTCATCATCATCGCCATCATCCACATCAAAATCAATCAAATTTTATTGTGTTTGACCGATCAATATCCTCATCATCATCATCATCATCATCTATTATATTCAAATTATATGGTCAACTATTAGTGTTTGCTTGCTAATTTAAATAATTATCCATCATTCAATCAAGATAAAGAAAAATACTGAAAAATCCTGAATTTTTAATTCCGTAACAGGACTAGATCACGTATCCTGCTATTCGTTATTATTTTTCAATCATTCAATTGATTTGATTTGATCACACACACACACATCACGTCACATCACATCACATATGTGTGTTTAGCAAACTGTTGCTTGTTTCGTGTGAACACACACACAAAAAAAATTCTTTCAATCATCACGAACCATCATCATCTGCATTAAGTAATATACAGCCAGTTTTGTTCAACAACAACAACAACAAAAAGACAATAAACAATTGTTTTCCTGAAAACCACAAAAAAAGAAAAGAAAATTCCATTCACAATCAACAACGAATACTACAACAATACTCACGGTATGTTATTTATTTTCTACCTGTTTTGTTTTGTTGTTGTTGTTGTTGTTGATGCTGGAAATACCATCAATAATAATTGTTTGCCCTTTCTTTGGTTAATGTTTTTTTTCCTCACGTTTCGTCAAATCTTTTTTTTTTTTGGCTCCAATGAATGCATCAAACACATTGCTGAATACCATATATACATTTGATGAACAAAACTAGTTAGTTATTAATAATATAATATAATATGGTCAGTTTTAGGTTTTTTTTTCATTTCAAACAACAATTGAAAGAATTGTTTTCTTCTTTTCGATTGTATGGATGGTGTTTCAAGTTTTGTTTTTGTTGTATACCACCATCACATCTCTCTCTCTCTCTTATTATTATAGTGATTCATCTTTTTATCGCCTGATATTTTTCTGTTTATAGAAAAATGAACAACAACAACAACAACAACAAAATGCCTATTTTTACCAGCATAAAGATGGACAAGATGATTGTGATGATCAGTGAATAGATAAGGATGATCTATGAAATTCACATCAAATAATCAGTTATCAGATCTTTTGTGATGATGATGATGATGATGATAGTGTTAAAGTTAATTTAAAGACCAAAAGTTTTTTTCTTTTTTTTTCTCGTCTTTTCATCATCATCAACAACAACAACAACAACAAGAAATTGATTAGCTTTTCACCTGATTGCCTGTGTGTTTGATTTTAGTATACTGTCGCATTTTTTTTTTTTTCGTTAGCGGTCTGTTTTACCATTGTTTACTTGTTTTTTTGTTTTTGTTTCATTTAAATTAAATGATGCCTCAAAGCATAATAGTCGTTAATTAGCAACATATACGTATATTGTCTATATATCGATGACCAGAATTTATTGATTATGATGATGTTTGGCAATGATTTCCACAATATACAAAGTTTTTCACTATAATTTAATTTGTTCTGATTTTACAACTGATGGACATTTATTGATTATATTAGTTGATTGTGCCATTCATTATGACAATGATGATGATTATCGATTTTGGATAGCTAATGAATAAATCAGTTCAAAGTGGTCTGGCATATATAATAAAATCAATCAAATTCTATATTGAAAATCAAACAAAATTAATATGATCGATCGATTGATTGTAGAAAAAATTTAACCGCCATATAATCAATGGCAATCATTGTTATCTTATTGTTCATGTAATTGACGCAATTCAAGTTTTCGGGCTAGTTGAAAATGAGCTAAACATGAACAAAACATGTTCTCATATTGATTAATCCTTTCTGTCCGAACTTTGTCAGCAAAATTGCCATCATTTATTACTGATGACATTTTATATATTGAAAACATCATCAATGTGGACACTGGATTTTTGTTTGATTATGAGATTTATCGATGAAAATAATGGCTGTACGCTCACACCCAAGAATGCCAATAGGGCTATGATAAAGACAAATAATTCATTTTCATTACAATCTGAATAATTTCTTTAGCCCATTGGCATCGTCATTCATTTGGATTTTTTTTTTTGCTTGTTTTACCTAGATGAATGGTGAATCGAATGCACCTTGAAATCATTTATATCTTCAGGCAGACGACGATAAATGTAATTTTTTTTTGTTTCTTTCAAGTCTAGTTCTCATTTTAAAATTAATCAAACTAGAAAGATTCATGAACAACATTCGATTTGGACAGACAGAATTGTTCTTGAGAACATCATCATCATCATCATCATCAAATGTTTTACCTCTTCAATAAACAAAAGAAATTGTGAATCAATTTTTCAAGTTGATTAAACATTTGATTAATTACATTTGATGTGATTGAATTTAAATGGAAAAAAAATTCCACTTTAAGCTTTTCGCTATATGTGGTCAAATATTTGATTCACCATTGATGTTGCAATAGCTATATGGCACACCTAAACTTCTTATTCTTTTTTTGTTCTTATTTTATGTCGGACATTCATTTTTGATTCATTCTTGTTTATATTTTCATTTCATTTCATTTTCATTTTTTTTTCTTTCGTTTATTTGAATGGCAGACCTTTTTTTTCTCATTCGTTAAACAAAATCAAAGATCAATCAGCAACAATGAGCGTATTGTCTGGAGTAGTTGGCTCCGGATTAGAGCCAACAAATGCATATCTAAGCAATAGTTCAAATTCTTCACCGGCTCGTACATCACCTACAAATTCAATATATTCGAATATAGTCAATATGAATCATAAGATTTCTGGCATACCATGTGTTGCTGCTGCATCACGATATACAGCTCCGGTTCATATTGATGTGGGCGGCTCAATCTATACATCTTCACTGGAAACATTGACCAAGTAAGTTTTTTTTGTTGTTGTTAAAATTTTCTTGATGTTGATATAATGTTTTTCTTTGTTTGTTTGTTAATAATAATTTTCAGACATCCGGAAAGTAGATTAGCTCGTATGTTTAATGGTTCAATACCGATTGTATTGGATAGTCTTAAACAACATTATTTCATTGATCGTGATGGCAAAATGTTTCGTCATATATTGAATTTTCTACGTACAAATACATTGGTCATTCCGGAAAATTTCGATGAACTTGATCTTCTTTATGAAGAGGTAAAATTCTATGATATACAACCATTACTCAGGTATGATTGATTTCGAATATATTCGGCCAGCAACTTGAATGAATTTTCTTTTCTTTTTTTTTTTTATTGCAGACTGCTTGAACAAGTTCGAATGAATAAACGAGCTCAAGATTTGCATCATAGTCGTTGTTGTTCACCCAATGAAAATGGAATGATAACTGAACGTTCGAAAAATTGTGCTCAAATTCTTTCAACCAAACGAATTCGTCTCGATGATTATGGAGATTTGATTGATCAAACTAGAATCAATAGCAATAAGAAAAATATTTCGAAAACAAATTTTAAACTTTCTAGTTCTTGTATTAATAGCAATACCTCTGATAATGCTGATTCACCAAAAGATTCTAATCTGGAGAATAATGAATGTATTTATCAATGTTTAGCGGTTAATATATCACCCGAACTAGGTGAAAGAGTCTGTATAAGCGGTGAACGAACTTTGATTGAAGAAGTCTTTCCTGAAATTAGCCAAAATATTATGGATTCAAGTAAAGCAGCTGTATGGAATCAAGATGCTAAACATGTGATCCGTTTTCCATTGAATGGTTATTGTAAGCTGAATTCATTACAAACAATTGTTCGTCTTTTGAATTATGGATTCAAAGTGATGGCTTCTAATGGTGGTGGCGTCGAAGGACAACAATTTTCTGAATATCTTATGGTACGCAAATGTCCATCATCTTGAATATTGTATACATAATCATCAATCATATCAACTAACTATATGAATAATCATAACATTTTCTGTTATCATTATATATCATATATAGCACCGATAAATAATATATATCATCTTCTACTTAATATCAGTTTGATTGTTCGTTTTTTTTAGAATAATTTATTCATTATAATCATTTTTAATTTGATTGCTGTGAAAATATTCATTAATTGAATCTATTTGAACAAACAAAATAATTATCAACATTGTCCAGTGTTCAAAAAAAAATTCTGTCTTTCTACTTTATAAATCCAATTCAAACCTGAATGACCAACCAATCTTCCCGAAAGCAATCGATTTCAAATTATGAGCGTAAAAAAAGAAAATTCAGAATTATAAGATCCTATTAAATTAGCTCAGTTTAGAATAGATCATGATGGCGGTGAAGAGAATCGTGTTCAAGTCAAAAAAAAAAAAATGGAAATAGAATATTTTGAACAAACAAACACGATGAACACATCACATGCATTCTATTAAATGTCCGTAAGGCAAACACATAGAATACAAATATGCACCAAACAATTTACCAAATTTCATTGACAACCATTGATATATTTTCCATTTTGGGATGAAAATTCCGAACGCAAAAATGACTTCTAGCAATCTTTTTTCTTTCAATGGCTGGGCCCTTTCTTCCTCATATTTTCGAATTGGTTACCGTTTGATGATAATACTCTCTGTCTTTCTGTACATGCTATCCAATATTTGCTTGATTTTTATGTTAACATAGCCCATGGATATGTGATGCCATCATTCTAGTCATAGTGCTATTAATGTTAGTGCATGAGAACCGATATGAAATTCAACGGTTCCTGTTGTTGTTGTTGTTGTTGTTGTTCAAGTAAACAAAAACTCAATCCGGTGATATATTTTTCCACTCGTATATAGATCTTTCATGCTAAAGAAAATGCCTTGAGCAAATTTTTATTCATTTGCCACTATCTTCATTTTCCTTGAATGCAATACTTTTCAATGATGATGATGTTCCAAGTGCCAAGTTATTATACAGTTTTTCATAAAATTTAAAAAAAAAGAATTTATCGAAAATGGGGCGCTACAGTCGATAACCTGTTGAATTCTCTGGTTTGTAGTTTGTTTTTTAAGCAAATAGATGGCGTTACGCATCAAATATTTAGCTTATTTATTCATCACACATTTATCGAGAAAAAATTAGCAAAGTTTTTTTTTTGTTTAAATATCCATATTTTTAATAATTATGTTGTTTGCTTAAAAGATTCACAAATTAATGAATGAATAAATCAAAGCAACAAAAACGAAAAGAGTGGTTTGAATTTTTTTTCCAAGTAATTTCAGAATTGTTTTACATCCACTATATTGTGATTAATTGGTCCACATTGAATGTTTTGTTTGGTTGATTTCAATTTGAAGAGTCTATTAAAAATCATTTCATTTTTACGATGAATAAAGAAAAAAAAATAGTAGAAAGAAAAAAAAAAATAGTTGGAAAATGTATAGTAATTATAAAATGAGATGTTGTTGAGCATTGCATTCATTGATGACAATCTGAATGAAGAATTGAATCATTTAATGACGATGATAAATGTCAATCTGGACAATTGTGTGATTATGATGTCAACTTTTTTTCATAAAAAAATGTTTGGTATGTCAAAAAAGTCCTTTCTTTTTCTTTTCCTTATTTTTTGATCCATCCAATTGAAGACTGTAATATGGAAAAAGTAAACATTTATTCAATTTAGTCAAAAATATTGCAATTATATATAAAATAAAAATTAAAATAATTCGGTCCCTTTTGTAGTGTATCATCATCATGATAATTAAACCGGAAAATGTGATCAAATAGAATCTAAATATGATAATGATAATCACAAAAAAAATTGGGGAAAAATATGGCCTTCTTATGGGGAGGACAGCTTTCTTTTTTTTGAAGAAAAAAATGGCAAACATATCACAACAACATAATGAAAAAATAATAATTTAACAAGCAGGCAGCAAACAAAATGAAAGGAAAAGAAATTATTTAGTTAAATAATAATAAAAAATAAATGAATATATGATGAATGAAATAATTGAAATGATTCTCATTGTTTACGTATGGTCGAAAAAATGAATGCTTTTTTCAGGCCACCAAGTTTGAGGGCATTCTTCGGTATATAAACCAGCCTATCGGTTCGAACATCGATGCACGATTTAGAATTCCTAGTTTTTTTAATGTTTTGTTTTTAGGTTCATTTGTTTGTCGGAAAAACGGTATATTGATAACAAAAAAAAAATAATGGAAAGGAAGGAAAATAATTTAGGAAAAAAATTAAAATAACAAAAAAAAAATCTAATCAGTCAAAGTAAAATACAAACATAAGATGATAACATAAAACAGATGATGGTCAGGCAATGTTTGGTCACAAATGGATCACCCTTCACAAATATACACATACATAGACATTTCATATCGGTAGGAGTAGGAACGGTAGAAAAAAAAAATACAATAAAAAACGACTTACTCTTTCATATTTAGATCCAATGTATTGACACGACGAATTTCTTCCATATCTTTCGATACTAATTCGAATGCTGCTTTTTCTTTTTCAAATGCAGCCCTTCTTTCGTCTACTTCTTGACGTTGTTGTTCCAATTTTTTAGCCATCTCTTCATGTCGTCTCATATACTAAAAGTAATTCAATTAATAAACAAGGAATTATCATCAAATATGACACAAACCTCTTCTTCCGTTTCTTTAAGTTTATGCAATTTTTCTTTGACTTTTTGTTCGAAAACTTGTTCCATTTCGATTTCCATTCGTTTCATTTTTACATCATGTTCTTTCTTTTCCTCTTCCATTTGTGCTAATGGATTCCTGTTTTAGGATAAATCCAAAACAATTATTCAAGAAACTTTAAAAAAGAAATTCGCAATAAAGAACAAGACAAAAGATATTGAGAAAAAGGAAAATAGGTTGATAATCAACAGGACAAATAAAATTTAAATTGGTGGTGGTGTTGATAAGACTAAAGTTCTGACTGGTTTGGACAGAGCTTACCAGAACACCATTGTAGATTTTGAATTTCTGTTATTGCCATGATCGCAAACACTTTAGATATATTATCAATCAAGAATTTTATGAAAAGAAAGAGTTAAAAGCACGATGATTTAAGATATAGAGATAAAACAGAAATACGGAAATAGAAAGCAAAGAGAGCGAAATTTATGAATAAAAAATCAGACATACTTGTTATCTTTTCCTTTAAGTGCCATTTCTGGTGAAATACCAGTCAATTTACGGCAACGATAATTTTCATAATGAACATTATTGGTCGTTTCAATCAAATCCAACATATAATGTCGAATCAATAAATTACGTAATGCATGAAAATCGCAATGTTCCAAACTTTCGACTAAAACAAAAATTAAATCAAATTCATTAAAGTTTGAAATTAATATCAATAAACAAATTTAAAACATACTTTCAACCAATCCCCAAGGATATTTACGGCCACGTTTTCGTTCACCAGCCACCTCAAGAACATAGTTACTTCCAACCACTGCAAATGGAACACGGCTTTTAAATGATTTCAATAATTTACTTTCTTCTTCATCTTCAGGATCGGGAAAGTCATAAATTTTTATCTTATTCTGGTTGATTTCATTCATTATCTGAAAAAAAGAAAAAAATTTAGTTTTGGAAAAATATGAATGATATATAATGGAATTACATTTTTCTTGAATGCTGACAATTCTTCAGGTGTGAATGCATCAGCTTTAGCAATGACAGGTATAATGTTGACTTTATCATGAAGATGTAACATGAATTGTATATCGATCGGTTTCAATGAATGTCCCGATGGGGCAATAAAATAGAGGCAACAATGAACTCGACTATCCTGGATATGAGTTCGATGAACACGTGTTTCTGCATTCAGATATTCTTCATATCGTGATTCGATAAAATTGACAATCGGTTGCCAACAATTAGTGTTATCCACAGCTGTTCCATATCCAGGTGTATCCACAATGCTTAGGTAAAGATTAACTGATTTTTCTTTCAACGATACACGAGTCTGTTCCACTTCAACAGTTTTTGCAGCACGTTTTGATGGACCAGGATATTCTGGTGAATAAATATCGGTCAAAAACATTGAATTTACCAATGTTGATTTGCCTAGACCAGATTCACCAACAACCATCAATGTAAATTCGAATCCTTTTTTGATTGTTTTTCGATGTATCTGATTCGGAAGATGTGAAAATCCAACAAAATGTTCGCCATCTTTGGTAAGACCTGATGACTTCAAGTCATCAGTATTTCGGCTTGAGAATCCCATTGATTCTAGCCGATCACGTGTATAATCCTTGGTTCCGTTACTTATCGTCGATGTTGGTGATGAAGAATCGCGAAAATAATATTCACGTTTTGAATTGAGCTAAATAAATGAAATAAAACATTATTAAATCATGACTCTAGACAATTTTGTTTCGTTTTGTTCGTATGTATGAAAAAACAGCAGCAGCAACAGAAGACTTACGGCATCATTTTTACTCAAATTATTAACCTCATCATCACATAAATCATGACGACTTTTTCCCCGTGACAAACTCGATGAAGGATTCATTATCGATGTTCCGTAAACATTACCACGCTGTGCTAAACGTTCAACACCGGCAAAACGATAGCCACCTCCATACGAAGGCGTCGTTGCCATCCGTGATGAATCATCTTCATGATGTTGTGTAATGATTGGTTGTTGATGATCATGATCATTTAGTTGCTGCGAATATGGTCGATACTGTCCACTCGGTACACTTAAATAATTATAGCTTGATGTAGGTGTTGTCGCCTGTATCGAGGTAACATTTCCGTTGGTCATAAATTGTTCACGAAGTGATGCATTACGAACACTAATAGATGATGATGTTGATGGTTGATAAGTGGAAAATGTGTAGGACATCGGTTGATTAGTTACCGATGATGTCGACGGAGGCGGTGAATAAAGATTTGATGATGAACGATAATGTGAAGTGGAAAATATTGAATTTGGCCTTGTAGGAATTGAATCAATCATTGGCGAATTCGGTACAGATTTTTGTCCATTATGTGTCGTTGTTATCGTAATGAGTGTATTGGATGCAACCGATGATTGTTGATGCGAATCATCAACAATATTTTTCGCTACAACCGGATATGATACTGTTGTCGATGATTGAATACCTTTTCCTATAGAGGTATTATTTTCCCAACCAGCCATTAATGATTGAAAATTTGTTGCTGTTTTAGGGCCACCACCGCTACTTGAAGAACCAGATAATTCTTTTGGTCGTACAGGTTTCGATGGTGTCGAACGAAAAACATTCATCATGATTTTGATTTCGAATGATAAGGAAAAGAAACAACCAGTCAAATTCAAAGTCTAATCAATGAATGAATCGAAATTCTTTCGGATGTCAGTGTTTTACTCCAAAACAAAAAAAAAGAATCGAAAAAAAGTAGTAGACAACGATATATTTTTTTTTATTTTGTTATTCTAACATTGTCCAATCAACTCCAATCAATAATAATTGAACCTTAAGACATACACACATACACGAAACTGACGGAAACTGGATTGTGGGTGGTAAGGCATTGATATCCGAAATAAAAAACGATAATTCGGTTTGCGTGCCAATCATTCATTCTATCCCACATGTCCATCAACAATGACAAACCCAATTAATCGAATCATGAAGGCAAGAAAAAAAAATTATAGTAAATTGATGACAATACCAATAATATTAGTTACATAAAAAATTCGTCGAGGACATTTGTTGTTTTCAATTTCATTTCTAAAAATTTTCTTATTTGATCAACAAATTCGGCCAAATATTATGGCATGTCAAACTTGAAAGTTTTCTTTCATTCATCAAAGGAAAAAAGGCCATCAATGGACAACTTGTTGCCAAAATTGTTATTGAAAGCTAATCAAATATACATTAGAATAGCGAAAGAGAATGAATGGAAATGATAATTGTTTTGAAACCAATCAACATCAATGATTGGCAATTTGATCAGAAATGAAAACTTTCAAAACGATGCAAAAATTACACAAACAAAATTTTTTTGTTTCGAAAACATTTTTTTTGCCTATAAACCAAATATGGAAATGAAATCTATGTGTAATCTAATGGAGAAAGGGCTGGGTATCTTTTGCATGTGTGACAGGTCGCTTTTTTTCTCATATAAAATTGTTGATGATCGCGTGCGATCGTACGCCCAAAATAAAAAAAAACAATAACAACCTTGATCATGAACAAAAATTTCATCAAACCAAAACGGAAGTGTAATAATAATAATAAACTGGATGACAGCAATATGTAGCGATATTATTAACCGATTATATAACTGAAATTGACTTTAGTTGCTGCTGCTGCTGCTGTTATACGAACAATATATATAGAGACATATTTGTCATATGATCATCATTTACATAACTTAATACTGTTGATGATGATCAATGATTATTCATAAATATAGAAAAGAAAACTTATTCAAATTTACTTACCGCTAAAATTTTTTTTATGTGACCCAAAAGATACGATACGATATATGTGATTATTACCCATTTATTTACGTTCATTTATCCAATGATTTAGGTCAAACATTCGATGGTTGATGATGATGATGATCAAGATGGAAATTTCAATGAAATATTTTCATTTAAATTAACGATGAAAAAAATAATCATCAATTCGAATGAAGAAATATAGAGGTAAAAAAAATGAGAAGAAAAAAAAATCAAGATAAGTTAAATATGCAACAACACAAGACAAGAGTTTTATAAATAGTAAATAAATAAATAAAAAAATTGTCTGATTTTCGTCGTTCAAATGAGATTGAAAAAGGGGACAAAATTTTTTCGGAATTCAAAAAAAAATCGACAAAATAAAATTAAACAAAAACAAATCTCACATCGAGTTAAAGCCGTCGCCACTTTGGTCGACTCTTTTAAAGTTTCATCAATTTTTTTTCTCAACATTCTTATCAGGTATATATTATATCTGGTTGATCATCATCACACTTATTTATTTTCTTAGGTTATTTTCAGGTTGTTTTGTTGTTGTTGTTTCTTCTTTTTTTTTGACAGGTAAATGAGTGAGATCTTATATAGTTATTATTATTTGGTTTGCATGTGTGTGTGTTTGATTGACAGATTAAAGTCAACAACAGTCATTTTTTTCTACCAAAAATAAAACTTTAAAAAGAAAAAATAAAAATGAATAAAACTATTTGATCAGTTTATCTGATTTGACATTCAACAACAACAGAAAAAAAGTGAAAACAATGGCATAAAAACATTTGACACATTTCTTTCTATATGATGATATCCGAAACTGCTGTCTCTAGCAATCAATCTGATCAATCAAAATTGTTGAAAATGAAAATGAATAACTTGTTCTCGTTTTTCGATTTGTTTTTGTTTTTGTTATTTCATTTTCATACTCGAAAATATGTAATTTATAAAAACGTTGTCGTTGTATGATCGAGGTAACCACTTTCAAAATTCGTTGCTGATCATATAAAAAAATTACAATTTAAAATCGACGTACTCTTTGTATATAATAACAATAATATTGATACGATCCTAATACAAAAAAATTTCTAACGAATATGATCTCCTCTCTATGTGTGAGTGGCGTTAACAAGAACGATTTTGTTATGAAAGGAAATCGAGCAAGTAGAAGAAAACGACAATTCTATTTGACGACATTCATTTTGTCAAAATATTAGTAATGATATCAAATATTACAATGACAATTTTGTTATAAAATACACACACACACAAAAGGAAATATAGATCGAAACATATTGATTTACACTATTATATTGTTGTTGTTGCTAAAATAATTTCAGATGAAAAATGAAAATCACATCCTGTTTTCTTTTCAATTAATTAATGATTATAATTTATTGGGTTTGAAAATTACAAGTTTTCTGCCATCTAGTTTCTGGTGTTTCAAATAATATTTTTGGGTTTTTTTTGGGCCTAATCTATAGAAATCAAAATGAATCAAACTCACCAGTATAACGTCGTGTTGATGCAGTATAAGCGCCACTTGTATAATCACCGGTTGTAGAAGCAGCAGCTGAAGCGGTGGTTGTTATACCTAATATTGTATCCGGAAAAGATAATGGTATTGATTGTGGTTGTATGGGTGCCATATTTTAAGCGTTATATTACAAAAATCATAAAAGAGGAAAAACAAAACGAAAAAAATAATGAATCAATCAGTAATGGATATGAAAACAAAGTTTTCAAATGATGATTATTATGATGGGAACACACACACACACAAACACTAAACAAACAAATATTTGTAAAACAAAATTGACATCAGTGAAAATCACATCACAAACACACACAGATAATGAAATTTATTTATTTTTCGCGGAAAGTTAGTCATAATTTGTGAAAAGTTAAGAGAGAGAGAGAAATCTAATTTAGAAACAAAAATAAAGAGAGAAGAGACATCCATACAAAATGAAAAAAAAGAGAAGAAATCATAGAATCCTATGTGAAAAAGGAAATCCAATCATATTTTGATCACAGGTAGCGCGACAAAATCTAATCTTCAATCACTATTCATACATTGTGCTAGTACATCATACATTCGGATGAACTATGGGTAAATCTTATCATCATAATCATCAAATACGGTGGCCAAAAAAAAAAAACCAAACCAACACACACACACCTGTCTTATTTCAATATATCATCATTTTCGTACCACGATTACCACCATCACCATCATTATTTAATCTAAGTATCATCAAGTATTTAACTTTCGTATAAATAGTAAAGAAAAAAGGCCAAAACACTTTGAACCTGAAATTTATGATCATCAACTGTACTTAGTATATTTGAACTTCATTATCATTCTTGGATGATGATGCCCATAGCAAATGACATCATCAAATGACAAAAGATAACAAAAAACTCGAATAACAATAGAAAAAAGGCGCATTTATCATCATGATGATAATGATGATGATGTTGAGAGGGTAGAGAATAATTGTTTGGTTTGTCTAGATAATATATGAGGAATGAACAAATAATGATCATACATCATAACCATTAAAAATGCAGGTTTATTTGGTTTGCAATTTGACCGGAGTACAACCCAGTGTATTCAGGATTCATGATGAAAAAAAAATCGGTTATCATTTGGATCATCAAAAAAAAAAAAACGACCAGACTACCTGGACGAATCAATTAGTTATCTTGTAACAGAGTGAATACAAGACTTATATTCACACTTTTAATGCTAAAAATTCAAAAAAAAAAACGATTTAAAAAATGTAAACCTCAATCATAGCTCACACCATTGATCGTGATCTAAATGAGAATTAATAAAAAAATGAAAATACGGATGGTGGATGGATCTTAAATTAGATCAAGAAAAAATTAGCATCAACCATTTATAATTTAAAAATTTGTTACGATTTAAATGAAAAAAAAAAATTTTCATTTTTTTCTTATGAGACTTTTTTCACCTGATTACCAAAAAAATATGACGATGATGATGATAAAGCAGAAATCAGATAATAAAATTGGTCAATCTAAATAGAAAAATCGACATAAAAAAATCATAATAACAAAACACTGGTGAGCAATTCAAAGTTCATAGACACTATTATTTGTATTTGTTCTCTATAGCAATTTAAGGAGGTGGTGGTGGTGGTGGTGTTGGTGGATAGATTCATGATGTTCCTAGAAACGTATTCATTCAATTCTAAATTAAAAAAAAATTGATGCGGCCTATGAATGATGGATTTGAGCGTGCGTTATAAACCGTCGAAAGATTTTTCAATTGTCGCGATCCATCAAAATTAAAAAAAGGCCGGAAAAAGTTCGTTCGTTCAATTTAAACTACAACACAAGATAATTGAAAACTATTGTTGTTTTTATTTTGATTGAAAAAAAATATGTTCACTAACAATATGTTCATCATGGCAACAAACAAATCAACAGAAAAAGCAATTACAATGTCTCTGATTTGACATGAATGACTGACCGAACAATATATGATCATCAAATTTCAATAATGACAATAATAAAAACAATTTTTAAAACGGAAAAGAAAATTTCTTACCATTCTTTTGCATCTTTTTTTTTTTTCTTTAATCGGTTTGTCTTATAATGTCGAAAAAAAAAAATTTGATCAAAATTTCGTCGTTTCGGATAGATCAATTTAAATTAAATTTTTTTGCAATCATATAAAAAATCTGTTGACAGCTACGGGTGATCGATGATTTTATTGAAGAATTTATACATTCAGAAAAAAAGATTGATTTCTCAAGATGATGATGATGATGATGATCAATCTATGTCGTTGTGGTCACTTGTTAAGTTAGTTTTTCTTTTTTTTTTTTTTGCTTGCCTGATTAGATTGGCATCATAATTTTTTATAGCTATATACACACACACACACATATATAACAACCAATATAGAAACGGTTTTTGAATATGACAAATCGAATACTAATGATGATGAGTAAATTTGGATCAAACCAAAATTATTCAACAACAATAACAAAAAAAAAATCATCAAAAAATATGTGTGTGGATTTCAAATTTATCTGGTTCAGATTCTTTGTTTCATCATCATATACAAACACACATCAAACACACGGAGAGAGACACATTCATGGATCGAACAAACACACACTATTCGATTCGAACATAGTGGGGGAGGGGTAGAGAAGAGGAGGTGGTGGTGGTGGTGGTGGTGGTGGTTAAATGATGGAATAGCCAGACATGGAACAGTTCAAATAAACTTTCTGGTCTGTTTTTGTTAACTTATACTTCTCTCACACTGCAGTGTGTGGTGTAATTCATCGCGGGCTATTTTCATTCGTTGTAGCAGTATAATTTAGTTACACAGATGAAGGTGTGTCTTTTTTTTAATGTTTGTGGTCTCTACATACTACTACTACAGATATCACATGGCTATTTTTTTGATTTTTTGTTCGATATATCGATTGTAATGAGTGAAAAAAATGACCAATTTGTACATTGAATGTTGATTTTCAATGGTTTTAATCATGAATTTTGTTTGATTTTTCTTATTTATGATCAGAAAAATTTTTCTATTTGTTCAATATGAACTAATTGATGTTGACATGATTGATTTCATTGATGATCAATAACTAAGATGTGAACAAAAATGAATTGTTTAAAAATTGACCAAATAATAACTTGTATTGTATGAATAGAGATTTTCAACAAGTGTGTTGTGCGCGTGTTTCCACATTACATTCTTCCTTTTTCGCCTTGTGCTTTGATTTGGTGAGTTGTGTTTTTTTTTCTATTTGGAAATTCTTAAATTTTAATCATTTTAAATTAATTTTTCTTTTTCTAGTTGGACCAAATTTTTTTTCAAAAACATTTCCCGAACAAAATGGTTGAAACACCATGTACAATTCGAACTCGAAAGTTCATGACCAATCGATTATTATATCGAAAACAAATGATTGTTGATGTTATCCATCCAGGTCGTGCCACCGTATCGAAACAAGAAATTCGAGATAAATTGGCAAAAATCTATAAAACAACATCGGATGTTATTTTTTCATTCGGTAATCGTACCGATTTTGGTGGTGGACGTACCACAGGTTTTGCCTTAATATACGATACATTGGATTATGCTAAAAAATTCGAACCAAAACATCGACTACAACGAAATGGACTTTATTCACGTGAAAAAACTGCACGAAAACAACGTAAAGAACGAAAGAATCGTATGAAGAAAGTTCGTGGTACTAAAAAAACTAAAGTTGGTTCTGGTGCTAAAAAATAGACCAAAAAAAAAAAAAAAAAAAATGCAAATTCCATCCATTCATTCAATATTTAAATCTGAACAAATCTTTTTATTTTCTTGATATATAAAATGTCTATTTTTTAATAATAATAATAAAAAGAAATTGTTCAAATCAAGTCAAATTTTTTCATTCAATTATTATTTGTATAAACAAACAAAAATCATCATCATTTTGGCATCGGTCAACGAATTTAGCCTCCAAACTTAAAATGAACTCATTATCTATAATTCTATTTCATTGAACTGGTGGTTTTTTTCTTCTTATCATTAATTAACAATTCAAAAAAGACTTTGACCTAATTATAATGATGAACAAGTTTAATTATTAATCAGAACGAAACAAAAAAAAAAAAAAAATGAAATTTTTTTTATCTTGCTGACAATGAATATTTTTTTTTCTTCACAATCATTTCAATTGATTATTGATTGAATTGTGAAAATTAATTATGTTTTTGTGGCTAATAGTTAAAATTGAATTCAATTCAATCGTATAAAAATGTAGTGAATTGAAAATATCAAATGCTAATTTGGTGATCAATCGATTTTTAAATCCGATCAATATCGGGATTTTCGAATTGAATATTTGTATGTGTGATAACACTAAAAATTGAAAAAAAAAATTTCTTTTTCTGGACTATGGTATTAATTTTTTGTTGTTTGTTTGTTTGTTTGTTTGCTACGATCACTCCACTCTTTTTTTTTTTTTTTTTTGATCATCACATACATGTTCGTAGAAAAATTTTGATCATTATCATCCAACAATCAATCAATCAACATATACACACGCACACACTATATGTCGAGAGATGAATATCATTCACATCAAAAAAAAAAAAAATGTCCTCATATTGATGATGATGATGATGATGATGATGATGATGGCTGATGATAATTGCATATGTTCATTGATCCAAACATTAATGGTGATGATGATCAATTTTCGGTATTTCAAATCATCATCATCATCATCAATGTGAATCCGAAAATTCAATCATTATTATTTCCGTTGTTTGTATTATTATTGTTTTGTTTTTATTGTTGAGAGAAACTCTTTGCAAAGAAGAAAAGAAAAGAAAATCTTTTTTCCATTTGGTTTTTTTTTCTCTTGCTTCTTCTTCTTTTGTTCATGTATTCATACAAATCAAATTTATTGATTATGTGTAATGCGTGATATGAATGAAAACTTCAAAATCGATGGCGACTTAATCATAAAATGTGTGTGTGTGTGTGTGTGTTGTGTGTGCCTTTTTTTCGATGTCATTTCGGTTTGATTAGATATGACTCTCTATTGATGAGTTATTGAAAGTGATTTGACTCGATTCATATATTTTTTTTATTGTTCTTGTTATAACGAATCATTTTTATCATCATCATTTCATTATATATGCTGAAGAAAATCACGAGTTTTCTGTTCTGTGGCTGGTTTTGATTGGATTGAATAATGATGGTGATAATAATGGGATGAAGAATTCGTGTTTGAATCATTCTTGTGTTTAAATACAAAAATTGTGATTAATGGCTTATGATTTATGTGATGGTTATGAATGTGAAACCAATCGATTGATTGATTGGTATGATTGAACGATTATATGAATTTTAAGTGAGAAAAAAAAAAATAAAAAAAAAACGAGAAGATTAACCAATAATGAATGAATGAATGAATTATCATTCTTGTGCATGATTTTTATATATGATGATGATGATAATTATTGATCAATCAATCAATCAATCAATAAATCTTCATTGCCAAATCAAATTAAATCAAACAGTATAAATATAAAAAAGATTATGTTCTTCACTATTCAATCTTATCTTATTTCCGTTACTAAATTAAAACCGAACATCATCATCATCATCATCGTCATCATCATCGAATACCTCGTTTATTTTAGCATTTTTTTGGCTTTTTTAGTCAATTTAAAAGTGAAAAATTTCTTAAATTTTTTTTCTTGTTTACTTCATTAGAAAATTGTTCTTCGACTATTATACAATTGATATATATCGAGAATGGGAGAGAAAATTAATTAGAAATAATAATAATTTCAAGTTCATCGAACACCATGATGAAAAAAGTTGATTAAATTCTTTTGTTCTCTGTTTATTTTTTGGTTTTTATATTTATAAAAAAAAAAATAACTACAAAGTTGTTGTGTTTGTTTGTGTTGAAAACGAATCAATCAATCAATCAAAAAAAAAAAAAAAAAAAATGCCATCAATATCAAGGACCAAATTCTTTCATCATGGAACAAATAGAATAAATTCTTTTCACAATTATTTCAATCAAATCATTAGATTAGAACAAATTATTCTTGTTATAATAATCATTATTCTTATATCATCAACATCATTATGTTATGGATCTCATTATATAAAATGTAAGCATTTGAAAAATATGATGATTTTTTTTTTTTTGATTTCATGTTTTACATACATACATTGATCTTAAAATATTAAAAAAAAAAAATAGATCATATGAGCGATTATTGTGATCAAACAAAAATGAATATAATTGAAATGCAACCATATTCAAATATGACTGCCATTATGATTAAATTGAAACGTGAATTATATAAACCAAATATGAATTGTAGTATTCATTTAATGGTACCACCATCATATGGTTTAATGGCATTTGTAACCAAACTTAAAATGCGTCGTTTTCATCAAAAAGCCGATTATATTGAATTCATTACAAATGGCCATTCATTAATACGTTTTCATGGTATTAATCAGGAAATGGTGCCAAAAAAAACAATATTGACCAGCAGTGATATGATGACCATTCGTTTTGTTAGTGAACCACAATATTATACATTGCCCGGTAAAGGTTTTAAAATTGTTGTCAATCTTTTTGCCCGTAAGTTAATTATTTTCTTAAATCGATTTGTGAAAATAATTTTTTTTTTTTTTTTTGTTCTTTACAGCCACAAATCAAAATGATGAATGCGATGAAAGTAATGGATTGACAATGAATTGTCAGAATAAATTCTGTATAGATAGTTTATTAGGTGAATGAATTTAAAGAATTTATATAAAAGCAAAAAAAAAAATTAATTTTTTCAAATTCTTTTTTCTTTTATAAAAATAGAATGCGATGGAATCGATAATTGCCGTAATGATATTGATGAATTACAATGTGGTAAGCGTACATTAATTGATTTAAATTTTTTTAAATTTTCGTTTTCGTTTTTTTCCCTATAGATGAAACATCTGAAACAAAACTTAGCCTTTATGTATTTTTATTCACCTTGGTAATCATGTTCATTTTATTGATAATGTTTTTAACAAAAAGTAAAGATCGACGTAAAGAAATTGTTCGCCGTATGTCCGAAGCATATGCCAATAATCATCCAATATTGTATGCAATGGAAAAAAATGGTACAGAAAGTCCAACAAATTCCAATTCCAGTGTAGATTCATCGCAACCAAATCTAAATAATATGATTATAGCTACGGATTCGATGATCATACAGGAACCGATTCGTTCATTGAAAAGTCAATTATCGCTGAGTCTACCGCATGGAATTGAACGTCTTCATAATAATATTAATAATAGCTATGTAGTTTGATTAATGACATAATTCATTCATTCAGTCTTCCTTAAGTGTGTGTGTGTTTTTTGTTGTTCATTAAATTATTTTTATTTTTTTCAAATAAAAATTCATAAATTTATTATGTAGAAAATTTGTAAAAAAAAATGAAAATAGTTGACTTTTTCAAGTATTTCAATTAAATTTTAATATTCAAATTCCTAGCTATTTGAATTGCCATCAATTTTCGGTTGACAATATTTCACTCGATCTATTGCCACATAACAGATTTGATTTTCAAGATTTTGATAACCAATTGGTCCGTATTCACAATCACAACAAGCTAGATATTTAATTTTCCCTTGTTCAGTTTGGGTTTCTTTTGTAAATGTTACATTTTCAAATTTAAATACATCGTCTAGACGCCAAAATGATGATATAGTATCCATACGATCGCCTAATGGTAATTTACGCTTGAAAAAAAAATATTGAAAAAAACGACATTCATCTTGATCTTGTGTCATACCTCTTCTTTATATAATGGTGCCGTATCAGCACGAAATATTAATGAATTACAATCAGGAATTTTACAATGACAATCTAGGCCATTATTACCATTGGATAATAATACAACGTCATGATCCATCGAATTTGATTCATTCGTTTCATTCTTTATTGAAATATATGGGCATATAATGAAGTTGAAATTTAGTCAATCAATTTGATTGATTATTTCACTTACCATTTTTGATTCGATTGATAAACAAAAGTTTGATTGAATTATCGAATCGATTATTAATTAATTTAATGTGTATATTTGTGTAATAAAAACATCGATCAAATGAATGGGTCATCCATAAAGCGTTTTCGAGTAATCTGCATAAATTATTTGTTCCAAGGCATGTTTTTTTTTGTATTGCAAGAATCTTCATGTTTTTATTAACTTGAATAATTCATCACTTATTGTTTATAATGTCTGAAAAAATTTCTTTTGTTTCGGAATCGGTTATTGAAGAACAACGTAAACAACGACAAGAAGAATGGTCAAAAAATCGTAAAGAATCTGATCCAATTGGTAAGTTAGTAGCGAATTTTTATATTTTTTTTTTTTTTTTGTAATTCTTTATATTTTTAAAAAAAAAAAATCGATAGAGGCCCCAGAACCAGAATATGATCCACGAACCTTATATGAACGTTTACAAGAACAAAAACAAAAGAAACAAGAAGAATTTGAAGAGTCAAGAAAATTAAAAAATCTGGTTAAAGGATTGGATAATGATGAAATTGAATTTCTTGCTATTTGTGATGATAGTAAAGCTGAATTAGAGAATCAAAAATATCGCGAAGAATTATTGGCACTGGAAGAATATAAACGTGGTGTGGCACATTTGAATAGTGAAGAACAGGAACATAAATTATCCGAATATAAACGTGAATTATACCAAAATCTTAAGAAAAAAATGGCCAATCAATCAATGGCAAAAAATGGCAATCGCAAAAGTCAAGCAGATTTACTAATGGGTGCTATTAAACGAAAATCTAAAGATGAACCAATTGTGAAACGAATGAAAACTGAAACAGGTTCGAAAACAACGACAACAATCGATGAGAATCTAACAAAAAATGATTCACGAATCAAATTTGATAAATCGAAACCTACTATTCAATGTATTGGACGATTACCTGGTATCGGATGTTATGATGATGAAAGTGATAGCCTTGAAAGTGATCGTGAATCCAATGAATCCGATGGTGAAGATTTCAATGCATTTGGTCATAAATTGGCACAATTAACCGAAGCAGCTGCATCGGAAATGCAGAATAAAAAATAATTTTTTACTCGAATTTCATTTCTAATTCATGAATTTTATTTTAGTTTTTTTCTCATCATCAAATTATACTCTGTACAGAATAATAAAATTCTAATGTGAATGGTCTTGGCCACCAGAATTGCCATAATTTTTTTCCCAATTTTTAATATATTCTTTTTTCAATTGTTCACGACGTTCAAAATAGTATGGATATTGGGCCTTTTCAAGCGGATGCCATAAATCTAAATGACAATCACTATAAATATGTTCACGTTCAAACATTAATCCACCAGGTGAGAATATGAATTTTTTCGGTTTTGGATGCATATGCAAGAATAGACGTCGTTCACCATCATCGATCAATAATTTTGCCAAACGTAAATCTTTAACATGGCGATGTTTTTCAAATTCAGCACGTACTGTTGCCCATGTAAATTGTATATCACCTCTGTTTTTCGAATAAAATATTTTCAAATACAAATCTGAAAAATTTAATTTCATTCAAACAAAACACATACTTATCTTTGACAAAACTTTCTTCATTACGAACACAACGTTTATAAAGATTTTGAACACGCCGTGTATGCGATATTAGATCTCGTTTTAAATAATTGGCTAAATGAGCCATTATTTTTGATGAATTAACCAATCAATCAAAGGAAAAAATGAAAAAATCATCAAAACTAAAAACAAAGGTCAGACAGCAATAAAAACAACACTAAAAAAAAAAAAATAAAATTACTATCCGGAAAAATTTCTTTAAGAATTTTCATTTATTGTTTACAAAAAAGATTTCCTTGACATACTGTTTCGATTCTTTACCAATAGATGGAAGTATATAGTGATAAAATTAAATTAACATCAAATTCAGGAGTGGTTCTGGAACACACAGCTTTTTTTTCTGTTTTCTACATTCCAACATTATATTTTGGTTGGTGGTGGTGGTGGTGGTGGTGGCAGTATTCAGTATCTCTTTTTTTATTTATATATAAAAAAATGTGTAGGATCTTGCTTGACTTCTACCCAAAGAAATGTATATTTTCTTCGAATAAAAAATCATTACCATTTCTTCGTTCTTTTTTTTGTTGATGGACTCAAAGGCGCGCGCGTTGTCCAAAAATTGTTCAATGTTTTTTTGTTGGCTTGTCAAACGATGTGTGTGTGTGTGTGTGTGTGCGTGTGTGGCGAACAACATCAACATCGATTCTTTTAAATGTGAAAAAAAAATTCTACCATATAATTCTTTTTATTCTTCCAGAGAATAACTATGATTCGATCCATAATGACCATGGATGGATGAATCGTGTGATGGGTGCAAAAAAAACATCGTCATATATATCTATATAATCCACAATTTATTATTTTCCCTATATTATATGTGAATGTTTCAAAAAATACGAAAATTTACGTCATCTAAAGGGAATATATTCTCTTGGATCTTTTTCATTTTACTATGTGGTGTATGTTTGTCTTTGAACTCTCTACAAACACAATTTTCATTCAATTGATGATGATGATGATTATCCATCGTAGAGATAAGCGCAAGTGCTTTGTTGTTACAGAAATTTTTTTTTGTTTAGAACCAATGAAAAATTTCTTTACTCAACACACACACACACACACATCGAGTAAGTAACCAGGAATAAATTTTTTCATCTTTTTTATGTGTTATAAATTGTTAAAAGACAATATTTTTTTTTCCTGTTTACAAATAAAAGATTGTCATGACGGCACCTATTATATCGTATATTTTGAAATGTGATTTATTAATCCAAATAAATCTATGAGTGACACACACACACACACACACACACATCGACAAACGACATATTGATAGTGATTTGATATGAATGATGAGATAAATAAATAGAAATCCAATCAAAACTCAACTGAAATATGGTCGAAAAATGAAATTTTTCCGTTGCTGTTCCGTTCCTGTGTCAGAAATGAAGATAAAAAAAAATTTTCAATCATCTCCAGCCAACCAGATCAATGATTATTATTAGGATACAATGAAAAAAAAATGGCAGCGTGTTGACGAGAGATAATCATTTGAACATTATCGATTTTATATGATCAACAATAACAACAACAGATCAATTGCATTTTTCTACATTCATGAAAATCATTCATATAAAAACAGATGTTAAATAAAATATAAAAAACAACAACAACCAAAAAGATACAAGTTAATGTAAGTTAAGCCAATATGTTGTTTGGTATTGCATGTTTATTGCAATCATCATCATCATCATCTTACCAATGACTAACATCATCATGATCAATGATTAACTTGTTTTTTTATCTTTATCTTCTTATTTCACTCTCTTTTAGTGTGTTTTGTGTGTGGTTGTTGTTGTTTTGATTATAAAAATGCTTCCTATAAATCATCATTGTGTTTGTGTTTTAGTGCCAATTATATCAACATTATTATTTCAAATTTAATTTGCTCATTCATCCATTTTTTTGTTGGAAAAAGAAATTTGATTGATTAATTAAAACAAAAGTCAATTTTTTTGTCATTTGACATGTGTTAATTTGATACAGAACGACTATACGAAATTTTCTTTCAATTTACTAAAGAGACATTGTCCGTTCTGATGAATAGAAAAAAGAATGGCTAATTTATCATCAACGACAACAACAACAATGGCTACAACTACACCACCGCCATCATCATCATCATCAACAACAATTGTAAATCAACAACAACAACAACAAAAATCTGGCAGTATGAAACGTAATAATAATCAAACGATGAACATTACCAAAGAAATTGAAGGTTTGTACAAAAATTATCATTGAAAAAAAATCATAATGTGATTGATCAAATTATTTAGAAAAAGATTTTGAAACATGTAAAACACGGAGACAATCCTCATATTTACTATATGTGTGTGTGTTTATTGTTTTGGAGTTTTTTTTTTCTTTTTTTGGTATTTTATTTTTTCAAAGTTTAAAAATGCCTAGCCTTTTTTAGGATTGTTTTTTTCGCCCTTTTTTGTATTCATCATAATTGTGTAGTAGTAGAAGTTTTCTGGCTGGTTAAATGGGTCATTTTAGTTTATTTCGTTCATATAATCATAGTGAATTATAGTCATTTAAATTTAAAAAAAAACAATAGTTAATGTGTTTATAGCTGATCAAATTAATTTGACCATGATGATGATGATGATGTAATAACCATAGCTGGATTATTTGATGATTAACATGGCATTGCACTCTAGGTATTTTATTTTCTATATATCTGTGTATGTATGTGTGTGTGTGTATAACAACCGGTGTTTGCTAGATGAACCTGATTATCATCATCAGATTTAGATATAATGGTCATCATCCTTATAGCTTCATCTACATATACCTCCAGCCACAAACTAATCGATACATGTATACGACAACAATAACACGTTTGATAAAAGAACATTGACCATTGAAAACATCTTGTTCATGATGAAATGAATGAATAAAGTGGAAATTATCAAAAATCCAATGCATATGCATCATCATCATCATCATCATCACGAAATCTGATGAACAAACTAGAATATATAGCTGAAATAACTCTGCTATATTTTCCATTGAGAGAATTTTTTTCCAGCTATAAAGAAAGTACACATTTAAAGTTTTTCTGTTGATTCAATGAATTCTATCATCATGGATTATAAATATGAGATTTACCTAAAGATTTTTGCCATATATACTTGTTGATGATATTAATTTTTTCTTCTTCGTTTAACTTTGATTAAAAGCTATGCATGTGTTTATGTGTGTGTCGGTGTAAGTTTCATTTTTCATTTTTTTTTGTTAGAAAAAATATCTTTTTTTTCCCGTTTATATAATTATAATAATTATCATTGATTGTATTTGTGTGTGTGTGTGTGTGAGGGCGAATGATCCAGAAACGAAACGAAAGAAAAGATTTATTCACCCTTTTTTTACAATAGAGGACAATAGAACGTTATTGTTGTGGAAAGGTAATTAATTTGAATAATCATCATCATTATTATGGTTGAAACGAAACGGGATTTTTTTTATTTTTGGTCATTTAGAAATGTGAATTTTCATTTCGCCCACCATAATAATCACTGTTGTTGTTGTTGTTTTTCTTTTCTCAAGACTTGCGAGTGAATTTTTGTTTGTTTGTTTGTTTGAATATCATGTGGATTTTTTTTTGTTCAACATTTAAATTGTCTTTATAAATTCGGTATTTTTGTTGTTGTCGTTCGTTTGAAAAAAATACAATTTTCCCAACAACTTTTTTTTGAATGGATTTTTTCAATTGTTATAAAATGTCAAGGTAACATTTGAATTGAATTTTGTTGTTGTTGTCATTGCAATTAATTTATTCTTAATTATTGATTAACATCAATAATAATTAATTGTTTGATTCGTTAAATTGTGAAATTTCTTTTTTCTTTTTGGTTGGTTGTAGCATCAACAAATAATTGTTATTAAAAAAGAAATGAAATTTTAAAAAGTCCTTGAATTTTTTTCCATTCAACACGTGGTTTGCTGTGTGCTGTTTGTTCAATTATTATTATCCAAGAAAATTTTGGCTTGTTTTTTGATTGTCGTCATTCAACAATATCCAGATGCATATATATTTATTTACGATTTATTATCATCATTATTATATTGCGTAGGAGATTTAATAACACGAATGACAATGACAACAACAATAACAAAAATTATTTGATCGGATATTGAGATTTTTTGCACAAAAAAATATCGACAAAATTGTTAATCGACACATAATCAATGTAAACAGAGTCATAGGTTTTGTTTTATCAATTGTTTTTCATTGTTCATCACCACGATAATCGATGCTTTATCAATGGAAAAAAATATTCCAATAAATAAAATTGTGTTGGTAAATGATATTTTCAATATTGTTGCGCATCAACAACAATATTGTTGATTTTGAGAAAATGTTTTTTGGCGTTTTTTTATTATTATTATTTACTGCTATAAATAAAGTATTCAATAACATGTGATTGATTGTCAATCAATCATTATTGGGCATACAAAACAACAATACAACAACAAAAAAAAATGTCAAATCAATCGATTTGACATTTTTTTATCATCATCATCATCATCATTTAGACAATCAACATTAATCAAATCAATCATTCCAATTGAATAATGTTGAATATATGATGCGCGCACACACACACACACACACACAAATAAATATCCAATTTGTTATTGTTTCAAAAATTCAATGCATCTTTGCATCTTTGCATGATGATGACAAAACATCATTTTCTGTCAACCAATAAGAATAATAATAATGTTCATCAAATGGACCATCATTGGATGAGTATGATGATGATGAAAAACAAATCCAATCAATCAATCATTGACATTGAAATTGAATTTTTAATTTCATAATAATTCATTTTTAATTTTTTTTCTTTCTTTCTCTCTCTTTTTGAAAATTATAGAACATGTTGCAAACATAATTGGTCCAAACATTAAATTAACCCATAAAGCAATGCTCAAATTGGAATTGAAGACAGATAAATTTGAAAATCGTTTATTAATATTTACACAATATCGACTGTATTTATTCACAGTGAAAGGTGGAACACCAAAATTGGAACATTCATATAATTTGATTGATCTGAATCTAATTGAATCACGACAACCAGATCGTTTAACATTGGGTTTTCGTTCGAATGATCCAAAGCATCCATATTGCTTCCAATCATGTGATCCAAATCAAGAAGAAGTCAATCTAATCATTTGTCATTTGATTAGTTCATTGAAACAATTGTTTCCATACATTCCATTCGAATCGTTTATACGACGATTTTTTGTTGAACCACGTCAACGTTTGGATAATATTTATCAATATGTGCATTTGGTGGAAGAGAAACTACGTTTCCGTTCACATGATCATCCATGCGGTGGTTTCTCCAATCAATATGCTTGTTTTTGTGATTATTATGGTGTGCCATATAGAGAAGAAGTTGCCTGGGATATTGATACAATATATGCTGCTCATAATAATACTGAGCTATCCATATTGGATTTCGAACATCTTGATTTGAAAGATCTTCAACCACTTATTGCTGCATTAACCTATAATGGATATTTTACCAAATTTCGTGTTTCAAATGTTAAAATTGTTAATAATAGCCAATCGGGTAGTGATCAAATATGTGAATTAATTGTCAATCTTGTTCGTCGATCAACTAGACTAGAAGAACTATATTTAGATAATACTGGTATTCGAGCAGATTTTGTTAATAAATTATTTCAGGCAATGTTATTGAATAATCAAACATCGATACAGATTATTGATTTATCCAACAATTCCATTGAAGATAAAGGATTGAAAAATATGACATCATTTGTAGCCAAATCATTCCATATGGCCAATTCTATAATGAATAATTCATCCGAAGATCTCAGTTCATCATTATCATTGAATTTTTCTACATGTTCAAATCAAATTAGTCAACCACAATTGAATAATAACAATAATACGAATACGATAACATCGTCAGCAAAATTAATGTACAAAGGTCTTGTACATTTAAATCTTTCACATTGTGGTATTACATCCAAAGGTATTTCTGAACTATCCGAATCACTTTATTTAAATAAATCAATGTTTTCGACATTAACTTATCTTAATTTGAGTGATAACTATTTTAAAGATGATTTATCCGTAAGTTACATTCCATCGTCTTTGTTCATTTTCTTTATTAATTTTTTTCTTTTTGATACTTTCCTTATATAGAAACTTTATAATTTTCTGGCTCAACCAAACAATATTGCCCATCTTGATCTGTCCGGAACCGATTGCAATCTTGATAGTGTTTTTGGTGCACTCCTACATGGATGTACCAATAATCTAGTTCATCTGAATTTATCACGAAATCAGTTTAGTGGAAAAAAATCCAGTCATAAAGATTTGATAGTGCCTGTTTCGATCAAAAAATTTTTCTCTACTGCAATATTTTTACGTACATTGAATTTGTCGCATAATAGATTGCCAACTGAAGCGCTCAAAGCCATATTACTTGGTTTAGCATGCAATGAATCCGCTGCTGATCTTCGAATTAATCTTTCATCAAATGAATTTAAATCGAATGGTGCTGCTGTACTTGAACTTTGTCTTGCAGATATTCGATGTGTGTCCGGTTTGGATCTCAGTGACAATGGATTGGATATGGATCTTATTCAAGTGGTTGGTGCCATTGGTAAAAACAAATCAATCAAATATCTATCGATTGGTCGCAATTTCAACAATATTAAAGCCAAGTAAGTTTTTTTTCTCATTTTTTATATACTTTCATTAAAAAAAATTGTTTTCTTTTTAGACATTTGCCAAAAGTTTTAGATGCATTCGTCACATTACTACAAGATCCGGATTGTTCCATTGAATCACTATCATTGATTGATTCAAAATTACGTTCTGATGCTTCAATCATTTTGAATGCACTTGGTTCGAATCAATCATTGATCAATATTGATATTTCAGGAAATTTAATTGGATTAGTTGGTGCAAAAACAATGGCCAAAGCACTTCAAGTGAACAATCATCTTGAAACAATTTATTTGGATCGTAATCTAACGCCTACATCTGGATTTATTGACATAGCTTATGCTCTTGAACGTAACTATACATTGAAATATCTTCCAATACCAATACAAGATGTACAAGCTGCAATGATGAAAATGCCAGAACGTACTGAAGCGGCTGTGAATAAAATTCAGGAATTTATACGTCGTAATAATCTACCACAAACGGCCGCTTTACGTAACATGCGGCTACATAATCTACAAAATTCACATTTCACCGTTGACAATAATTTATTTACAACAATCGAAAAAATTGCCATACAATTGCAAAATCTATTACGCGAAAAGGCATCATCATCATCATTACAGCAACAAAATCGTATGCCGTCATTGGATTCGATTGACATTAGTTCCCATTCGAATCTGGATAAAACAATTATGGCCGATTGTAATTTTTCCACTTCGAATGATTATGTTGGCAGAATTGAAAATCTATTACATGATGTACGTAATATGCGATCACTTTATAGTAAAGTACAAGAAGTTTATTCAAATACAACGCAAACAATGAATGGATTGTCATCATTACAAGATAGTTATGGACGAAGATTTTCATCGATTTCAGTTTCACGTCCAATTGAAGCAACTATTTTGGAATTTTCACGTGAACTAAAACGTTCATTTGAAGGTCAAGTTTCATCAGTTTCAGAATTAATCATTCAATGTATCAAAGATGAATTTCCAAGCGTATTTTTTCATAGTCAACATCTTGAAGGTGATCTTCGTGAATTGTATAAAAATTCAATTATCAGCATCAATTCTGCTCAAACGTCATTAATACCATCGATGGAATATTTTCAATTGTGCCTTACCGAAGCAGCCGGTACACAATGGTCCATAAAATTGGAACAGATTCTCAATACAATAGCTAGTCAAATTTGTAATAAAGTTTTGATCGAAATGAATCGGTGTTTATTGAATACTCAGAAAATGATTGATGGCTGTGATTTAAAATCGACGACTACCATCAGCAACAATAATCGTCATATTCATTCTAATGGAAATAGTAATGGTGTTGGTGGTCCATCAATTCGAAGTGTTACACCATCAGATCTTCGAAGCCAAACATGGATTGAATCATATTGTAGCTCACAAGATTCAAATGATTTATTGAGCTTATCGAAACAGGATCCAAAAATGCTTGAATCAGATGGTGGTGATAATGCAATTGTAAGTATTCACTGTTTTTATTTCCATCATCAATGTTCTTAATTTATTATACTGTATTCACTTACTTTTACTACTTGTCTTGTCCATTCTTTGTTATTTCCTTTTTTTTCTACTCATACAAACACACATTGCTACCATTAAAGTGGCTAGCTTGGCTTAATCTTGTAAGTAAAATACTTTCCATCCGCATTTTGTGTAACCATTATTATTATTTTTTTTTTTAATTTTTCATTATATAATAATTTTATTTTTGTTTTTATTGTTGAAAATAGGCAACACCTAAACTTGGTAATCAAAAAGGCAAATGTTTATATAAGAAAATTACGGCCACAATCCGTTCTGGATGGTGATATTGTTCCGAATGAAGATTTTTCCGATCTACTTAATCGTAATGAACAATCATCAAATGATACTAGTCTAAATAGCACTGATATGTTACAAACAAAACCAAATCTTCATCTGACTAAAATGCGTCCAAGGAATCGTAAAACACGTGCACCAACAAGAGTTGCAATTGTTGATTCAAAAACAATCAACAACAAAGAACAGCAACCTGTTAATAATATTCCTACCACTTCAAAACTAGATGAAGGATTGGATAATTTTTTCCATCAATATCATTGATGAATAATTCATCATCGAATGCTTCAATCGAAGATATGGATCAATTACTTCAACAAAACTATCAACAACAACAACAACAACCAAATAAACCTCAACCACAACCTCGAAAAATTTTACGAAAACTAGGTTTTAAATCTCAAAGTGAACAACAACAATCAACCAACATGGTTATGGAACAACAATATCCAATTAAAATGCAATCATTAGATAAACCAATAACAGCAAAACAGAATGAAGAATTGATTCGTTCGAATTCACCGATCATTTTTGGTGCCAGACGATCAGCTGGTGGTGGTGAACATGTTTCCATTTGTAGTGATTCAAATGATTTACATGGTAGCCGTGTTCATAGTCCATTACCACCAAATGGTGTTGGTGACATACAACAACATAATGAATTATTGGCCGAAATGAAAGCAATTCAAGAGAAACGTTCATATAATTCTACACCTGTATCAAATGAACAACTAACATTTGCATCGACATTGGAGAATAAATCTAGCCTAGAAAATATTGATGATAATAACACAAAACAACCAATTATACATCAACATCAACAAAGTTTAGACACTGACAATAATGGTAGTTCATCAATATCGGTTGCTAAACGTGCAACAATGTTTGGTGATCTTCATAAATCACCATCCAAACATTCAATAACAAGTCCAACGGATGATCATAATAATGAAATTATCAGCTCAAAAGAAAATCAATCACAAAATATCAGCAATAATAATAATAATAATAAAAGTGTAACATCAACACCATCATCATCAAAGCAACGACCTAAATCAATGGTTGGAATGTTGGGTGCAAAATTTGAATTATCATTAATGAATTCTAATGCTAATAAATGATTTTTTATGCTTTAATTCCAAACAAACAAACAAACAAACATGCTTGACACATATAATCAGATTAAATAAAAAATTTAAAATATTTAAATCGTTTAGGGTTGATATGATGATCTGTTTTGTTTTCGGTAAACATCAGCACTCATTTATTCTATTCGTTTCATTCATGTTGTTGTTGTTGTTGAAAGAATTCAATTTTTTTTTAGTGTAATTCTAGTTGAAAAATATACCCACATTTTTTTCTGTAAATTGTTTTAATTCAACAAAAAAAATTTGAATAAACTTTCACTTTGTTTTTTTTGCTCATTGAATTTTCTTATTAAAAATTCATATCTGTAAAATATACAAAAGATTAAATTCTGAATTTTAAGAAAAAAAAATTACATTTTCAAATGCCATCACCATCGATGATTAACGATGTTTCCATACTGACAATCGATAGTTGGTTAGGAGTGGTCTTGGATACTATGTGATGATGATGATGATGATCAAATATATAGAACACCAACCACTTGTTGCTTGGATCTTGAATTCCAAACCGGTGAGTACTATATATGTGTGATTTTATTATAGCTGTTGTCATCATGAACCGATAATTATTATTTTGTTTCCAATAGAAATGATAATAATTGCAATTCAATTTATTTGTGTGTATAGTTGATCTCATCATCACCGATCGCCGCAGTGTGTGCTGATTGAATGTAAATAAAATCGTTGGAATTAATTTTTTTTTTTAATTCACCGAAATCAAGATATGAAGTTCTTGTCATGTATAACATCAATCGATGACAATGATGAAAATATCGTCGTTGCTGATCAAAGTAAAAAATCTCAATCATGGCATGAAACATTAAGACATTTATTTAAATCAAATAAAAAGAATCGTGTTGTTATTTCGGATCCAACACCATTGTCTAAAGAAAAAGTACCCGAAGTTACTGGAGTTGTTCAAATAGGCCCAGAAGAATTGGGTGAAATTGTTGACAAATCATTGAATAATAACAATAATAATAATAATAATGGTGAAGAGATATCAACGGTGACGGAATCGGTTGTTCCAGATAAAGTGAATGCCGAAACTAATACTGAACAACATGAATCGAGTCAAAATGAACAACAACAACAACAAAATGATCAGTTGGTTGAATCAAAAACATTGGAAAATTTAAAAAATTCCGACAATAATGAACTCCTCAGTTATGGTTGGTATTGGGGTGATATATCACGACGAGATGCCGAAAATTTATTAAGAGGACGAGAAGAAGGAATATTTTTGGTTCGTAAAAGTTCAAATCAACGATTTCTTTATTCATTAAGTTTTCGTTCGAATGGAAAAACACTTCATACTCGTATTGAATGTTCAAATGGTTTATTTGCATTCTATTCGAATGATTCGAATAGTTGTAAAGAAGAAATCGATGGTAGCGAATCACTATATGATCTGATCTCGGATGCAATGAACCAGAATAATGCCGAAAATATATTCTTTTATTCACGTGGTCTACAAAATAATGAAGCATCACTTCATACAATAACATTGGTTAAACCATTATCACGATATCAATATATTATCGATTATGATTATCTTAATAATGATAATGATGATCAACATGGTTCATTACAATATTTATGTAAATTTATCATACATCATTCATCCATTGCTCAGGCTAGATTTTCGATGCAACGAAATTCATTACCAGAAGAATTAGAATCATTTCTAAATAATGGTCTCCTATTTCCTTATGTTGTTCAACAAGGCAAAAAACAAAAATGAGCTTATCTTTTTTTTTTTTAATTTTCTCTCATTCTTTGATTGATTGTGTTCATTTGTGTTGCTTTTTATCCTATTGAAAAGCATTTAGACAAATTCCAACAAATTCTTTTATTTTTTTAGAAGATAATTTTTTCCCTACAATAAAAAACGAAATTGTTTTCGACAAATTATATCAAAAAAAAAAAAAAAATTCTAAAAATTCAAATTATTCAGGCATTAATCGATTGTATCGATTGTGTTCATCACTTTATGATTAACGATTATAATTCTTCTGTGCAAAAAAAAAAATTCCTCAATCATTATCAAAAAGTAGCAGTAACAAAATACACTTGCTGCATATTTTTAACTAGCAGCAAAATAACAATAGTGGGATATCAACAAGAAATAAATGTCATTCACTACATTATTCACTACTACCACGTTCGACCACATTTAATCATCGTCATTCTTATAATCGTACTACTACTACTACTACATTTTTATTGAATATAGCTATAAACATACAACAATAGCTTGCTCAATATTTGCTTTTATTGCTGCCTTTGTCAATGAATTGAGACAGGAAAAAAAAATTACAGGTAGAAGCAGCAGGTTTGAAATGAAATGAATGGGTTTTTTTTTCGCTATACCTTGCTGCGCCTGCTGCTGATATGTTGTGTGTATTCTAAATCACAAGTGTATCTGTATGCATAATAATAATAATAATATATATGGAGAGGCATCGACAACAACAACAAACAACAATCATTAAATGATGTTTCTATCTACTTGATTTATGCTATATGGATTGGGCTTGCTTTTTTGTTGTTGTTGTTGTTGCTTCGTAGTCGTCGTGATATAGGTGGACTCAATTATAATTATAATCATCATCATCATCATCGTAGTAGTCGTCATCCATTGAATTCCATTTTAATGTTTTGTAATTCTGTGTGTTGCTCATTACAAATGTTTTTTTATGTAAAATATTTATCTTTACCAAATAATTAAAACAACATCATCATCATCATCATTTAATCAAGGGATATTGTATTCATTTTTAAGTGGGTGTGTGTGTGTGTGTTCAACACACTCACACATGTACACACCTGTTACCCTTTTGTGTGTGTTTTGTATATGTTAAGTTTCAATGGTGATGATGATGATGTGTGTGTGTATGTGAAAAAATTCATTGAAATAAAAGTGATTCCAAAATTTTTATGGCCTTATTTAACCAACAAATGAACAATTGATGATTTCATCTGCATAAATGCCTTATCTATCCATCAATAATAAATTGATAATACAGGTATTTTTATATCTAAAAAAACACTGGCTTTTGTCTTCTAATGTATATTATTGATTATACCTAGATTATATTGAAATTTAATAATTTTTTCTTTTCCATTATTACCATATATATCACGGATATGCTTACAAACCACAAAGATATCAAAAATACTTAAATCAATATATCGTAATCCTGGTTTTATTTATCAAAAATTTTTTGGTCTGATTTTTTTCTCTTGATATGATCTTCATTTATCTTTTCAATTAATTAAATTGGTAAGTTTTTTTTGTTGTTGTTGTTTCAATTTCTATTTCGATTTGCTGTTCATGGAATTTTTAGAAGTAACAGTTTAATATTTTTCTTTTATTATCATTACAGATTTGACTTCCAGAATTTTTTTTTTTTGATATTCGTATGTGATTTATCATTTTCATCAATTTGTGTGTGTCTGTGTGTGTGACCTCAAATCTCAGAACGAAAAGGAAAACGACAACAAGGAAAACTTTCAACTTTTTGTTGCTGCTTCTGCTGCTGCTGCTGCTGTTGCTGTTTGAATCATCATCAAATATTCAAATGTCGATGGCCATTTGTAATTGTGTATGGTGTAGATTTGAAAAATTTTGTCGTCTTCCCTTTTTTTCATATATATTATAATATAAAAACCATAATAATAATAATCATCATTATAATCAAGCGACAAAACAAAAACAAGATATTGACAGCAAAAACAGAAAAAAAATTCATCATAAACGGAACTATTCCATCCGTTTTGTCTTCGAAACCGAATTGACTGCTGATCATCATCATCATCATCATTACCATCAACAACAACATCAGCATCGGTAGTTTGTTTTTTTTGCGTTCATTCCATTTTTTCATTTAGGCTGCCAGTGGTATTTGCGATTTGTCTAAATACACAATTTTTTTTTCGTTTTCCTCCATCGATGATGATTCATCAATTGATCACATCAACCAATCAATCTATACATCCCAGAGTATTTTCAATATTTTTGTTTCAAAAAAAAGGTATGTATCAATTTGAGATCACGTGATAAAATTGTTGACCAAAAACAACACCCATAATCGGCATTTTTTTTTGACAGAATCCATCTATCTATCTATCTATCAATCAATCTATGTGTGTGTGTATCTCGACAACGGCATGGCTAAATTTTTTTCTTGTTTTCATTTTCATTTTTCCCTAGAAATATTTTCTTGTTTCCAATTGTCAATGTCAGTGGCGTTTTGAATGATGGGGAAAAAATTCTTTTTTTGCTGTTGTGGTTGTTGTTGTTGTATGTTTATTGTCGATTTTGAATGGTTGCCAGATTATGATGAAGTGAAGTGAAGAAAAAAAAATTCATTCTTTGTAAACCATAGTTTATAATCATTAATCGTCAATCGTTGTTGTTGTTGTTGTTGTTATTATTTGAAAATTTCATCATGATGATGATTATGATGATCGGATCAGTTGTCATGACCGTGATAATAATTATTATGATGATGGTGATGTGATATTCCGACAAAACTGAAAATCCAACATTTTAGCCATGTGTGTATAAAGAAGCTCTAAATCTAAATCTGTTCAAGAGCAAGGGCAAGAATTTTTTTTTCATTACCCAAATGAATGAATGAATTGGATGAGTTATGCAGCCACAAAAATAACATTTTTGTACATTCATTTTTCTCATTTTCTTTCTATATATTTAAAAATAAATTTACATTTTCGTTTGGAATTTGATGATTTGATTTTAAGAATTTACTTTTCGAATGTTTTTTTTTTTTTGACGCTTTTGATTCTTAAGTGTTTTTTCATCAATTGATGATGAAATCATCATCATTCTAATAAACCGTAAACTATTATAAAATAATCACTGTTGGTGGTAATTTAAATTTAAATTCAATGCAAAAAGTTTTTTGTTTTCAGATTCCAATTTTTGTGTGTTGCCTCATGATTATTTGAATTCTATAAATCTTTTTGTTTGATCTCATAATAATAATAATCATCTGGTGCTTTGATGGCAGCAAAGAATTTGTTCATTCATTTCGCAAAAACCATATGTTTTAGATTTTTCGATTCCGGGTTATTTGTAGAATTAGTGGCTCATTATGATTAGGATACGATTTTGGTTAGATGTGAGAATTTTATTTTTTTTGGGGGAGAGAATAATTTTCACAAACAAACAAAATGTGAAAGAATGTCATTGAATTTCTCAATCATGTGAATCAGTTTCATTGATTTCTTTTTTTTAATGAATCACGCACACACATGCATTCCAATGTGTGAAATTGATGAAAAAATTATTAACAACAGCAATTTCAGTGTTTCCATGACAATAATCATCATCTATATAAAAATTATAACCAAAATCGTTGTTGCTAACTACTATTTTGTTTTGTTTGATTAAGAATTTAGATTATTAGATTTTCTATGCTTTTCTGTTGTGGTTAACAACAACAACAACACCACCACCATTAGATTGATTGACACAATTAGATTTCTGTTCTCTCTCTCTCTCTCTCTTTCTTCTTTTTTTCTCATCGATGATGATGATGATGATGATAATTTGATGCAATAACCGATTTTATATGTGTGTCAGATGGATTGAAAAAAACCCATGAAGACAACTTAATTTCAAGCCGTTTATTTTTGTTATTCCAGGAACAATTTTTGGAACAGGTTCTGTTTGTTTTGTTTTCGTTCACACATGTTTTTTTTTTGTTGACATTTTTCTTTTCATTCGTGAATTAGATTAAATTTTAATTACATTTTTTTGTGACAAAATGAAAAAAAATCGATCGATTGATTGATTGATTGATTTTGTTTGTTTGTTGATGTATAGGAATTTTTTGATTTTATTCATGATGAAAAAATTTCAGATTTTCAATTTTCACCACCAAATAACAATCAGCTTGATCTTGATTTGTATTTAGTTCAGTTTTCATTACATGTGTATGTGCACGAACTTTTGTGGCTTATTTTTCATTCCATTATCATCATATGGGTCATGCTACCTGGATATAATACGTGTGTGTGTGTTTGATTGTGTGATTGCAATCCATAGTCATTTTTTTTATATTTTTTTTTTTTTGCTGTTTCCATTTTGGCATTTATAATGATGATGGTGCACGTATTTAATGCGTAGGTTTTTTTAAATATTCAGATTTGTTTTGTTTTGTTTTGTTTTTTTTTGGTCACTTTTCATGTTTTTAATGTTGATTTTTATCATATTTTCTCTCTTTCTCACTAACTCACTATTAAATTATTATCATTGAAGATCCATAATGTTTTATGAATAAATCTTGATCTTGTTCTTCATCATCATGATGATGATGACAAGCTGAACAAGATGATGATGATGATGATCAAGATTTACATATAATTTATTATTCAGATTAATACCAAATGTGTGTATGTCTGTGTTTCAATTGGTTTTTCCTTTCCTTGAAACATTTGAACTTTTTCAATCATTCCATCATGTATGTAATATTTACTTTTTAAAATTTTTGAATCAAAATTTTTTTTTGTCCTTTTGGAACACCATTTTCAATGTTATTTTTTTTTGCCTACTATACTGGACACAGCACAGATTTTGTTTGAATGGATGAAAATGTCATGAAATTGATTGTAATATTGATCCGGTCAAAAAATACCCAATTTGATTTGTCGTCATTCAATTTACGTCAATCAATTTATCATTCAAATATAATGATGATGATGATCATCATTTTACAGTTGTTTGATGAACTCGATGAACTGAATGAATGAATGAGAAAAAAAAATTCAAAAATTTCATTTTCAATATTTACTTTTAAAAATTATTATTTTTCACACCTTTATATTGGATGTTTTTCCTGCGATGGCTTCATCAATCCATTCAATCTCTTTAACCTTGTTGTTGTTGTTGTTATATCTTAACGTCAATGATGATGATAATGGATGGATGAGTCACCTGTCTTGTCCTGTTCTGTCTGTTTTATTATATTGCTTTGAGCGTTTTTTTTTTTTTTTTTGGTGAATTCGATCAAGCGTAATGGCGCCATTTATTTATTTTTTTTTTGTTTTGTTATCTTGATTCACTGAATAATAATAAATGGTATACTATGTAGCAAATGAAATGTAACTAATGGAAAGAGAGAGAAAAAAAAAGAGAGAGGGTACAGCAACAAAAAAAAAAAGAAAAAAATGCTTTGAAATTCCATTCGTTTTAATCATTACCGAAACAACAGCGATATTGTGTTGTTTGTTTGTATTTGTTATCTATTTTGTTGTTGTTCGGGTTTCAAGTCATTTTTACCGGTTATGTTTTTTTCTTGTTGTTATAATTATGTAACCATATGATATAATCATTAATTTATTTGAAAAAGTAAAACAAAAAAAAAACAAAGTCCTTGAAATGTCATCCACATCATCATCATCATCATCATATTATTATTATCGTTTGTTTATTCTTTCTCTGTCTCTTTTTTTTAAAAATAACAGGTAAAGATTACCTGATTGATAACCTTACCATTATTATTTGTTAATAATTATTGTTTTTTTTTGTATCTATGTTGTGTATGTAAATTGAAATCAAGTTTCTTGGAAAATTGGTTTTGTTTTGTTGCCATTTGTTAATTGAAAATTAAGACCTTAAGTGTGTGTGGTGTGTTTGAAAATTTAAAAAAAAAATAATTATAACATTTGCATGTTATTTTACACCACTAATCAAGTCATTTGCATATGTTGTTGTAGTTGTTTAAATTTTTGGTCAATAATGACAAGAAGAAATTAACAGCCATTAATAAAACAAAAAAATGATGATGATGATGATTTAAAATATATGATACCCACACGCCAACACCGGTGTGTGTGTGTGTGTGTGTGATACATTCGAGTTATGTATTTAGTTCAAATGAACAAAAAAAAACTATATGTACTCATTGATCTATTATAGTCCATTTTGGGGTTGAGTTTTTTTTCTTGGAATTATTTTTTTTTTTTTTCTCAATGACCAAAAAAAAATAGATAAAGTAAAAAAGATAATGATGAAAATCTAATGATAATGGTTCTGTGTATGTGTGTGTGTGTGTGTGTGTTCTGTGGTGTTGTCCTGGTTTTTTTTTCAACATTCGAATCTTTCTATTTATTTCATTGATGATAATGGAGTTGAGAATAACAATGATGATTATGATGATGATGGTGGATAAAGAAAGAGAGAACAGGAAAATGCCTTCATGTCACGTTATTAATGGTGATGATTGGCGTATGTTTGTGTGTAAATGATGTCGATCATGATGATGATGATGATGATCATTGATGATTGTTGGTGTTTTTTTTCTGTATTTCATAGATTTCGATTGATAATGGCACCAGTGATTTTCTTCTTTCTTTGGTGATGATATAAATGTTTAGTTTACCATGATGATATTGGTTGTATGGTCAAAAATGATGAGATGGGTTTTTTTCTTGGTTATTTGACATTGAAAATTTGATTGACAAATGAGTATTAGAAAAAAAACTCAATTTACACAGGCTAAGTTGTTAACCATTGATCATCATCTGATAAAATGTTTTTCTTTTTTTTCATTTATACCTTAAAAAGTGCACTTTTTTTTAACTCTTAAAAAAACTCTACTCCATGGGCGTTGTGTGTGTGTGTGTGTGATAATTTTTCATAATTAAGCAATAAATGAATGAATGATAATAATGGTGATTGATAATGAAAAAAAAAAAAAAAAAATCAGTAGTTGTTTTGTCACCAATTGAATTGATTAAAAAACAAACAAAACAAAACAAAAAAAAATCATTATCTCTTTTTGTTGAGCTTCTCAAAAAAAAAAAAAAAAATTAAAAATCAATCGATCGATTTTTTTTGGGTGTTGTTCTCATTGATCGATCAAAACACACACACACACGCACATTATTTTTTTATTGCTGCGTATTTTATAATTGGGCTCTTAACCTATCGGATGATGAAGTGATCACACGATCATCATCAATGTTTGTTTGTTTTTTTGATTGAAATTTTTTTTCCTTCTATAGATTGATTTGGAATTTCTTAATTGTTTTTTTTTCTTTTTGTTATTTAGATTCTTTGGTTCGATTTCGTAATGCTGATAAATAAACTACGTTTTGATATCCCTTAGAAGCCAATAAAGAAGGATTTTCACTTTCTCAGTCTGGTTTCATTATAATCGCGTAGCTGATTGAATCGAAATAATAACCAAAAAGGAGAAAAAAAATCAATCATCAAAATGTCAATTTGTTTGTGACACACAATAAAGCAAACCGGCAAACAAACTCAAGATCAAAATCCATCATCATACAACACAAACAACAAAAGTCTTTCAAATCATTCATCGTTATCGTTTTTTTTCAAATTCTGAGATCCATTAAATTGCCAACACTTAGATGATAATAATAATAATAAAATGATGATCAAATATCGATAAAAAAAGGCCAAGATCATCATTTTGAACAAAGGAAAAAAAATGCGACAATTATAAAATTCCACATACACACACACACACACACTGACGATAAAAGATCAAATTAAATTCGATTATAATTTTCATTAATTGAAATGATTGCCACAGATCATCAACAACGTTTTATTGAAAATAACAACGATAATAAAGAGAAAACAAATTTTACAACATCGTCTACCTTATCATCATCATCAACATTATTATCATCGTCTTTGTCGTCGTCGTCGTCGTTGATCGAATCACAAATATTCATAAATAATAATCATTATCAACAACAACAACAACAATCATATCCCAATATGGAGTAAGTTATATAAAATAATGATTATTGTAAATGTGTCTGTATGTTTGTGATAATCATCATTTTTTGTTATTCCAAAAACGTTTTTCTTTCGTTTTTTATTTTTCATTTTCCAAATTTGTCTTTATAAATGTGTATGTGTGTGTGTTTGTCCTCTTCTTTTTTGTGATCATCATTGAATTATTCAAAAAAAATTTTCTTCTTTCATTTTTTTTAACCAATTATCAGTAATAACGAACATCAAGGCATTACAAAACGAACTGTGATCATACACAAAGATTCTCGTGGTTATGGTATGCGTATATCTGGCGATAATCCTGTTTTTATTCAACACGTTAATGAAGGTTTGATTTTATTTTGTTGCAATATTTTTTACCATATTTAATGAATTATACTTAATGGTATGTATAGAAGGAGCTGCCTATAAAGCCGGTGTACGATCAGGTGATCAAATTGTCAAAGTTAACGGTACATTAGTAACAAGAATGGGACATGCTGAAGTTGTACGTATGATACAATCATGTGGTGCATTCGTTGGTTTAACATTACATACAACAACAACAAATACTACTGCGGCAACAGTATCGCCAAATTCCAATCAATCCTTGAATAATACCAATAACAACAACAATAATAATAATGGAACCACCAACACCACCACATTAACTTCATCATCATCGGATCTTACTTTACGTCATTTATCACCAGCTAATTCACCAATACCACCAGCCAATAATAATAATAATAATAATATTCAAAGTCATGGCACAAATTCCGTATCAATGACTTCGTCTTCATCACCATTTGCAACGGTTTCCACATCTTCCAATTATTCATCAATGTATCCAATGAATATGGTTATATTGACTAGTAATAATCCAATACAGATAACAGGACCACAACCGGTACCAGAATCAACACAACAACAATATCATGAAAATCAAATTCGTACATTGAAAGAGATGATAAATAAAGAACATAGACATTTGGAAGGATTGAAATTAATGTGTGCAAAACAGACAGAATTGGATAGCTGCCAGAAACGTATCAATGAAATGACATCTAAATTAGAGATGCATCAATCAAATATAACCGCATATATGAACAACAACAGCAGTAGTAATAATCATAGTAGACAACATAGCTTTGAAAATTCTACATCCCCATCTGTTCAGGATTTTTCCTCACCATCCATCATCACTCATCATCATCATCACCATCAACGTACAAATTCATCTGATCAATCAATAATTGGTTCGAATTCTAAATCACCACGTATAATGCCAATGGATGAAGATGTGGATAATGATGCAGAAAATTCCGGTATCTATCCATATGAATATATTGAAGATTTTGATATCGATCGTGATGTTGCTCGACAACAATCTGCTGATTTAACATCCTCAACTGCTAAATCATCAACAATAGGCATTGCTAAATCCGTATCAAATCCTTCGGTTTCATTACGACCGGGTAATAATAGTAGAGATAAGACAAAACGTGATTCGAAAATTATGCCAATATTTGAAACACCAATTGAATCATCAAGTGGTGGTGGTGGTGGATCGATATTAAATCCAAAATCATGGTATAATATACATCTAGATTCATTGCGTATGAGTCGGTATTTGATTCAGCATAAAATGCAACCACCAAATGAATTATTATTCTATGTTATGGCGAGAAATGTATTTCCAAGAATTGTTACATCAACGGCCATTCCAGCTGTAAATAAATTTCAAGTGATACAACGATGGGCCTATCAAATTATAGCCACATTTGTTACAAAAGAATCACCATTATTTATACAAGAATTTCCACCAGATTTTCTGGAACAATTTGATCGTAATCTAACGGCATTAATATCGGCAAATCCATCAGCAACAGATGTTATCGCTAGCCCATTTGATCCATTTTTAATGGCCATCTATGAAACATTACGAAAACAATGGGAAGAATTTATGATGGCAACATCATCATCATCACAGATGATGAATTCGAATCCTAAACATGATCTACAGGCTATTATTGAAATGTTGTTCACAACACATACACATATTTGTATGACACCACAACAACAGCCTAGTACACCAACAATAGCAACAAATTCAAATATGAAAATTGATCTTCGTGATATTGATCCAATATTGGATTCATTTGTTGCATTAGTAAAATCTCATCAATCTGAATCAACAATGGCATTGATTAGTTCATTATTAGCTATTGGTCGTTATATATTCCACATGACAACATCTAAACATTGTTTACTACTTGAATGTTCAGGTCCTGGATCATCATCATCGTCATCGTTTTCATCATCGATATCTTCTGCATTACCTATAAACAGCAACAATTCGACTAATACAAATACAAGTAATAATCTGGCTCAAGTACCAACTTTGAATCCATTGCTTAAATTATCATCTGAATCATCTCGTTCATCAAAATCTGGTCATAAACGTAATTCAATGATACCGATTGGATCGAAATCATTTACATCATCATCTGGTTCCCATTCATTAGGTAATTCATTTGATTCATCATTACTTGCATCATTAACCAATGGTAAATTTAATAAAAATACAGATTTACATTCACATTCCAATGTTGGATCCGGTATCACTGGTAGTGGTGGCGGTGGCGTTGGAAGCATAGTATCATCATCAAATTTATTAGCCAACAGTGGATTTACAATCGAAGATCGATCACATTCATTCGTATCGATAGTTGAAATGAATCATATAATCTACTGTACTAGCTGTATGTTACCTATGTGGGGTGATCCATATACATGGAAATGTACAAAATGTTTAATGTATACACATCAATGGTGTAGAAAAATTGCCGCTGCCAACAATATTTGTAATAATGATACTCATCATCAACATCAGAATTCAACATCATCACAGCAATCACAATCTGGTAGTATTAATAATAAGAATAATCGACGTGCAAAATCGGAAAAGAAATCTGTATTTGAAAAATTTGCCGTTGGAAAACGTCGACGTAATCATCCTAGTGATTTTAATATTTTTACTTCATTAGCTCGAACACAATCATCGTGTTCATCATCATCATCCACATCATCGATATCTTCGGAAATTTCTAGTTCTGATTTAGATGATTTTATTCTATCTACCACAAACTTGACAACACCAAACAACAATAACAACAACAACAATAAAAACACTGTCGAAGATGATGGTTCAATGTTGACAAACAGAAATCAAGAATGTTCAAATATTATAGCATCCACATCGGCAACACCAAATCTAGTGAATCGTTCCGGTTCGTTTGTTCAAAGAAAAAAGAAAAAATCTTGTACATCAGTTGGATCACCACGAAAACGATCCGATCCGGCATTAACTTCACGGCAGATGATTTCAACGATGGCTAACAATGGCCAGAATATGATGATCGGTGGTGTAGAAACCGTAGTTGCTGCAACAAGTGGAACATTACCTCAATTGACTAGTGCTAGATCAAGTGGTGCATTAATGAATTCTGCTTCTGTTGGTGCACATGATTCTGTTCAATTTCGACCAATTACCGGTCAAAGAGCCAAACATATGACTGCATCGGATTCATCATTAATGTCAGTCACATCGCATTCAATGAAATCACGGAATCCCATTCCTGGTAGTAGTAGTAATGGTGGTAATGGTGTACCAATTTTCTCAAATACTGAAAGTCAAAAATCTTCATCTACAAATCTAACATCTACTTCTTCACCGCGACGTACTCGACATAGAAATACAAACGATTCGGCTATTCAAATGGATGGTAGCTCAGAAGATGATATCGATGATCAACAATTGAATGAAAGTGAAACACCAGCTACAACCATATTGAATGAAACTGATGTTGAAAAAACAATTCCACAGCCACCTCCACCACCACCACCGCCACCGTCATCATTAGTGCCACCTCCATTACCCCCTAGACCTGATTCACAAACGGAAAAACGTCGACAAATTCAGATGGAAATCATTCAAACAGAAGAGGAACATTATGAAGTGTTACGACATATACGAAAAATCTATCAAAAACCGTTGAAAAAAGAAAAATTATTCAGTTCCGAACAAATTGATATTATTTTCGGTAACATTAAAGAATTACGTCTCATACATAAGAAAATTTTCGTCAAAATGAATCATGCACACAAACTACATATGCAATCGATGAGTTTGGATTCGTATTATTTGGAAGAAACGTTACATGAAATATTCTGTGGTGAACTTGGCACACAGCTTGAACAGGAAGCAAGTAAATTCTGTGTGAATCGTAAAATTCGAAATGGAACTGAACTATGGAATCAACGGAAAAAAGATTCTCGTTTACGTCAATGGGTCGATTCTGAATGTCGTACACGTTCGATACCGGATAATCCATTGGCTCGTTTAGGTCTGGATGATCTGTTGAGTCGTGTTTTTCAACGTCCCCTTCGTTATCCATTATTGTTTGAACGATTGCTGAAATCGACGCTCAAAGATTCACCTGGCCATCGATATTTGGAACAAGTGATGATCAGTATACGTCGTTCGAATGAACGAATAAATGAAGAAACGAAAAAAGCTGAATTACGTGCCAGACTTGTCGAATTGATACGTAAAACAGATTTTTCCAATTCATCGTTTCAAGTTAATCTTGAACAACATGAATTATTGCATGAAGGTCCACTTATTTGGCGAATTACCAAGCAAAAACTAGTCGATGTTTTACTCGTACTTACTGATCAGATCATTCTCGTATTGACACGTGAATCAAATGATCGTTATGTACTTCGGACACACATTAATCCGACAACTAAACACGAACATCGTCCACACGTTAAAATGGATGATTTATTGATGCGTGATGTAGCTACCGATCAATCGGCATTCTTTTTAGTGTCTAAAAATCAAGATATTATCTATGAATTTGCCGCACAAACAACTAGTGAACGTAAAAAATGGAAAGAAATCATAACTGAAGCTATTAATAAATATCGTACAAATCGTTCGATACCTCATCAATTACAAACACAAAGATCATTCACATCATCACGATCAATGACCATGATGGATCTTAAATCAACTACTACAAATGATTTGATAGCAAACAATCATCCCCATTATCATCATCAACATCAGCATCAACAACAACAACAACCACCTCCATTACCACCGCCGATTCAAAATCGACCATTGCCTAAGCCTCCAATCGATAGTCAACATTCATCATCATCACCACCACCACCAATTCCTCCACCATCAGCAGCATCATTCGCTAATAGACCATTACCACAACCACCTAGTGATTCTACACAACCACCTCCTTTACCTTCGACACCATATCCTACACGGGTGGATGGAAATGTACAAGTGGTCACTGCAAATGAAAGACATCCATCAAATATAGATTTTATACCGTTCTCTCAGGTTAAAATTAGTTCTGAACAGAATCGATCCGGACAGTTAAATCGTAATAAGACCGATGATCTGCAGGAAATTAGTGATAATCTACAGAATATGATTCAAGAACGTCGTCGTTCTGGTATTCGAAATTATGAGGGTAAGTTTATTTAAAGTTTCCGATGAATTCATATAAGCCTCTGTTTTTTTATTAAGATTTAGCACGTGAAATACGTGAAATGTCATTAGTGTATGATGTTGCTAAACATGATGATTCCAAAGAAATTTTAATCCGTCTCATAACCGACATGTTTCGAAAAGGTTTGTTATAATTTTGCTTTGCATTGATAATTCTAATCGTTTTCTCTTTGTTGTTGTTACCAAACATCAGCAACCGAATGGAGCTATCATCTTATACAGGATAATGATCCGGCTAAACAAGAATTATCACAACGTGTCCGTAATTCGGTTGAATCATTTGTTAAATCACATATCGATTCAAATTTTATTCTACCATTACCCGGAGATGATATCGATTCAAATGTTGAATGTCCGGAGACTTTATTCGATAATAATAGCAGACAACCATCAACATTAACAAACGATAATATTAGCGCTAGTCCATCTTCATCATCAGCCATTGTTGAATCGATAATTACACCGATGATGGCTAACGTACGGCTTTCAGCGTCAGCACCAACAGCTCCTAGGCCACATTCGCTGACTCGAATTCGACGATCACTTAGTGATAATTATGAAAAGTCCGATAAAACCAAGGTAAAATTTATATATTGATTGATTTTTCATTTTTTAAACTCTGTTTTTTAAATTAAAATAACAGAAGACTGGACTTGAACCAATCATTCATGATGATCTTGATTCGAATTTGATTGATAATGAAAGTAATGATAATAATTATGATATTGTTACTGAGGAAAATTTTCGTTTTAATACAACACAAAAGCCAAAATTAACTTCAAGTTTATCTCAAACCATAAACGATTCATCCAATATGGAAACATTCGATAATATTACACAGTTGAAATCTAAAAGTCAACATAATTCATCTAGACATTCAGCACCAATCATATCACCAGTTCCATTATCATCCTCATCTTCATCATCAAATCCATTTATTTCATCCGAAATAATGAATGCTGCAAATAATATCATGACCGCAACACCAACTGCAGCTGCAACTACAACAACAACTAATCTAGAGATTAATTCATTAGGTTTTACTGAAGAATTTGTAGTTGTTCTTGATGATGGTGATGTTGTTGTTGATGACGAAAATAATCATCATTTAGATGACCATCCTAATAATTTGAACAACGATAACCATCACCATCGACAACAAATAGACAATGATGATGCTGATGATGAATTGATATCGAACGATGTTGATAAAGAAAATTTATCTATATCGAATACCGCCAATGAACATAATCAAACAACACAAAATATTACAACACCGACTGTGACGACAACAACATCAACAAGTCAAATGTATCTGATTTGATGTTGATGATGATGATGAGATTTATTCTTTCTATTCTTCCAAGTATTTTTTTTTCTGTTATCTTGAAATATGTCTAACCACACCCCCACATTCTCTATATAGCTGTGACATTTTTGTTGTTCATTTGAATGAACAATAATAAGAAAAGAAACAAAGTTAATATTTATTTTCTACCATCATCATTACTATCATCATCATCATATGATTATTGATTGATTAAAATCATCATTTTTTTGAAGTTTGAATTTTTACATTTTTTTTACGAAAAAAATACTTTGTTATTATTATCCTCGTGCTTGAAGTTTGAAATTCTCAAGCAATTATAAATTATATAACAAAGAAAAATATATGTGAAAAACAAAACGAAAAAAAATTGAAAAAATTTATATTCTTTTATCATGGAAAAGATTATTTTGGTACTAACGCATTTGTGAATAATCATAAATCCAATTTTAAAAAGTCGAAAAAGATGTTGTGAATTGAATTATTATATTTATTGAATTATTATTTTATGTATTTAAGCACACGTTGACAGAGTTGTTTGACACGTAAGACACACACATGTATACTTTAATTGTTCTCCATTTTTTTTACGAAAAAAATACTTTGTTATTATTATCCTCGTGCTTGTTTTTTTGTTGGCAATCACACACACACACACACACATTTCCATTTATTTAATTCACTTTTATCATTTTTTAAAAAAAGTGTGTTCAAAAGCATACAAATTCTCAAGCAATTATAAATTATATAACAAAGAAAAATATATGTGAAAAACAAAACGAAAAAAATTGAAAAAAATTTATATTCTTTTATCATGGAAAAGATTATTTTTATTTTTTTGATGAATTATTAAAAAATATTTTAAAAAATTGGTACTAACGCATTTGTGAATAATCATAAATCCAATTTTTAAAAAAGTCGAAAAAGATGTTGTGAATTGAATTATTATTTTATGTATTTAAGCACAATTCTTGTTGAGTCATAGCTCAGAGATTTCTTTTATTTTATTCTTATTAAAATTTGGTTATTTCGTGTTATTCCTTTGTTTTTAACAAAAGATATTAATATCATAATAGTTTTTTCGTTTAGATTTAGTTGCTGGCAATGAATCCAAATAATGTTGATTTTAATAATGATGTGATGTTAGATATGGATGTTTTAGCAATTCGTCGGCTGTCGGACGTTTTTTCGGATCTTTTTGTAGGCATTTCTGTTGACAAAAAATAGGATAAATATGTTGTTTAAAAAATAATTTTGTTAAGAATTTTTTTGTTTGTTTGTTTTGAATTACATACCTTAATAACATTGAGTAGTAAATCATCATCGATTGGTCCATATTCAATATCACTATTAACGATTGCCATACCTTTTTTTAACATATCCGAACCATATTGAGAGAATGGTGTATGGCCATATACAAGATTGTATAGAATAATTCCAAGACTCCATATATCTACTTTTTGATTATATTTAACTTTGTTTTGATTTTCCGAACGTTTTAGAAATGATTCCGGTGCCATATAATCGACTGTTCCAATAATGGAATCTTTATAAACATTAGTTTGATTCGATCGTATTCTATTGGCAATACCAAAATCGATTAATTTTAATGCGCCTGATACCAGTATAAAATTCACTGGTTTAAGATCAGAATGAACAATTTGTGCATCATGGATTTCTTTTACAGCTCCAAGCATTTCTTGCCAATATAATCGTATAACATGTGGCGATAGTTTTGATGATGATAATTGAGAATGTGATTTAAGCACTTGCGATAGATCTGCATCACCTTTTTCCATTACAATAAGCAATTCTTTGCTTTTGCCACGAAATTCATAATCATACATTTGTACAACACGTTGACAATGACGTAAACTTTTGAGCAGTTTGATTTCACTATAAAATCCTTCAACCACTGTTTTATCGGCATCATTTAAACCGACTACTTTCAATGCAAATGTTTTCATATCATCCTGTGCATAAACCTGATAAACTTTTGATGATCCACCTGTACCAATCTGATTTAGGACTAGATAGATTTTATTATTGACAGAAATTTCCTTCATCTTCTTAGCTGAAGAATTAATGTTTTTGGAAGTACCAGAGGATTTTTTACCAGTTGTATCGCCATTTTTTTGTGTACTCTTTAAATGTTTTGAACCAAGATTTTCAACCATTTTGTGTATTTTGGTAAAATCTGATACGGATTTCTGTAACGATGATGAAGAGATTGAATCTTTCACCTTATTGTTATTCGTTGTTGTTGTTGATTTTTTAGAATCAATGTCGTTCAACGATTCTGGTAATGATTTAGATTGTTTTGGTATTGCATCTGTTGTTTTTTGTACAGAATCAAATTTTGAATCAAGATTCAACGGCACTAATCGAGAATGATCTTTTTTCGACATTTCAGGTGCTCGAAGAGGAATTTTCTTAGCAGAAGATTTTTTCTTTTGTGACGTTGATTTTGATATCATAGTTTTCTTTTTTATCGGAACCATTTTTCCAGCAGTCGATAAATCTTTATTTTCATCTGAATTCCAACGAAATTGGCGAGAATCAGGATGTGTTAAAACTGCAAAATCAATATCTTTTATAAATTTTGGTTCAAAATTATCTAGTTCAATTTCAGCCACCGATTCATCAGCTGAAAATGTTCGTATCATTTTATTATTTGAATTAACATCTATAGATTGTTCGGAATTCGATGGATCATTTGTTTGGTTATTGTTTTCATCGTCTTCTTCAATGTATGATAAATTGTTAAAATTTACTTTAGTTATCAAACTAACGAGATCGGCATTTTGTTTTAGTAATTCTTGCCGACGTAATGTTTCTAAACGTTGATATTCATAATAATAATCACTTTTTGAATAGTTATTACTCATGTTACTCATATCACCATCATAGAAACGATTGAAAATTAAATTTGAGTCCATTTCATCATTTTGATTAATACTAATAGTGTTGATGGCTGAAGATTCATGGTGAAAACTGTCATGGTCAAATAATACCCGATTTATGTGCTGAATATCGGACATTGAGTTTTTTTCGAATTTATCACTAATATCATCTGCTGTTGATGACGGTTTTGGTAATGAACTATTAAGGCGACGACCATAATTAAGTTTTGGCGTAATCATTACTTTGGCCGATATGTTTAATTTGTTTATAATATTACTTAAAATTGGATCAGTTTCATATTTTGAAGAATGTTGTGATGTTGTTGATTCGGTTTTTACAATAACAGCATCAGATATAATCGAAGAATCTTTTATTTCAGACAATATAGGTTTCATATTTTGTTCTTTTGTCATTGTGGATGATTCTTGTTTGATGATGATATGGCTGTCATCAACATTATGATCTTTTTGTTTCATTGGTAATCGTCGCAATTTAACTTTAAATCCTACATAATTTGAACGACCATTCTGATTGGAAGAAATTTTAGCCATGACAAATGACAGTAATTGATGAAAGACAAATATCAAATATATGTCTTATATAACCACAAAAAAAAGTAAACAAAAGAAAATTTTTCTTAACCCATGTAATCATGTCTTATCCATGAAGCATACAAAAATGCTAATGAAAAAACCGTTGAAAAATATGCATGCACACACACACACACAGACCGAAGAGCAAACATGCAACCTACATGAGTGGAACAAAGTTCAAATGTGCAAAAGTGCTGCCATCCTTTTTTTATAAACGGAATTTTCATTTTATTAATTTATCATTTTTTTGATACACATCTTTTTAGCATTTGTGGACACAAATATTAAATCAATGTGTGTATCATTATCATCATAAACAAAAACATTTAGACAAAAATAAATTGAAATTGTTTAAATCCGTTGTTTCCATTATTCATTATCATCATCATCGTACACACACACACAAAGAAAATGTTTTATGATGGAAGAACGGTTTGTAATGGGGAGGGGTATATTCATATTTTTAGAATTTTTTTTTTATAAAATTTTGCAATTTTTTTGTTGAATTTTTTTTCAATATTTTGTTTAGTTGATTTTTGTTTTTGTATTAATAATAATTATGATTACTGTGTGTATTTGTATCGTGTGTGTGTGTGTATGCAGGTTATAGATTTTTTTTCGCTTATCATCATCATCATAAAGGAAGTTACGAAATTTTTTTTTGCTGGTTTCTCAATTTTTTTTGTTTGTTTGAAATAATTTTTTTATGGATATTCGACTGTTTTCCGATGAACGCGAGTAGTTTTTTTGTTGTTTGGTTCATTCTTTTTTGACCCTTTCTTTGGCATGATGAGCTTGCAATACGGCTAATGCTTCATCCACTTTAGATCGAAGGATTTCTTGATTTTCAAGCATATGCACAATTTCCTGTATGTCCATCTCGAGCAACATGCCAGTGATTTTGGATGCCAACTCTGGCTGCAATTGATGTACCAATGGATACAATCGTTCACCTGTTTCAGAAAGAGAAAAAATGTATTAGTTTACAGTATTCATTCATTAGGAATAGTTAATGAAAAGAAAAATTTCAGACGAGGGAGCATGATTGTCGCCATCGAAATGCCATCCTTAACGATCAGTGGGTTCAGCTATTTCTAGCTCTGACCAGATGAACACATCTTGGACAAATTTCCGGATAGGTATCATCACACATGATTTCTGCAGATAAATATTCGAATGTTTACACTTTGATACTTACCAAGTAACTGAGTTTGTTCTTCGCCTGGTTGTTCAGCTAAAATCGGAATTGCATTAAGATGAGCTTGTTGTACGCCATGTGATGGCAAGGGCTGACCACCTGATGTTGCTACCATTGATTTGTTTGGGCCTCGAATTCCGCCGGCTTGTGGTCCACGACCTTGACCACGAACATTAACAGAACCGTTTGCCGTAACTGGACCTACAAATGGTCTAGGATGATTGGGAGCAGGTCCTTGCATAACTCCAGGTCGAGGAGCATTTTGATGTCCACGTGGTGGCATACTTCTTTGGAATCCTTGTTGATTGTATGACATTTGACCGCGTGGAATGGCGGCATTTGTATTCCAACGAGCCATACGAATACCACCTGGAGGACCTTGACCACCTGGTGGCATGGCAGCTGGTCCATTCGATGGGTAATAACCACGTTGCATGTGAGTGCTCGGTGCTATTGGCAACAAGTAAGGCTGAGATTGTGGTCCTTGAACGGGTTGTCCTTGAAGACCGGCAAATCCAGCCAACGAAGCAGGATTGGCGAATGGCATCTGTGCTGGAGCAAGTGGATGATGTGGATGGCCAGCTTGTGGAGGCATCGGTTGATGTAAACGGACGTTGGTGGGGCCAAAACGCATTGTGTTTAATTTCTGAGCTTCACGATCTTCTTTACGTTGAGCCAATGCAACATACAATGGTTTCGATTCTATGATTCGGTTATTCATTTCTGTAACAGCTTTGGTTGCTTCTTCTGGGGTGGAAAAACAAACAAAACCAAAACCTTTGGATCGTCCTTTTTCATCAGTCATAACTTTTGCCGATGTGATGGTACCATAGGCACTAAATTCTTTTTGCAATCGTTCATCGTTGATCGAATCTTCAAGGTTTTTCACATACAAGTTGACACCTTGTGATCGATTGATTCGTTCGATTTTCAATAATTCCAATTTACGTTTCAATTCAGCTTCACGTTCGGCTTTTTTCTGTGCACGACCAACATACATTTGCTTGCCTAAAAAAAATATTAAAAGATTGAATGGTTATTATTTAACATGTATCCGAAAAAAATCAAAGACAGACTCTTACCATTGCCCATATCTTTTCCATTTAATGCATTTACAGCTTGTTCAGCCTGATCGGGTGTAGCAAAGCAAACAAAACCAAATCCTTTTGATTTACCATCATCATCTTTAGTGACAACAGCCGATGTAATTGAGCCAAAAGGATCGAATAATTTTTTCAATTTTTCATCCGTATCATATTCATCATTAAGATTTTTGACATAAATGTTGGTGAATCGACGTGGTGTACCCAATTTGTTTTCACGTTCTTTACGAGAAATAAACTTGCCAACATAAATCTTTTTGTTATTGATAACTTTTCCATTCAAACCGCTAATGGCAGCTTGAGCTGTATCTTCCGAATCAAAATGTACGAAACCATAGCCTTTTGATTGGCTTTTATCATCATAAGAAATTTTGCACGACAAAATATTTCCAAAATATGAAAAAGTATCGAACAAAACTTTGTTATCGACAGATTTTTCCAGATTCTTGATGAAAATGTTGCCAACACCAGATCGTCGTAGAGATGGATCACGTTGTGACCACATGATACGAATAGGTCGGCCATTCAATCGTTCGAAATTCAACGTATCGATAGCGGTTTCAGCATCCGATGAATTTTGATAATTAACATAAGCATAGCCAAGTGACCGCCGAGTGATAATATCGCGGCATACACGAATGGAAAGAACAGGACCAACGCTGGAGAATTTCTCGAACAAAACAGCTTCGGTAACATCAGGAGCTAGATCGCCAACATACAACGATGCAATCGGATAATGATTGCCAGAACTGTTTGTATTTGTTGTAGTGGCTGCGGCTGTTGTCGTTGTAGAATTGTTCATTTTTGTTGCTTCGAATTTTTTTTCAAAATTAATTTTTATATGTTTTGCTATTTTTTTGTTATAAAAATGAGTTTTTTTTATATTCTGATGATGACGATGATGAACGAACGAACGAAAGAAAAAATCAAAAGAAAAATAAAATTATTATTATGTTGACCTGATGATAGGATGGATTAAATTTATAAAGGGCAAAAAAAAAATTCAATTTGAATTTGATTTCAAAAAAAATCATATAATTAAATTAAACCACGTGATTGTCAAGTCATGTTCATAAAGAACGTATTGGAATTAACGCGTTATAACGCTGTGCAGTGGTGGCGTGTTGAATTAACAAACTATTACTATTTTCCGACTGCCACGCTAGTTTTTTTTTTGTTTCTGTTTCAAGTGCGAGATGGGTATTTTATCATCACATGACAAAAGTGGTGGTAAAATTTAACGACGTAATAAATGCAAAAATTGAAACGCGCCTGAAATTTTTTCAATGAAAAAAAAATAAAGATCAAAGAATTACTTACCCAAATTTGATTGCGTAAATCAGAAATTTTATCAGTCAAATAAGCAATTTTTTATGTTTTACGATTTTTTTGGGCTTTTTCGTTGTTTTTTTTAGAATTTTGTTAAAAATTTTTCAATTTTTTTTTTTTTTTTTTGTGGTTAATTTTTTTGGGGGGATTTTTTTTCAATTTTTTTTTACTGTTCAATCTAGCATTTTTTAGTTTTGGGTGGTGAGTGATGTTTGTGTGTTTTATGTAAAATAAAACGACGAACGCAAAAGTTGAAGAACTTGGTTGGTGTTTCAGAAATTAATAAGATGGTTTTTTTTTGATTGATTTTTTGGATTTTTAATTTTTTTTAATTTTTTTTTTGTATTACTTTAAGAGATGATGAAAAAAAACGGAAAAAAATAAAGAAACCTGAAGGCAATAACTACCAGCAAGAAAATGATGAAAAAAATATGATGACGCGATCACGTATACACACTCATTATTCCATTTTCGTATTGTACATGCGCGTTCGATTAACTTTACGTTCAATCGACAATACCACTACCTAAAATATAAATTTGTTACATGTAAAGCTGAAATGTAACGAAAAATCATTGGAAAGTAGGAGGAATATATGCACTCAAAAAAAAAAAAAAAATAAACCCCCCGGTTCGGGAAGGATAGAAAATAAGTAAGAAGTATTACACTTTTAGTTTGTGCACTAACTTTAAACTGTGCCGCTACTTTTCAAAAAACCGGGGTGTTTTTTGTGTGTATGTGTGTGTGTGTGTGTGAAAAAGAATGTGTAATAAAGAGGAACCGGATAAGAACTGCGAAAGCATGGTCATGATATACAATTGGGTAGTAGCAAAGAAACAGAAAAAAAACGTGTGATACGTGATTTTTTTTTCCCAAAGGCAGGAGAATTCAAATGATGCAACTTGTAATGAATGATCGAACGTGTTAAACAAGATTTTTATCATCATCATCATCTATAACAAAAAATTAAGTTTGAATAAATATCTATTTGAGTGAAAAAAAAACAATTTTGTATGGAACAATTTGCCCACTACTTGATGATTGTTGGATTTTCTATGTTTTTTCTTTCTCTCTCAATGGAAAAAACGATCTTTTCATGGAACACGAGCTGAATGAATAGAAAGCTGGATTTAGGTCGCCAACTTGGATTTTTCATTAGTCTGTGTATTTTTTTTTTTTTTTTTTCAAAAATACGGAAATGACTTCATTCGATGCTGTTGGTGGTGGTAAAAAAAAAAATTTCATTTTTTCCCAATAAGATTTTGTTTTTCCCGATTTTTTAATTTAATTTGTCAATATTTTTTTTTTGTTTTTGTCATGAAAAACCTATCCAAGTGAGTGTTGTGAGGAAGGCGTAGGAGAACGTAGAATTGATTGATAATCGGTTGGCGTATTTCAAGGTTTTTTTTAAACCAATCACTTTTTCAGTTATCATTATTTGTCAAAAAAATACATAAGACGTTTGTCACATGACCGTTATGTATCCAATCAATCTAATCTAATTGAGTTGTTTTTTTTTGAAATATAGTCATTAGAAAAATTAAAAATAACACATTTGGCACTTTTAATCACTCTTTTGGATTTTTAAAAGTTTAAATTAATTAATTAATTAATTAATAAAAGTGAAAACAAAACACTACATCGTCACCTATTAACAAGAATCAGAACTATAATAATAATTGCGATATTACCGTCATCTATCCAATTGGAACGGAACTAAAATGAGATGATTAAAGAAAAAAAAACTATAAATTCAATTTAATATAATATAAGCTACCCTCCACTTTGGTATTGCCTGTCTGTCTGTCTGCATGCCTTTTTACTCACACAAATTGATCAATGATATCCACACACACACACACACACACACATGGAATTTTAGCATGGTTTCTCATTCACATGATTCAGGACAATGATGATGATGATGATGGATAATGGTGGTGGGTAAAAAAAAAAAAAAAAAATATGGGGATGAAAACAACAAGAAAATGTGTATCGAATATTAGAATATGTGGTGGTAGTAGTATGTACTATAGTAGTGGCAATCAAATTACGAGCTTATATAAGTTTATAGAACTTGTTTTTATTCTACACGCCCCCAACCACAACATTTGTAACTTATTTCCTCCCACCGTATGTGTGTGTGTGTGTATGGAGCATCGAATTATTATTATTTTTTGCTTCATTTATTCCATCTAGAATCATTATTTTCCTATTGTGTGTATGAGTTGTGTTTGTTTGAATCCGCGCCAATCCAATACCACTACTACACGAATATATATCATCATCATCATTCATTCATTCATTCATTCTTATTTATTATTATTATTTTGTAATAATCATGTTAAGTGGTAATCATCATCATCATCATCATCATTATTATTTTAATAAAAAACGATAATAATAATAAATATATCTATACCATCATCATGATGTTGTGCACAACATACAAAATCGGAATAGTAGTAGTGGTGTCGATGATAGTGATGTTAATAATTTCTTTTTTTTGATCTTTTTGTCTAATTCATTAATTGATTTGATGATTGGTGAATAATGAAAAAAGTGCCAATATTTTTCATACACCCACATTGTTGTGGTTGATTATGGTGATAATGTGTATTCCTTTTTTTTGGGGGGAAGAGAAAAATAATAGTACAAATTTTCATTCAATTCTGGACCAAAATTAATTCTGGATTTCATCGATGGTTTAATAATAACATCATCGACATGAATCAATGCCAACAATAAATTGTGGCCGATATATTATCATCTGTTCAATTTGAATTGTGAATTTGAAATTTTTTTAACTTTCAGTTTTCATGACAATTTATGAATGAAATTTCATTGTTATTTGTTCAAGTGGTGTCAATGATGTTTCGGTTTTGAGAGTAAAGTTGTTTTTTTGTTGTTGTTGAAAACAATGTACATTCTTTTGTTGTGTTTGTGTTTTGGCATTCACAATGACTTTTGAAATCTGTTATTTTCATAAACATCGACTGTCAACATTTTATTATTATTTTTCGAATGAAATCCATCCATCCATCCATTCAATCAAAACAAACATCGAGTTAATTGTCTCCATCAGAAAATAATATATACAAACCACGTGTTTGTGATGATGATGTTTTTCGCTGAAATTTGACACGATAATTATGTTATTCATTATATCATTAAATTAAGAATAATGCAAGAATTTCAAAATTCTCTTTATCGTTATCAGATGCCAGAATTTTTTTTTCTTTTGTTAAAATTTAATGAAAGAAAAAATGAAAATTTTTAATAACATTTAATTGGATGACATTGGTACATTGGTTGTGTTTGACGTTGAATAATAATAATAATAACCAAATTTTTTTTTCGACAATCAAAATTAACATTTGCAACAACAACAATAAAAAGGTATTATTTTTGTTAATCTAATAATTAAGTTTAATTGAAATTTTTTTTATCTGCCTCAAAAAATGTGTAGGCATCGAAATCAAAATAGAAATAAAATAAAAAAACGCACGTGAACGACAAACCAACGATAAGATATCAAATCAGTAAGAAGAAGTGAAAAACAACAACAACAATATTTCAATTAAATCATTTTGTGTGTGTGTGGGTGGTATGTTTATTTGTCCATTTTTCATCACCTACCACACTAGTGTATCGAAAAAACCTATTTCAATTAACACACCCATCCAACCACTGGACAACGTCGTAGAAGATCACCTCTCTATACGACAAAACAACAACAACAGGCTGTTTGGTTCTATAAATTCAATGTTTGATTAATTGAAATATTCGCAAAAATGTCCTCCATTTTTCAATCCAGTTTGTTTTTTGTTGCTGCTTTCATAATTTTCATATTTAACATTGAAAAGACAATCATTTCTAGATCACATCATCCATCATTACCATTATTGATTGCGTGATTGATTTGTGATCATAAACGAAAAAAAAATAAGAGAAAAAAATCAAAACGAATCGTATCGAGCAACAGACAAATACGAAAATAAAATAAACCAAAAATGCAAAAAATGGTTTATTCATGTTCCAAGTGCCATAAAGCCATCACCGAACCGATGGTATCGAAATGTGATAATCGCTATTGGCATTCATCATGTCTCACATGTCAAATGTGTGGCCATACACCGTCGGTGGTTGGTGAACAATCAATGTATATGTTTCGTGGTTCATTAATATGTAAAAATGATTATATGCGTATTAATTGCGTTTGTAAAACGTGTTCAAGACCACTAAGCCAAAGCGATATGGTGATCAAAGCCAATGGTTATGGATATATGCATGATAAATGCGTTTTTTGTGGACGATGTCAACATCGTCTTGAAACCGGTGATCGATTCATGCTCACCACTGATCAAATGATTGTATGTCAGAAATGTATTATGCAACAACATCCACAAGGTCCCCCCGGTTCTGGTGGTGGTGGTGTTGGACCGAACGCTACACCTCCACAGCATCCAATGCATTCACACCCACATTCACAGATGGTCAATCCAACGCCTATGGGCCCTATGATGCAACAGCATGGTGGTCATGGGCCACCACCACCAATGCATGGCCATCATTCATCTCCTATGGGGCCAGGGGGTGGAGGTCATCATGGTCATGGGCCACTGCCACCACAGTATACTCATCATCATTCTCAACAACAACTAGGACCACCGCAAAACCATCATGGCGGCCACCATTCACACGGTCAAGGACCATTACACGGACAACAACAAAATTTCGGACCACAACAGCATCAACAACATCCTCATCCTCAACATTCATCACATCCATCCCATACACATCCACCACCACCGCATCCATCTTCAAATTTTATGATGGGCGGTGGACAACCCAATGGATATCAACCACCACCCAATCAAAATAACAATAACGGCTCCAACAATATAAATGGAATGTATGGAGGCCATCACCATCCACATCATCACCATCATCATCATCATCACCCTCATATGGGCCATCAAACAGGGATGGCAAATTCTAATGGGCCACCTAATGGTCAACAACCACCACCCCCTCAATCAGCTCCAAATGGTCTTGGACCTGGAGTTAATAATGCCAACACAAGAGCAACACCGCCAACATCAACGGCAACAAATAATACGACAGGCAATACGACGACAAATACAACATCAACTGGTGGAGGCGGTGGCGGCCGCCGTGGTCGAAAAAGAAACACACAGGTCAAAGAAGAATTTTGATTTAATTTGATGGCTCGAATGCCAAAAAATTTTGTGAGTGGCCATAATTTTTTCTAATGAAGAATCTCGTTTCAAAGGTAAGATTTGGATCCATTTCTTAAACATTAACATTAATCACTTTTTTTCCCTCTTCCACCGCTATAGATTCAAACGATTGCTCAAATGACAAAAAAACTCATTTTTTGAAATTTCTCCTATTCTGTCAATAAATTGCCATTTCACATTCATTCATTCACATACTCACACACAGAGGCAATGATTATTTAGATAAATCAAAACCCAGATCATTCATAACACACACAAATATGGCCAAATTCTCATGAGAATCATCATCATCATCATCGTGTATTCAATTATCATGAAAACAATCATTGAAAGAAATCAATCATAATTTTGAGATTCTTTGTATTACTTGAAATTTTTCTTGTGTAAAAAAAACAAATTATTTTTTCCTTATTCTCATCATCATCGGTCAACTTATGATCTCATGATCTCCAGAATTCCACCTGAAAATACATCCGTACCAATTCATTCATTCATTCATTTGGTTTTATTATTTTCATTCATTATTATCATCATTAATCGATAATTAATTAGTTGAATTTTTTTTTTCTTTCGTTCGTTTGTTTGATAAAACAAAAACGATCGACGACAACAAAAGCAGCCAAAATGAAAACAAAAAATACTCAAAGCTCGAATGTTTTTTTTCTACATATATATATATTGATCATTGGAAATAGTCTCTCTCTCAAATATATATATATGGAGCCAATTTTTTTTTTGGTTTTTTTTCTCTCACTTCCGTATCTGGAATGCCAAACAAAAAAACCCGATTTCCTTCAATATACTTATAAATGATGTACTTACTTATTCATCAAATTATTATTATTCGCACACACACCCACACACACACACTAAATACAATTATCAATCAATCAAAAAAAAACATCATTGAAAAAAAAATTATTTAATTACTGTGCAGCATTACACACACACACACACCACTCAATCATCATCATCATTTTTATTATTTCACATCTTCATTGCCATAATTTTTTTTTCATTATTTGATTATTAAAATCAAATTTGAATTCGAATTCGAATTCTTGGTTTGGTTTGGTTTTGTTATTTATTTAAATTTGGATTATGAGAATAATGCATTAGTTTTGTTCCTACATTGATGATAGCAAAAAACAAATGGTGAATGAAATCAACAATTCAATTATCATTTTTATTGTCATCATCACTATTCATACTATCAACGATGATGATGATGATCCAATTATCGATTGAAGATGGTGAATTGATCACAAGAATTAAATCTGTTAGTGATGAATTGATTGAATTATCACGTATGAATAATCAATCTGATAATATTGATTGTAATCAACGTAAATCTTTTCTTAATCGAACAATTTCAATGTTAATATGGCCAACATCGAAGATTGATGAAACGGTCATCATTCTTTATACATTGGATCATAAATTGATTATTTATCCAAAAGCAAAAACATGGATGAGAGATCTATTCAAAGTGTTTCAATTAACTAATGGTTATGAATTGCCAATGTCAATATTTGTAACAAAATTATCACAACAATTTGATGATTGGTTTCAATTAGCCGAACATGAATTACGATATCATGGTGTATTTGCAATGAAATTTGATGTTAATCAAACAATACGAATGGATTTTGCATTATTCAATTCATATGAATATTCATTAACAACGGCTAAATTTTATTTATATCAATCAAACATTGCTGTTGATAATTTAACATATTATGATAAAGAACAAAAAAAACGTTATGCACGAATAATATTACGTTATATAATGGATGATTATAATACATTCTGGATTGTTAGATATTGGCTACATAAATTAACAATTGAAATTGAACTTTTTCATCATGATTATATAAATAATAGCCGTACTGGATATATTTGTATGGATAATGAAAATGAAATAATACGTTTATCGGATCAATATTGTGAACATTCATTATTTCCAGAATCATCACAATATTTGTGGCCACCATTTGATTTTGGTTTCATACGTGGTCAAATGTTATATCTAGTATTCACGGCAAAATCGATAATATTGACAACACCAAAAACATTTATTGATTCAAAGAAAAATCAAAATCCAATCAAATTATTATCGATTGATTATATATTTCAATGTCATATTGATGCAACACAACAACAACAACAACAACAAACCACTGAACAAATGACAACGAAAAAAATTATTAATCAAAATGATCAGCTATCATCATTATTATCATCAATATCATCATTACCACCATTATTATCATCATTAGGTACGCCTACAATGGATGTTAATGAACAACAACAAAAACAAACACGTGGAAAACCAAGACCACTTGTAACGACATTACCACCGCCATTACAAATGGATAAAAATAATGAAAATATTCGATATGGAATGATGAATATAGTACGTTGGAATAAATATTTAATTCTAATCATTGTTGGTAAATATTCAATGATTGCATTCTATTTACTATTGGATCATTTATTATGATTATGATGATGAATAAAATAAATATACAAAAAACACAGACACAGTGGATGTAGTGGTTATCTAATCTAATTGATTTATTGAAAAAATTCAAATGATTTTAAAATCATTTCAAATACTCGATACTAGATGACGCTAGAAAAAAAATCGTTTTTATAATTTTCAAAATTTCGAATGTAAAATTTTTCTATTTTCAGATAAAAAACAATTATGATGGTTGATGATGATGATGATGATGATGATTGTGTTTCTTTTTTTTCTCTCTATCATCACCATAATTGTTATGTGATAATGATGTGAATATGAATAGGTAGACCATGGTCGATGAATGTGTCAAAAAGATCTATCCATCAAGGATGTATTTTTTTTTTTTTGTTTAATTTTTAGACATTGTCCAGATGTTTTGATTGTATTTGCAAATGCAAACAAAATATAGCCATGCAGAATAACAGTAAACTTTTGTTTCTCACACACTGGGCAAATTCATGATGATTGTTGTTTGGCATAATTATTGTTTTGAGAAACTTTTTGTTTCCATTTTTTTTGTATGTATGTATGTATGATGTCTGTGGCTTGCCAACATTGATTCAATAAGAATCAATCAAAATTTTTATTTTTCTGATATCAGTTCATCTCGAAAAAAAAACTTTTAGAAACAATCGGAAAACATTACAGAGGATTGAGAAATTTTCAATAATTAAATATTTTTATATATCTCAGCTTTTTTGTCTGAATAATAATCTGTCAAAACCATCATTTTTTTTTTGTTCGAAAACGAAAAAAAACAATAATTGCCTCAGGGAAATTAAATTTTCTTTTCCTAGTGGTTTTTTTTGGTAGTTAGTTTGTTGTTGATGAATTCATTTGATTCATCATTTTTATATAAACACGGCCAAAAAAGAGAGCAAAAAGAAATGTTGGCTTCACCGTCTAAAATCTTTTTTCAATGTTTTTTTTCCACTCTAATGATGATTCTATACGGCTAATAATCTGGTATTTTCGTTGATTCTTTTTTTCTGCTCTGTTCTGGAGTCAACTACAACAATCTACAAGATGAAAAAATTTCGATTCAATAACAATGAAACGTTGGATCACAAGAATTTTTTCTATTTATTTATCTTTCTTTTGGTTGAAATTTTGAATTTATAAATGAATTTTTTCAATTTGTGGTGTTCGGTGACACGAATTTCTTTTTTTTTCTGTTGCCACCAGAATTAGAATTGTAAGCGACTTTTTTTTGATGAAGATCTAGAATCTAGTTTGTTTTGGTGTTTTTATTTTTCTTCATAATTCAATTATAAAATTTGATATTTCATTCGAATATAAATTGGCTGACTCTTTTACATTCAATTGATTCAATTTCATTTTGTGGATTTGAAATTATTTTGCCATGTATAAATTATACCAACACTGGTTGGATATTCGTATCGACCACAATTTCAATTCTGGTGGTGGTTATATCATATCAATGATAATCATATTATATACAAACAGGGAAAAAAACTGAATTTTCATTCATTTCATTATTGAATAAATAAATAAACAAACTTTTCTCTCTCTCTCTCTCACTCTCTCTCCCCCATATTATAATTATGGCAAAAAAAAATTTCCACGCATTTAAAATAGATTTATTACTTATTCATCACCAAAAAAAAAGTTTCTAAGAAACATTGGAAGCAAGTTTTTATTCACACAAATTGTGTCACAAAAAAAATGTGGCTTCCAGGTTTTTCCATTTGTAGACTGTCTTGAATCTCGAAACACGAACCCTTTTTTTCCAATTTTAGAAACAAAGTCAGTCAGAAAAATTTTTGTCTCCAGTGTTCAAAAACCACATGAGAGAAAGAACGAAAAAAAAATCCAATTCCAAAAAAAATTGATGCTTAGCCTTTGGGAATGGAATTTTTAAATTTCAAATTTTTTTTAAATCGATTCAATCTTATACAATTGAGAAATGAAAACAAAACAAAAAACAAATCAAAATGAACACTTTTGATTTGTTGTTGTTGTTGTTGTTGTTCATCATCAAAACAAAACAAAAAAAAATTGCACCAAAATTTCTATTTCTTCAATCACCAAGAATCACAGGAATTACAGAATCACAGGATATTAAACCAACCGAAAGAAGGAACGCCCAAAATCAAAATCATGTTTTTTTTCTCGATTCGATTCGGTCGAATGCGGCCTATAAACAGACAAATGCACACACACACACATCGACAACGATTTATACATAAACACTGGTATTTTCAAAGATTCTCGTTTTTTTTTCTTTTGCTTTTTGCTTGCTTGATTCTTCACATTTTATATTGTTTCAAATTTTCCAGAAGAAAAAAACCAAGACAGTAACAACAACAACAAAAAAACTTGAAAAGAAAACAAGATTGTTATTCTTGATGCTTGATTCATTCATTTTTTTCCCATCAATATTTTATTTTTCTGTTCTGGCAAAACAATGAACAAAACAATTGGAAAATTATTCTACCGTAAAAATGATTTTCTTCTTTCTCTTTCTCTTCCTCTCTCTCTAGGTATTAACTATGTTTACCGAAAGGTTTAATAAGGCATACACATGCACACGCACAACCAGAATTTTACTGTTTAAAATAGGAAAGAATTTTGTTCAACTATTAAAGTGGTGATGGTGGTGGTGGTGATAGATCTAAATGGAATGCAAAAAAAAAAACACAAAAATGGCCAAGTATAGTAGTCTCAATAAATGAATGATGATCATTTCAACGATTCATTTAGTAATGACTAGTAGTACTATGACGTAAAACAATAAATTATTGTTATTCTGGAACAATAATTCTTTATCATCATCATCATCATCATCATTCGAGCCGAATCATCAGCACATTCATTGGTCATCTATTTAATCTACACTCACAACACACAAACACGAACAAACATGAAATCAACAATGGCAATCGATCCAGAACAAAGAATAAAATATTCTCTCTCTCCCTCTCTCTGGAATTCGAACCATAAGATGAAATAATAATAAATTTCTATTTAAAATTAATTTTTTTTTCTGTTCAACAACAGTTATATAGATCATCATAATAAATAATTGTCATTCATCTTTATTTCAAATAAATTTATCTTTCACTATTAAAGATGAATAGATTGAATGAAAACATTAAACGGTCAACAGAAAACATTCCAGCAATATATCTATTTTTTTTCATTTCCTATTCTAGTCATTAATTGATGTTTATGAGAAAAAAGATGAAATGAATTTTCATCTTTTCAATCGTTCTGGTTTTTTTTTGGACATGGTGCCAGTTGGTGGTGAACATATATCGTATGACTACATACCAAATGGATGGCATTATAGAAATATAGAAGAAATCGGTCTTTAAATTTTTTTTTTCAATTCTCCAATGAACAATTTACAATAGTGATGCTAGTGTAATAGGAGTTATTACTACACATATATCGATAATATTGATATAAAAATATCCCACACACACGCACACACATCACCAAACTCAAAATATTGAACAACCAATGATCAAAAAGTGTTAAAGAAGATAAAGCACAAACACACACAAATTCAGATTTAGAAAACGATAATTGTATACAAACACTCCAAAACGAAAAAAAAACTCGAGAGAATCGTGTGAATTTAACGTTTTTTTTCTCTCTCTCTATTGTCTCAAAAAAAATTCTTTATGGGTGATTCTGGTGTGCGTGAGTGTGTTTAGGGAGAATAAAATTGTTAAATTACGTCATTCAGTACATACATAGTGAGACCATCTAAAATATTATCATTCTTGGGTCACTGAGAAACTAAAACGATTTTTCTGAAAAATATCATGTGTCGAACGCAAAGAAAAAAAAACGTTAAACGAGCGAAACGAAACGAAACAAAATTTAATCGGATTAATGGAATTAAACTTGATGAAAATAAATAAAAAAAAACACTGCAATCACTGAATTTTTATTTTTATTTTTTTTTTTTGGTACTTGCTCCAAAGACCAACCAATCAACCAAATAGCAAAATAGAGCGGAACACAAAATCAAAACGAACAGAAAAAAAATGTTTTTGATTGGCAATAAATAAATAAATAAATGAATAAATCGCTGTTCCACAGTGGTTTTTCACAATTTTTCTTCATTTTCGATTCATCTCTTGTGTGTGTGTGTGTGTGTTTCATCGCTCACATATCATATCATTCACAATTTTTTTTTTTTTGGTAGGATTCTGACTGATAGTCAAATTCCTAGGAAAGTTTCCATGGAATTTTTTTTTTTGATTTAAAATTGCAAAAACAAAATAACAAAGAATGAAAATAATAAGGTATCACACACACACACACACATAGACTGGATAAATGTTTTTTGTGTTTGTGTGTGTGTGTGTGCGATATATTGCTGTCAAAATCAAAATGAATGACAATGAATAAATCGGAAATTCGGAAAATGTTTTTTTTGGGGGGATTCAAAAAACAACTAAATCCAAAAGAAAGCAAAAAATTTTTTGTTTTATTTTTTCATTTGTCAATTTTTTTTGCAACAATTTCAACATGACTTGTGAAAAATAAAATGAAAAAAAATTTACATTTTTAAAATGATGAACAAAGATAGAATGAAGAAAAAAACAAAATATGCAAATGAATAATACTGAGCTCTAACTAAATGAAATTCATAATAAAAATTGATGATGATGATGATGAGGTATTTTGATGAATGAATTTTGGTTCCATTTCGGGTAATTTTTTAATGTTTGATGATGATTTTTTTTATTAATTCCAAATTTTTGACGTATCGGAAATCTATCCCGTGTCGATGTACATCATAATGAATTTGTAGATGACGATTTGCCACCACCACCACCACTACCATCATTCATTTGTTGTTGTTGTTGTTTATTATTATTTTGTCGTTTACATTTAATAGCCGGTCCAATCCAAAGTCCATCATTACTGCATAACATTGTTATTGTTTCATTATTATTATGATCAAAATGTAATGGCTGTAGATTATCTTCAAATTCTTTTGCCAAACGAAAACCATTGTCACAATGTACGTGAACAATATCACCGACATTATAATGGAATTTAACCGGTTCATAGTAGCCATGTAATAATTTTGCAGGATATGAACAAACTTGTTTGCCTGTGATGGGTGTAAGTGAGTGGAGGAAAAAGAAAATAAGAATCAACATATATGCAACAAAAAAAAAAAAATAAGGAAATGGAAAACACGCAAAAAAAACCAATCGAAAAAGATGTAGAATCATGATTTGATTCATACGATGAAAGTAAAATTTTGCATTTACTTTCAAATCAATTTCCTTAATGAAATTTTTTTTTTTTTTTTTTTGACGACAAAAAAATGATTTACCTATTTTTGAATTGGTTTCATTTTGATTGAATTGAATTTCAATTTTCAATTTTCAATCTGAATTTGATTCACAAACAAAAACAAACAAAACAAAACAAAAATATCGAAAACTTATCGATGCTGAAATCATCAACTATTTTATCTTGTTTGGTTATTTGCTGCTGTCGTTTGTATTTTAACAGTGAATTTCAAATCAGTTAAAATTTTCTATTTTTCAACAGCAAATCAGAATCGGTATGAAAAAAAAATTTCATTTTCGGACAAAATTCTCTCTCTCTCTCTCTCTCTCTCATTCTGTTTTGCTGGATTTTGTTAATATCGTCGTCGTCGTTGTCGTATTCGATTGAAATCGAAAAAAATCGTGTAATGGAATCGTCTTTGTCGTTGTTGTTGTTGTTGTTGTCGCCAACGGTGGAAAATGTAATTCAATTTTTTTTGTCAAGAAAAAAAACCTGTATATCGATGTGAAAAAAAATGTGTAAAGAAAAAAAAATTTTCTACGAAGCCACAGCAAGTTCAATAAATGAACCAAAAAAAAAACACACACACACAAAATTTTTGTCAAGATTCTGGATTCAGTGTATCCAGAAACCAGAAAAAAAAGAAAAGCCTGTCTAGTTTGTTTGTTTGTTTTGATTCTACAAATAAGAGAAAAAAAATTTGTATCCATCTGGTGTGTAGCCATTCTTTTTTTTTCTATTTTCATTTCGTTTACACATACAGGCATATCACATCAATAATTAAAATTAAATGTGACAGAATGGCGAAAAACTAACGACGACTATGGCGTAAGAATAAATTAATACTTTGTAGCTTATAAACAAATATATATGTCTGTACAGGGAATATATGTGCAAACATTGAGATTTCAGTTTCAATTTCAAATTTCAAGTTTTTTTTCCATTTTCTGGATTAAATTTAAATCTTTTACATCGACCTCAAATTGAATGAAAATATGCAAATAGAAAAAAAAGTTGAATTAAATTGAATTGAATTGAATTCCATTTTCTGGAATCGAAAGAAAAAAAGCTTACATTTTGGTGGCAATGAAGACCATTGTTCAGTATGTAAACAGGTAATAATATCCGAACCAATCATACGATAACCTTTACGGCAACCGAATTGTATATAATCACCGACAAGATATACTGTAGTGGTTGTTTGATTAAACAATGATGATGATGATGATGATGATGATGATGATGATAATTGATTACCACCGGATTTAGATTTAATAATTATCTTTCCATTCGATGGTGGTTCCGGTTCCGGACATTGTAGCTCTAAATATAGAAAATAGATATATAAAGAAATAGGAAAAAAGTAGAAAAAAATAGAGATGTAACAAAACAAAACAAAAAAAATGTTAATAGGATCATCATCAATGAATGTTTACGAAATATAAAAAAAAACCAAACCAAACAAAATGAAACGAAACGAAATGCTAAAATACAAGAGCAGCAAGAATATTCAATCAATTTATTATTATTATCATCATCATCATCATCATCATCATGATTATGATGATGAAGAGGAGGATAATGGAAAAACAATTTGAATATATTATTATCATGTGTATAGCATTGAAATGGCCATTATTATCTTTTTTTTACATCATCTTCATAAATTCTATAATCATTATCATCATCATCATCATGACGATAATAATAATAATAATATTCTGTATATATACACGTTTTTTTTCCCGGAATTCAACAGATTCATTCATAAATAAATATAGAGAATGTCTCTTTCAATTTTTTTTTTTTTTTTTTTGATGATAATAAAAATTTAACGAATCATCCATTTTTATGTTCATGTGTGTTTTGCTGTGCAACAATGCATCAATGTATTCACCCATAAATAATATCATTATTGTTCGATCCAGTTAGTTGTTTTTTGGTAAAATTATTATTATACAACGTTATTGTATTTTTTTTCTTCTTTCATCCATCTATCCATGTAGTAGTAGCAGTAGGTGGATGGGTGGGTGGATATTTAGATTCCAAATGAGACATAATCATCATCATACAAAAAAATGAAATGAGATCAAACAACAACAAGAGAAGATATGTTGAACAAACACACACAAATATTGGATGATGAGAATCCATTTATAATATATGGAATATTAACACAAGGATACAAATTTAAAGATTGTTTAGTTAGTTTTTTTTTTGGGAGAGTTTGTTATGAATGTATGTTTTTTAGCCATTTTCATTATTACACTCATCATCATCATCATCGTGATTAAGAGCTAAAGAAATGGATGACAAAAAAAAAAATTGGCATCCTTCATGTATTTATAGCACCATATTATTATTACTTTTTTATTATTATTTTTCTCATATTTGTTCAACAACAACAACAACAACAACAACAACAGCAACAACGAGCGATGACTGCAAATATTATACAAAAAAGATGAGCAAAAGTAAAAAAAAAATGGCAGAAATTAATTGGAATCGGATCATCAAAGAGAGAGAGAGAGAGAGAAAGCAAAAAAAAAATGGAAGCCATCAACCAACTTTATACTGGGCCCACACACACACACACACACACGTTTTCACATAATCACCAATAATGAAAATGAAAGCATTAAGCACTATTATTATTATTTGCGCCTTATTGGCTAATGATGATGATGATGGTAAAAAAAGACAAGTCAAACCATTATTATTATTTTTTTCAGAAAGAAAAAAAACCTTCCGATCTTAAACTAACTATATAACCAGATTCAATGATAGGATTATCCTCACCATCATTATACAAAAAAAAAAAAACATTGAATTCATCATCATAAGATTTTTTTTTTGTTTTGTTAAACTTGTTTGTAAATGAAAAAAAAACGAAAAAAAAAATCCGTATCAGCCGAATGTTTTTCTGTGTTACATTAATAAAAAAAAATAAAAATCATTATTAGTCGACTACGGCGACAACAACGATATTAAGTTTTTTTCATGGTTCTCTCTAAAGTGAAAATGGTTATTTTCTATTTTCTATGTTTCCAAGTATGTATTCATCACAAACATATAAACAATAATGACCATGAAAATGGTGAAAATGAAAATGGATCTTTAATTTGGAAAACATTGGCATTGCAAAATAAAAGGAAAATTTGTTCATCACCATCATCATCATCATCATTTGGAATGAATTCATGTAACACATCAACAATCAAAATAAACCAATATAATAAAAACATTGAGAAAACAAAAAGAAATTGTAGCTCTCAATATTCTTTCTACTTAATTTAACCTAAGAAAACAACAAAATGTGGCAAATGTTATGTTTTCATGTGTGTGTGTGTGTGTGTGAGTGTGTGTTAACCATGGTAACAGAAAAAAAGAAGAACCAGATATCAAACCATTTCAAATTGAGAATTTTCTTTATCGTCTTCTTATATTATATATAATTATCATGATTGTATCTCATCGTTTCTGTATACAACATTATACCATTAGTGTTTAATATTGAATAAATGTTTCAGAAAAAAGGCAATATTTGAAGCGTGAAAAAAAAAATTTTTTCTTTTTCCAGTTTTTTTAAAATGTTTAAAATGGAATAAATATTTTTCAACACAAAACAGACTAAGACAAACTGAAACTTGATACGAATTTTACGAATACAAAAACGGAATGGCCATTTTATGATAATGAAACAGAGAAAAATGAAAATGAAAATGAAAATGAAAATTAATTTTTTTTTCTCATCTCAATTTAAATACAAAACTTAAAAGCAGCAAATTTTACATTACATTCAGTATACAAAACAAACACAAACAAACAAACACAAAAACAAAAAGTACTATGGCTATAAATTTCATGTTGAAATGGGAAAAAATTTACTTGGAATTCAAATTTCATTTTTTTTTTTTGTTCTGTTTTTCAAATGAATGAATTTAAATTTCATTTTAAAACCAATATAAACATCGTTATGAAAATATTTTTTTTATTCATTCATTTGATTCTGATTCTGATTCAAGATGGATGATGATGATAAAATCCATCGAGATTTGAATGAAATTCCCTTAAAAATTTCAAATTCATTTTTCGGTAGCAAAACTACCCGATCTATTTTTCATCTGAATACACCCCAAAAGAGAAAAAAAACGGCCGGTAAATGGAAAAACCATAAAAAAAACGAAAGAATCAACTATGTAGAATACATACACACAAATTCTTGCTGTCAATCACATACATATGTATGAGTGAATAGAACCACTATCTTTTTTTTTTTTTGTTTTGTTTTGTTTTGGTGTCAAAACGAGCAACAAAAAGAATTGCTGAAGCCATTTTTTTCCTGTTTCAAAACAAAAAAAAAATTAAACATAAGAATCCAATTGAATTGAATTGAATTGAATAACAAGAGGAAAACTTTTCACTTAGAAATGTTTTTTTTCTCTGATGTGTGTGTGTGTGTGTGTGTGTGTGTGTGTGTACATTGTGTTACTCATTGTCATTGTGTAAATGTTCAAGTTTATAATTCAAAATTTTATTCTGTTTTGCCTTGAAATTCTGACAGTTTTTAATTTTTTTTCAAAAATAGCAAGCTGGTGATATCATTTTTTTTCTACCCGAGAGAACGATACACACTGGTTATATTTATTTTTTTTTTGGACCCGAACCAGCCGGTATTTATATTATTGAACATCACCCTATATAAATATACTACGATTGACAACAACAACAAACAATAACAATACAAAGCAGAGAGATGCAAAATGGGAGATTGTTTTCAAAAAAAATACAATCCAATTTGAAATCTATATCGTCGCTGTTATCCATAACTTTTTTTTTCATTCAAAATGAATTTTGGACTAAATTATTCAAATCATATGCAAATAAGGGACAATAACCAGAATCAGAATCAGAACTAAAAAAGTCCAATAATAATAACTGGGAATTTTTCGTTCTACTGTCAATGGAATTTTTTTTTTTTTTTGAATCAAATTTGAATGGAACAGAAAAAAATTTTTCATTCTTTTTTCTATCAATGTCATGCTGTTCGGTTCGGTGGTTTACCACCACCACCACTACCAGACTATTGTTTGGTCATTGTAACAATGTATCTCTATATTGAAGGAAAGATTCTAGAATTTGAATACAAGCAAACGAGCAAACGAACTATTGAATAAATGAATAAATAAAACGGTACTTACGTTGACATTTTGGAAATGTTTCACTCCATTCATTATGTATATGATCACATTTGATTAATGATGAACCAATCAAACGATAACCGATTGGACAACGAAATCGTAATGCTTGTCTATCTAATAGATGATGATTATTATGATGGCCATGATGATCATGATGATGACCAGACGACAATGATGATAGTGAATGGCTGAAAAAATCATTATCAAAATCCATATCATTTTGTTGTTGTTGTTGTTGCTGCTGAACATTTGATGATGATGATAATCGTTCATATGTTATAAATAGATTTGGATCTAAATCTTTTAAATTCACATAATCTGGGCAGCTTATTTCTGTCAAGTGAAGAAAAAAAATTGATAAAAAAAACAAAACAAAACAAAATAAACAGACCATTCATATATTTCATCATCAGAATTTAAAGAAATGGGAAAAAAAACACAACAGAATAATCCATGTTTCATTCTATTGGCATATATATATATTTTTTTTGACTGATAAATCATTTTTTTTTTCGTTTGATAAAATCCGATTTCACACACACACACACAACGGAATGAAAAAAAAAACAATAACAAAAACAAAATGATTCTCTAATGACGTTAGATTCTTTTTTTTCTGACTGAAAAAGAGAATATAAATAAATAAAAAAAAACAAGAATATCTTTGTGTGCTTCATCAACCGAAAACAAAATGAAACAAAAAATAAAAATCTTACATTCATAAGGATTATATACATGGTGGAAAAATCTTTTGTTTTTCCATAGTTTTTTTTTCATTTGTATTCGATTCATAAACTCTACAGTAAAAACAATCATGCATTTAGGTAATTCTTTGTAAGATTCTTTTTTACCATTTTTTTTTCTCTCGCTGGTGGTGGTGGAAACATTTCTCTCCACATGTGTATATGGGAAATTTTTTTTTTTTTTTGTTGTTTTTGGCTGTATACTATGATATAATCTATTTTAAATGTGCAAGTTTAAAACGTTTAAGACGTTAATGACAATAACGACAACAATAACGGATAATCAAGATCTATCGACATACACACACACACACACACACACACATGACATTCCGGTTACGATACAATTACCGTTTATTTTTCTGGTAAATTTTTTTTTTTTTTTTTTTGAAATTTCCTTCATCACCATTATCCATTTTTTCAAAGAAAATTTAATGGCTGATAAGAGAGAAACACACACACATACACACAAAAAAAAAAATTTTATAATGGGCCAATCATGCCATGATGATGAAAGAATATCGTGATGGAAAAGATGAAAAATCATTTTCTTTTTTTTTGTCAAGTAATAATAATCATTATCACATCATCTGTGTGAATTGAAAGGGAAAAAAAGTCATCATCAATGAAAATCAGGAAAATCATCATTATCTTATTTTCATTTTGTTCGGTGTTACCGTTTTTGTATTTTTTTTTCTCTCTTGTATCAAATTCATATTATCATTGCTGTCGTTCTCATCATTTGTGTGTGTGTGTGTGTGTGTGTGGTAATGACGGATGCATTTTTTTTCGGTTGGATCAATCACAAATGATGAATGTGAATGAAAATGACAGCTGATTTTTTTTCAAAATTGATCATCATTATCATCATAATGATCGATAGATGTAGTGGATAAATTGGAAAATTTTTGGAACGGTATTGTATCGTATACGGTATTTTTTTTAACGAAAAAGGAAAAAAATACGATAAATTCGTTGCACAAAAAAAAAATTTCATATTTGAAAATGTGTATGTGTTGAGTGTTATGGAGCAAGCAAAAAAAAAACAGCGGGCCAAAAAAAATATAATTAAAAAATTGTTCATCCAACCGATAATAGCCGACAACTAAATGATGCTAGGCCTGCTCATCATCATCATCATCATCATCATAATCATAATTTGGTTTTTTCATTATAAGATTTTATCATTGTCATCATCATCATCATCATCATTTTTTTCTATGACGATGAAAATAATAGACTTAATCTGTACATTTTTTTTCACTTTCCATATTGAAATGAAAAATAAACCAAAATCGATCAATATTTGTGAAAGGTATTTATAATAATAATGATAATAAAAAATCAAACAGAAACAATCATAAATACCTTGACATATTGGAAATGGATGTGACCAATGACCATTCGGCAGACATTTAACTTCACGATGACCACCATATAAACGATAACCATCAATACAAGAAAAACGTATACGATCATGCATATGATAACCAGTTTTTGTTGCTAAACGATTTGGATCATCACGATATGGATTATGTTTATCATTATCATTATCTATATTTTGTTGCTGTTGTTTCAATTCTTCTAATGATGGACATTGAACATCTAAAATGAAACAAAAAAAAATTCACCATAATAATAAAATAAAATCTATTTCAACACACATACCTTTAACAACAATATCCATATAGTTGCTTTGACCATTTGGTGTTGTACATGTATAACGTCCGGTATCTGTTTCACTTGCATAATAAATAGCTAAACGATATTTCCATGAATGTTTATCGGTTAATATTGCCCATCCAGTTGTATGTGTTCTAATATAACCAGACAAAAAAAAATGCATAAAGATAAGATTCGTCAAAATTAACTATATTCATACATAGCATACATAGACAAAGCTTGATTCATTCTTTTTCATATGAATTTTTTTTTCTATAAAAGAAAAATTAATGCAAATTGAGCAAATATTTGCATCATCATCATCATCATTATCATTTTCATTTTCATTCATATTTGCATTGATGCAAATTTTATTATTATTATCATCATCATTCTTATGTAATAATGTAATCATCATTGTTGGAAATGAAATGAAATAAAATGTTTCTGATGCTTTTGCTGCTGCTGCTGCTGCCTTTAAGGCATTACTTATTTATCATGATAATAAGGTACTAGTAATGTGTAAATGATAACACACACACACACACACACACACGGACAGAAAAAAAATAAGTAAACAAAATTCTTATGATTCTGATTGTATGATATTCATGAATCAAAGAATAAATTCTTTCTTTTTTTTTTTGCTTTTGGATAACAATGATGTTTTTTTGGGTGTGTGTGTGTGTGTGTGATAGAAATACCATTTTCCCATTTTACAATGAGAATATATCTAATGGCTATTTATTATATTATTTTTGGATGGATCTAAGATGCATGTGCAATGGATATTTATTCAAATCATAAATGTAAAAAACAAATTCATAGAAATGGTATATATTTATGCGAGAGAGACAAAAAAACCATTACAATGAGAATGAGAGAGATAATATGATGATGATGATCTTTGTATTATAAATTATAGTCACACACACGCAAACACTTATTCATAAATAAAATTTTTCTCAAGCCGTAGGGAAAATTTTTCATTGTGATTTGTTCGGTTGCTTTTGTTTTGGCCAAATATATAAGTCTCTCATGTGTGTGTGTGTGTGTGTGTGTTTTGATTTGATTTGCAGCAAAAATTCGATACAAAAAAAAAATCACTGAAATAAGATGATGTTCAAATTCCAATCATTCATTCAAATTTAGCACACTCTCTTGATCCATTTGGGTAATAAATTTCCAGAAGAACCAAAAATTCATCAATGAATAAAGTGAATTGATAAATAAATAAATGGGAAAAAAAACATCAAGTATTCACTCTTTGGATGTTGAATGAAAAATGAACTATAACAAACCATTGCTATGGAATCATTTTGTCTTTCTTTCGTTTTTTTTGATTAATGTAAAAACTATCATGATGATGATGATGATGAAAGGATGTGATCACACACACACACACACACACTGGGAAACATAATGTGAGAGTGAAAGAAAAAAGGAGAGCTTGAAGATGATGATAATCAATGATATTGAGCTTTATTCATTCATTGACTTTTTTTTATTTGATCATTGATTACAGTATTTTGTTGTCGTTTTTGTTCAAAGGACCACTGTCTATACAAAACTAATGATATTCGATTTCAATGGAATGAAATTTTCTATGGAAAAAAAACGGACGGATTAGGAATAAAGACAACGACAATAATAGCACAAATGAAGAAAAAAAATATCGACAATAACAACAACAACAACAGCAAGCAAAAAAGCTCTATTTCTTTGATCATTAATTAATTATAATATATATGGAGAAATGAGTTTTTTTTTTTCTTTTGTTTTTTTTTTTTTTTTTTTTGTTGATTCAGAATTTCGTTTGCAATTATAGTATAACACAAGGCATGTTTATATAACAGCAGCAGCAGCAGTAGCAGCAGCAGGACTTGCAAGTTAAAAAACTTTCAAGAAAGATCAAAAACAGAATATGCGGTGAATTAGTTTACCTGATGTTAGCCGATGATCCAGGTTTAGATTGTTGATAATAATGTTTACGACGATTTTGATATTTATTACGTCGTAAATGTTTATTTCTAGATAATGAATATTGATATTTATGTTGTTGTTGTTGCCGTTGATGTTCACTATTTTGATATTCCATTTGATTCGGATTCCAATGTTGTTCATTCAATATCTGTGTATGATGTAATTGATGATAATGATGTTGATCAAATAATGATGATGATGATGATGATGATGAATCAATCTTTTTGTTATTGTTGATTGCAGTACCATGTTGATGTTCAGAATCATAATATATTTGTGGTATATCCGATACTGACCATTGTGGTTGTCCAAATGTTTCTTGAAATACACAATCAAGATGTAAAATTGAACCAGGTGATATCACAATTTGTGGCTGCTGTTGTTCATTTTGTTCATATATTTGTTGTTGTTCATAATAATCATCATATGATTGAAATGATGATGGATATGAATCATCATCAAAATCATTAATGCCCAATGTACCATCTAATAATGTATAAAGAATACTTGGTGGACTAGACACTGATTTTGTTTGAAAAATGCAAGAAAAAAAGACGTTCAATGTAAATGTAAACATCGATATATTTTTCTAGAAAAGACTTACATGAAAAATTCATATGTAATGTTGTTGGTTCACAATGTGGAATCACCGATTGATCCCATTTACCATCCAAACATTGTATGGTATCATTTCCATTCATTGTTGTTAGCTTAAACATTCCAATTTCTTTACATTTTACCTATGATGTGTATACGATATATAGGAACGGTATTATTATTGTTTACAAAACGAGTGCTTTATTTATTTTTTTTTTTTGTTATTTACCTTAATAATCGATCCATGCGGTAATTCACGAGGTTTGGTTCTATAATTTTTTTTCATTTTTTCATCATAATGGTGATGATGATGATGATCATCATCATTATTATAATAATTGTGATTATAAGTATTTTTTGAATCAATAATTATTATCGAACCATTGGCAATAATTGGCACACGGCATGATCGCAAAATTGGTTCATATTCATCGGCTTGAAATTATTATCATCATCATCATCATTATTCATTTTTGGCCACCATTATTAATTATCATGTCATTGAAAGATTATATTTCACAGCCATAATGCACCATTTATTTGATGGTATGTGGTAAATGGAAGAAAATTTTATCCCAACATCATGTCATGATTTGATGAAAATAATCCGATCAAAATTGATAATAATAATAATATAATAGGTAAAGAATTGAAGAAAAAAGAACAACGAAAAATTAGCGCAAAGAAAAAAAAATGGCAAACATTTGGAACACAACGTGAAATTCTTCATCATTCAAGAATTTGTCTGTTATTCGAATATTCGAAATTAAGATTTTCCGAATCATCCACGCACACACACACATGTAATACGCCCTTTATTTTTTTGTTATGTAATGTTTTGACAGATTAAGTAAAGAGAAACCACTAGTCATTATCACCACACACACACACACACACAACAACAACGATTCTGATTCTTTGTGTTGTCAAGAAGAATTCCATTTATTCATTATTTCCAATGATTTGATATTATACACACTCAATGAATCAATAACAACAACAACAACAACAGCAGAAAAAAGTTTGTTATTTATTCATTGTCATCATCATCATCATCATCATTAACAACAACAACAACGCGAAATCGAGCGATGAAATTGATTAACTCTCACTTTATTTATGTTTGTTTGCTTATTGTCGTTGTGTTTTGAGTGCCGTATTTTGTTGGAATAGTCGCCCAAATCATTGGAAACGATCATTGAAAGCTTGAGAACGATAAACGAAAAAAAAAACTAGATTTAAACCATGAAACATACCAGAAATATTTATTTTCATTAATATAACACACATACACCCACACACACACACACAGAGAGAGAACTTGAAAACTCTTTTTGCCAATGATGAAACTTTTGGACACTCACACCACTATCCACCATGTTAATTTGGTCCACTTTGGACGACCAGCAAAAAAAAAAAAATTACAAAAACATCATTCCATCATCATCATCATCAATACATTTCATTATATATCGAAAGAATTTGGAACAACTATTTTTGTGTGTGTTTTGTTCAAGTTCTAATTAGTTTGATGATCATGAGATGCACAAATAGTTTTTTTTTCTTGTTTCAACTTGAAAAAACTCTAGTCGCTAAAATTTATCTATACATGGATTGGTCAATGTTATTTTTTTTGCCCCGTTTGATTCGATAGATAGATAGATAGATAGAGAATTGCTTTACTTTTCCTCTATTCGTTGAATTCAGTGGCCAAAACACATTTTCCGTTTTCTCTACTTTCAATGTTTATCTGTTTGGTGTTTATTTATAGAAAAATCTCATTGTTTCGTAATAGCCGGACTAACCAAAAACAAAAAACAAAATAAAAAAGTTTGAACAACAACACCACCAACAATCATCATCATTTTGTTTATTCTGGGATTTTCAATGTTTAATTAAAACTTTTCTCTATTCATTTCTCAGAGAAAATTTTATCTCCAAATTTTAAAATTTCGAAATATTTATAGAATTCGAATGTTTTGCAATAAACAACATTGTTCAGGTGTGTGTGTGTGTGCGTATGGGCGTTTGTTTTTTTTTCTAAACATCCAAATCCGGTTATTTTCGTGGGATGAAAAGAATTTTTTTTTGTCGAAACTCTTGTGTTATTTATTCAGAATTTTTTCATTTTCATTAAATCGGCTTTTTCTCTCATTACAACAACAACAACAATAATAAAATGGGAGTGAAACTTGAATATAAAAAAAACAACAATTCCCAAATGTAATTCGGTGGAAAAACAAAAAACAAAAAAACAAAGATGTTATTTCGAATTAATTTCGTTTGTTTGACCAAAAGAAATGACCAGTTTTTTTTTGTTTTATTATTATCAAAATTAATTGCATTATTACATCATCATTTTATTTGTGTGTGTGTGTGTGTGTCTCTCTGTTTAGAGAAAAGTAATAAATAAAATATATATATAATCTAACCTCATGACATCATTAATGTGCTCGAGGGCCATTCATACACAAACAAAGATTTGACCAGAATAAATCTTGATAGTTTTTTTTTACTGTATTTTGTTCATTAAAATTAACCCAATAATTGTATGAAAGAATATATGTTGATGACAAAATATTCTTTGTATAAATTGTGATTTTTACCGCCGTCGTCGTCGCCGCCGCCCCCGCCACCACAATAATTATTGTGGTGTAGTGATATCGTGGATTCTTTTTTTTCGTTCGATCATATTTCGAGCATCATCATCATCATCATCATCATCATCATTGCATGTAGTATTTATATTCTTTTGGGATTTTTTTTCCATTTACCAATTCCAAAAAAATAAATAAATAGAAGAAATTCACTTTTGCTGTTTTTCTCTTTTATTGTTTTTTGTTCTGGCTATGAAATCAATCGATTGATTGATTGATTGATTGATCGATCGATAGATTGATTGAAAAGTTTTTAAAAACAGTAGAATTCAATTCAATCATATGTGAAATCCGATATTCTTCATCTAATCAATCAATCGATGATGATTTTTCTCTGTTTTGAAAATAATAACAAAATTTTTCACTCTGAAACTTTGAACATGCTAAATCACAATCATGAATTTTTTTTTTATGAAAACAAACGAAAAAATTATTGTTTCAGGGCTCTATTCATTCAATATTTTCTTTTCTACGATGTTTATTATCAAAAATGTTTTGTCTATTTATTTATTTGGTTCCAAACGATTCCATGGCGACGACAACGACGACGATGAAACAGAAATGAATGTATTTTTTTTTGTTCACTGGTGAAGATTATCATTATTTATGGATCGAATTATGAATTTATGAATTATTAATAATTACTGTTTGATCATTGTTTTGCTGAATATATTTAAATAATATACATACAAACAAACAGAGATTGTCCATGGTTAGTAATTTACTATTGCATAACAACAACAACAAAAAAAACACACACACACACATAATCATTTACATTTGAATGTCGATTCATCATTGTAATTTTATCCATATACACACACACACACACACAAACAAAAAATATCAAATACTCGAATGAAGATGATGATGATGAATCAGTTTGATCTATAAAAAAAACTATTGGACACACACATTTCCGGTGCTTGTATTTTTTTTATTTTTATTTTTTTTTTTTTTTTGATAGAATTCTATGGAATTAAATTTCTTGTATCGAATTCAAGTGTTTCTTTTGTATACTTGTCATCATTTTGATTCTATTTTCATTTCCGAAAAAAATGATGCATTGTCCTTTGTATTTATAATAATAATTATAATTAGCTAATGATATATTACATTTCCAGAATATTCCTGGCTATTCATTCATTCTGATGGTTCTTATTTATTGAATTGAGCCCTCACCGCCACTATTATTACTTACCAGTTTGGAATGCACAGAATGGTCCAATCCATACGCCATTAAGGCACTTAATTTTGCAGATACGTTTCTGTTTAATATCGATTGTTTCATCATCATTATGGCCATCACTATTATTATCATTATTTTTTGCTGCTGTTGTTGGTGGTGACATAACCATACCGACAAATTGTATCTCTTCAATTGAACCCCATTCACCACCACTAACAGTACCGGCAATATCTGGTGATGGTGCACCATTTACCATTACTTCAGGTGATGTACATGATCCTAATGTTAATGGTGGTTGGTTGTTGTTGTGGTTGTTGTTGTTGGAAATGAATGCCTTTTGATGTCCTATATATAAATGCAAGAAAGAAAAGAAAGAAGAAAAAAATGAATTAGAATCTGAATATAATCAAATTGATGATGATGAATATTTATAGATTTATTATGGAAGAATCATGAAATTCATTATGAAACTCATCAATAAAAACTAATTTATTTTTTTGCATAATGATGCTGCTGCTGATGATGATGATGATGATGATAATTAATTAGAAAAGCTAGAAAAAATGACAGCTACTTTGATGGTGAGATATACAACAAACAACAAAAAATTTTCTGACTAAAACATCATTTTTATCATCACAGAATCATCATAATCATCATCATGTGAATTAAGTTATGTGTAAAACGAAGCAACAAATAAAAAGCTTTAATTATTATTGAAATTGAAATCAAACAACCATAAAAACACCGAAATTTTACCGAATATTCTAATCGGTTGTTGTCAATTTCATCGTTACATATATATCGATTATGAAACAGTAACTGTAACATATAAATTTTTCTTTGGAACGTGATTTTTTTTCATTTCGTTCATATTGATAATGAATTGAACCACCCCCACCCACACACACACCTACATCACAAACACAATTTGCATATCACAACCATTGTTTTCATGATTTTCAAATTACACATGGCATCTTGTATTCTATCTATGCATGTTGAAATAATTTATTTTTCGGAATAAAAGAAAATTCTGTTATTTCGTAAAGTAAAATCAATTACAGTTATGTCAAAAAAAAACAGAGAGAGAGAAAGAGAAAAAATTTCCGTTTATTTTTTACGACTTCATCATCATCATCATCATCATCGATTATGATAATGGCATTTCGTTTATTTTGTTGAATGAAAAAAAAAATTTCAAAAAAATTTTTCATAAAAACGATATGGCTTGACATTTATTCACTCAGAAATAATGACATACACCCACACACACACACACACACACACACACCGACATTGGTCTTATCTTAACCGGATGACAAAATTCTCAAAAAATCGGTCATTATAATGATGATGATCATGATGATGCTAGTTTATTAACCAAAAAAAAAAAAAAAGAAGGAATGAATGAATGAATAATTTTGCTTCATTGAATAGAATCGATTTAGATTCACTACCTTGAATTCATGAATTCTGTAGAAGCAAAAAAAAAATAAACGTTTTACAATGGATGAATTTTATTTCATTTTCAATAGCATTTCATGATCATCATGACGACGGTAATGGTGTGTGTGTGTGTGGCCGTTTTTTTTCGTTTATTCAAATGAATAAATTGATCATGAAAATCGAGAAAAAAAAAGACCTGGCCCGTCTCTCTTGCTCTCTTTCTCTTTATTCAATGTTTGGTCCAAATTTCCATATTTCAGACGGCATGATTTTATGGAAATTTATTATTTCCATTACCATTACCATGTATGTGTGTGCGAGGGATGGCACACTGCCAGAACCAGAATTCAAATTAAATGGAATATATCGAAAACAAAAAATTCTTTTTTATTCCGCAAAAGAAAAAAAAATGAAATAGCTTTTTCCACAATTTTCGTCTCTCTCTTGGATGAAAATCGGCCCAATTTTATTTTTAAGTAAAATTGGTAATGTAGGAGAAACAAAACAAAAAAAAAAAATTTCGTCCGTATTTCAAGGTCATGTAATATAATTTAATAATTTTGATTTTTTTTTCTCTTGTTATTGAAAACGAGACCTGAGTATTGTCAATTGTCGAGTTGTACTTTTGATCGACAAAAAAAAAAAGACAAGACCAATAATAACGAATCGATCGATTAAATAATTAAATTTTTTTTCCCAGATTGATCCACTCTATTCATTTATATAGATAGATAGATGGATATCGATCGTATCAATCAATACGACCTGATTTTTATCTATCACAAACACAAAAAAAAGACTTGTACTTATACTTTGAGATTTTTTTTGTTTTCTAAATGAAGAATACGTGATGATCAATCACTTTGGTTTGAAATGGGAAATTAAAGTTTCATGTCAGAAACACACACAATCATAGTGCAATCACGAATCCAAAGAATTTCCAATAAAAAAAAACTAATTAGCCGGTTTTGTCCTTGAAATGGTCACACACACACACACGCACACACTTACCATCAATTGTAGGCAAATATGATATTGTCGTCGATTCGGACTGTTGTTGTTGATGATGATGGTGGTTATAAGCTTTTTTTAATCGTGCTTGTTGTTGTTGCTGATGTTGATTCTGGAACCTCGTTATATTGATTATGTTATTTTCATTGTAATAATGATGATTATGATTCATTGATGATGATGATGATGATGATGATAATGATGCGGCATTTACTAACTGTACAATCGTAAATTGATGACCATTATTTGAAATTGATATTGTTGATAATATAAATAAATAAATGAAAAATGTGGATATCATTTTTTTCATTATTCTCGTTTGAATATTATTATCTTTATTTTTATTCTGTTGATGATGATGATAATGATGATGTTTATTATTCCCAACATTTATCATCATCATCATCATCATTCTGGACCATGATTGTCGTTTTCCATACTGATGTTGATGATTGGATGATAAAATTTGTAAATTTTTTTCTGCATAATCGATCAATTTTCCATTATCATTATCATAGATGACATTATTTACTATTATGACATTCATATTATTATTATTATTATTATTGCTGTTTTGATGGATGATTGACCATCGTGGCCTTGTTGTTGTTGTTGTTGTTGTTGTAGCTGTTTTTAGAACAATCGGAACTGTCATCGTTGTTGATGTTGTTGTTGGTTTTTTTCTGGTTATTGGATCGAATATATTTTTATTTCTCTTATCTAAACACTGTGCAACCTATATATATACGATGTGAAATTGTTGTTCCATTGATGATGATGATGTTTGAAAAAGGAAATTTTTGTGGTACTGGCTTTTCATTTGTTCAATAGAATGTCATTTATGTGTTTTTGTCATTCATATCAAAAAAAAAAAAATGTTTGTGTTTCAGGATAGAAAATGAAAATGAAAAATGAAAATTGTCATCATCATCATCATCATCATTGAATTTCAAGTGAAATGTTTTTGCGCTTTTTTGTAGCCCTTTCTTTCACTTTTCATTTTCATTTTTTTTTTTTGTTCAAAATAAGACAATTTGAAATATGACACACACACATACACGAAACTATTCTCAATAGAATGATGATGAGAATTTATTTTCGATGATGAATGAATGATTCATTTGTCATTTCATTTCATTTTTTTTTCACAAACGAAATTATGATGATGATGATGATGATGATGATTGTTGAGTTCAATAACAAATTCAACGACAAACTCATGTATCATACACACATACACACACATTTTGACATCTTTAGACCAGACACACTCGCACACACACACACACACAAAAAAAAATTCTTGATGGTTTATAATGTAATGATGATTGCTGAATGACTGAATTTAGTGATTCCGTTCCGTTTTGTTTGGTGAATGAAGAATTTCTTTTTATTTTTTTATGTGTGAAAAAAATTTTCCCTTTTTTCAAATGAAGTTGAAGTTCAATGATGATGATGATGATGACAACAGAAATTATTATTTTTTTGACACAATAATGATGATCATCATTTCATTGTAAACGATTGGTAAATCATCAATGTGTAGATAGTATGGGTAGACTTTATCGATTTTCTCTATTCTTATTTTTTTTCCTTCACAAAACATAATCAACACACCGAATGAATGATATATGGATGAGATGAAATGTGTTATTGTCGAATGAATTTATTCAATGTCAAAAAAAAAATGATCGATTAAAAGTAGATGTTGTGTTTTTTTTCATTTCATTTTCTTTTGTTGAAACCGTAACATACTAGCATGCGTTCTATACAAGAATTGATCCAAACGTCGTGGTGGTGGTGGTGGCGGCGGCGGCGGCAGAATCAAGCTATAGGAATTGGAACCAAAAAAAAAAAAAAATCAAATTGTGAATGACAGATGACAATGGTTTTTTTTTAAAAATTCACAGCTTATGTAAAAGAAAATTTTCTTGTTTCCGATTTTTTTGTTGAAAAAGTTTTTCAAAACATTTTGTCCAACTTTTGAAAGTCTAGGACCAAGACTCTAGGTGTTTATAAATGTGTGTGTGTTTTTTTTTCATATATTCTCGATTTCTTTCATTTGATTGACAATCGATAACAATGTTCCGGTGTATGATGTGTGTTTTCATATTTCAGGGGAAAAAAATGAAATGAAAATAATCGATTGAATTTCGTAATATTGGATGTGGTTGTTAAAATTAATTTGAAAATTTTTTTTTATTTTTATTTTTATTTATCAGCAAATCAAATAGCGAAAGGAATTTTGTTTTTCTATTATTGAATTTTTCATATATATTTGAAATGAAGAAAAGAGAACAACAAAAAAAAAAGAATTTTTTTCGCTTCCATCATCATCATAATAATTGAAATCTTAAATTTTAACTTACCCTTGGTTGTTGAAAAGAATTTCTTCTTCTTTTGCTTTGCTCTGTAGATTGTGAATGAATGAATGAATGAAGATCAATAATAATAATAATACAGCTGACACATCATTCGTTCATTATTTTGGAACAAATGGAAAAATTCTTCTGCTGTTGTTGTTGATGGAACAAAAATAGGACTACCGTAATGGATGACTGCTAGAATGTGACTGAAATACGAACGAAAAAAAAAATCCAATTCCGCTTGTGTGTGTGTGTGTGTGTGTGTGTGTGTGTATGTAAGTGGTGATGTTTTCAGTATAGGAATTTTGAAAATCTAACGCCAGCGCAGAACACGTTATGGTTCCAACATATTATAGCCACCAAGTGTTCATTCATTCATTTCAATGGCTATGAATGAATATTCTGGATCTTTTTTTTTTGGTCGAATTAATTCAAATGAATTGTTCTTGTGTGCATGTTTAACGCATGAATTTTTATACATTGTTTTTTTTTCGTTGTTATACCCTCCTTCATCGTATAAATTTTTTTTTTTTTGATAATTAAGATTGTAATTAATCATCACATTTGATGTAATCATTTGCTTTGTATTTTTTTTTATTTTGTATATTTGTGTTGACACAAACGATAATTCCCGTTGATTAATTAATTAATTAATTAATCAATTATAACCACCGGCTAATGTGATATTCATGGAAAAGAATATTGAACAGAATCTCAATGCCGAAATTCTGTCAACACACTAGAATTGTTGAATTTTTTTTCATACAGTAGAAAATGAAAACAACGTTTACATCGTTTTCTTCTTTTTTTTTTTCAAACCTGTGATGGAAAAAAATTGCTTGATAATTATAAATCAAAAATAGGATCAGCATGAATGATTTTGTAGCCAAAATTTTTTAAATGATGTAGTGACATATTCAATAATTGATTAGATTGTAATCAAAGAAAAAAAAATTAATTTTAATTAATGAAATAAAGAAAACAATTTAAACAATTTTCTATTCACTATTTATTTATCCATTTGCCATTAACAATAATAAACGATGATGATTTATTGATGGAGAAAAAATGCGAATGGAAAAAAGCAACCTTGAAATATAGAAAAAAAAATTTTTCCACGAAATTATAATTCGGTTATTATAAATTTTGTTTCAGGATCAATTGATATTCATGCGTTAAACATTTTGTTGTTTTGATTTTTGTTCTTTTTCTTGTATAGCGGCAATCTCTTCTTCATCTTTGCCCATATATTTAAGTTCACCTTCCAGTATTGGAAAAAATATCCGTGTTGATATTTCGGCCATCTGATCTTCCATCATGGCAAGCATTTTTTTCGAAATCATATCACTGAATTTTTTCAATATTTTTGAATCCTGAAATCTAGTAAATTCCATCTGTATATCTTCAATTTGTTCTACACGTAATTCTCTTAGGCTTATCTTGTTTTTTTTACCAATGGATAAATCAATAAATTGTATTTGATAGCCAACCTGATTGATGAATGGTGCATCCGTAACACTATAGCCAACCAATTTCAATGACATAACACCTTTCATACGAAGATTATATGCTTGTAAACGAAACCGTAATACAAGATCATCACCATCATTGGTCATAATACCATTACCATATCTAGTCATATTGGCCAAACCATATACGGTTGCATTCGATAAACGTATTTTACATTTACCATAACATGGATCCCATGAAAACATGAATGTTTCCACTATATCCATTTCATATTCTTCATGTAAATTATATTCTTCAATTTGGCTATTTTTCTTCAAACCATCCAACATTTGATCAATTAAATTATTGGTAATTGGATCAACATCATCATCATCATTCATACCCCAATCGCTTAGATCGATATTTGATGTTGATGATGATATTGGTTGTTCATCTATGGCATTTGTCATACTAACTAGAAATTTAAAAAACAAACAAAAAAATGAATAATCAGAAAATCCAATACTAATACAAAGTGAGAAAATAGACTTACCGATGATGGAAATTATGATGAAAATAATTCGGGAATACATTTTTCAACGCACACACACCACACACATATACACACACCACACACAAATACACACACTTACAAAGCAAAAGATTAGCAAACGAAACAAATGAACAACAAACTATTAACATTCATCGAATGATGAATGTAAACTACTGAGAAAACAAAACAAAAAAAACGATTTAAATGAATTTTTCTTCTTCATTCGATTTGATCATCGAAAAACGATTCACGATTCGAATGAAAAAATTCTATTCATTTAAATTGTGACTATAACTTTGATCTAACTACATCTACATTTAATAATTCATTTCATTCATTAATTTTCATTTTGATTGTTTTTTTTACACATTTAATAATGAGAATAATTTTTAATCAATTTTTTTTTGCAAAGATTCATTCTTGCATAAATTTAAATTCTTCAATTAGAATTTCAAATAATGCACGTGATAATACACGACGAACATAATAATTGAAATAGGTAATTATTGCATTGGTCAATGAATCGATTAACCATCGTTCATCATCATCATCATCATCATTGCCATGAATAGTTTCATTGGTCAATGGATTGTAGGTTTTTGTAAATCGTATCCTTACATTTTGAATACGTCTTACACGTAAACTTATCAATTCTAATCGGCCTTTTTTACGTGTTGCAATTTTCATTTTAATTCGTATCGAACCAATATGACTACGTGTTGGACGGCTAAATACTTCCATTTGTCCAATAGTGAATTGTAGTATTGATTCAAGATGTGCATTTTCAATACCAACAACAAAATATGCCAATAGATCATTGGTACCCGCTTCATTGGTTATTGAACCATTCGATACACGTTGGATACGTGATAGACCATGTAAAATACCATTACGTATGATTAGATGACATGATGATAGACATATATCGAAAGGTATCAATCCAAGTTGTTGATGTATCTCTAATCGATAATTTCGATGTAAATGATATGGTTCAATATCCGTACGATTACGTAAACGTTCAATAGCATCATCGATCAATCGATTTGCCAATTCATCCACTTTATCATCATCATTACCGGCATTATTGCTATTGCTAATATTTCCGTCATCTGGTCTAACTATTGGTGAATTATAGTTAAAAAAAATTTACATTAAAAAAATTTTTCATTATTTACCAGAAATGATTGATATAAAAATGATGATGATGATGATGATGGAAAATGATAATGGTGATTTGGAATTTATCATCTTTGGATCTTAATTTGGTTGATATCCGGGCAGTTATTTCGTACAAAAAAAAAAAAATTCAAGGTATGCGTGCGTGTGTGTGTGTGTGTGTGTGTATTGTAGTATACACCACAATCAATAAATGAAAAATCAGAATTGATCATTTCAATCGATTTTATTCTATTGATTGATTGGATTTTTTTTTTTCATTACGAGTGCACATGTGTATGTGTGTGTTTCTGTGTGTGTGAATGAATGCAATCGAAAATCAATCATCAAAAAAAAAACAAAACAAAACAAAAAAAGATAATTATTGTTTATCTGATGATTGGCATAAAAATTTACGGCCAATTGATTTTGTTGTTGTCGATCGAAAAAATGTACAATTTTGAAATAAAGTGAAAATTTTGGTGGAAAATAAAAAAATTAATGACATGATAATTGATTGGTGTGTGTGGATAAACAAAAATTTTTTTGTAATTAATTATAAAAATTAAAGGATGAAGTTTTTTTTTCTCAAATGCTAATGCCAAGTTTATATTATATATTCAAGTTCAATTTACACTTGACAATACAAAATGTAAACCAGAGACTTTGATAATTGTTTGAACATATCATCATCATCATCATCATTTTCTAATCATAAATTGAAAAAAATGATGATGATGTTCACATGTCATGATGTCATATATATATAAATGATGATGATGATGATTTGTTTTAAATTTTTTTTTCTATAGAAATCAGAAAAAAACTCGATAATTTGACGACTTGGATTTTTTTTTTATTATTGTTTTTGATCACGGTGTTGACGGTGGTGATAATCGAAAAAAAAAAATGGCAACCAGTACAGATTTTTATGAAATTGCATTACAACGTAAACGACAACATGGCTGTACATTAATATCGATATTATTTATGGCAATCATTATAACAATGTTGATCATATTCAATAAAGAAGTTTTTGATTATTGGCATTCAATAATGGATCCATATTATTATCCACCTGAATGGGACAATAATCAAATGGCTATAATGATGATGAATAATGGTGATGAGAATAATAATCAAGATTATACATATGATGATTATATACAGTTACAACAAGAAAATGTTGATTATCAAATGAATCGATTATTAAACAACGGTAACAACAACAAACAACAAAGGCCGACAATGAAAAGCCCAAAGTGTTTGTGAAACATATCCTCCTATAATAGATTAATATCAGCGTCATAATCATATTCCATAATCATTCATTCATTCATTCATTTATTGTTTAAAAAATTTTTATATTCAATTTTTTTATATTAAATTTGTTGATGAATTTGACAAGTTACCATTTATCTTTGCACTATGATATTTGATCAGTATTTGTATTGTATTGTATTGTTCTTTAATCACATGCACAAAAGACACATTTACATTTTTTTTTTTTTTTTTTTAATATTCCAAAACTACACATTCCATCATTATTTATTGTGTTGTGAGCATTTTTTTCCCCATATTCCACCTGTCATCATCATCATCATCATCAGTATGATAATAAAAATTAATTTATGACATGAAAAATCCATATGTATTATCAATAGATTTATTTATTATATTCAGGAAAAAAAGAGGATGATTATAAATTTTTCTTTGTTTTTTAGATCAAAAAAAAAAAAAATCATCATTCGATGTGCAACAAAAAAAAAAAAAAAAAAATTTTTGTTGTTGTTGTAAACCTTGGTTGTGTGAAACAGAAAAAAAAATTTATTCCATTTGATCATTGAACATTGATGAAATTTCCATTGAATCATTAACCATTGTAATCCATTGTACATTGATTTGATTTCACCCAGATGATGACAACAACGACGACAACAACAACAATTTTATCGATTGAAAACGAACAAATCGATGAACCAGGATAGTAGATCATCATAAAATAACCCGGTATGTTTACCACTTTTTTTAAATTTATTTTTCATCATCAAATATTTTTATATAAAAAAAACGTATACAAGGCCAGAATATGAACAAAAAAGATTTGAATAGAAAACCACACACACACACACACACACACACACGAAACGATCGTTTGGACATTATTCTGATGACCATTCTAATGGCATTTTTTCATTCCATATCGCATTCATAAAATTCAAATGGATGCATCCATTCGAATCGAACACTATTGTGATGTTGATCATCATTTCGATGATTAAATGGTTCGATTGGCCCATACATATACTGAGACGCTGCTGCTGATGATGATGATGGTAATGATTCTTGATTATGATAATGATGATCATCGGATGACATGGATAGAACATCAACATATGCACGTGCACGTAAAATTTTCTCCTCATATGAATCGGCATCATTCATTTTATTATTATGTTGCTGTTGGTGAATGAATATCATATCATCAGGTGTTGTTGAATGTTCAATTATACCTAAAATATAACAAAATATATATCAGTTATATTGAAAATATCCAAATGTGATAATCATACCTTGAACGTATGAACATTGTCCAAACCAAATCAATATGATACATAAGAAAAAATTCGTATAAAACATTTTGATATCCATATTTTTGTCACATATGACTTCAAAAACGAATAGAAAATGAATGAATGAAAGAATGGTGTGATCATCATTAGCAATTGTCGAGGTTATTTATATATATATTCTACTAGAATATTACGACGTCATCATCACTATCATTATTTTTTTATTTTTTGCCAAGAATCGTATGACTTGTTCATTAGAATCGTATATTTGTTTTTTTTTCTGCTGTTGTTGTTAATCATAATCAACAACAAAATATATAGCGATGTAATCTTGTTGTTGTTCTTCATATGTTCATGAGGTTGTTGACAATAATAATTATACAAGTCTTACGATGTCAACCAATAGTGATGCCAATCGTTTCAATGACCCAACCAACTACCAAAATTAATGGCTAATTATAGTATTATGATTTGTTGTTGTTGTTGTTGTTGTTGTTCGATACAATGTTTACAATTCTTTAACAATCTGGCAATTTTTTTATTATTATTATTGTCATGTAAAATGAAATTCGATTCGAATCAAAAAAAAAAAAAAAACAGAATTCAGTGCTCACATCGCCATCTACTGTCATAAGTTGTTGTTTTTTATCTTTCATTAAAAAACTTTTTTTTTCCAAATTCCTGATTAATAATTTGGTTTTTTTCCATTTAAATGTTTGTCTTTATCAAATCTGGTTATTTTCTATGACAATCCACGTTTTTCTAACGAAATATGTCATTGATATGATGATGGAAAAAAGCAAAAAAAAAAATTAAAGAGAAAAATATGCAACAAATTGAATTGAGTATGTGATATAACAAAAAAAACATTGCAATCATACAAAACAATTGTGAATGATGATAACCACTTTATCGAATGTCAAATGTTTAAGCTTGTGATGTGTGTTTATGAAAAAAAACACACATGATTACATTATTCTTGAATTAAAATTTCTTTTCAGATTTGTATTGTTTTTTTTATTCTGAATTAAAAATAATTAAACCGAATTGAAAATAGAAGCAAAAAAAAACATTCAAACATTTTTAAATATATAACAACAATTAAAAGGTTTGCCAAGTTATGTGAAAATAGAAAATATTTCGCTATGCTACTACTATGACAAACAAATTTTTTAAATAAAAGGTGTGTGTGTGTATGATTCATTGTAGTGGTATTCAATGTTGAACTATTTTAAAAACCAGATCAAAAAAGGTAGTAGTATATCCATGATGAACAAGTTGGTTTAAATGATTAACACAAATATATGCTTCTATGACAATTTCTACACACACACACACACGCTACATGTAAATTATTTTTTGTTTTTCGGTGTGCTTGTATGCTCATGTGTGTGGTGTGTGTGTGTGTGATGTAAATGTTAAGCTATTGAATGTTGCCAGTGAAAAAAAAAGAAAAGAAAAAAATGATGACGAATTTTGAGCTCAAATTCTATTTTCAACAAATATTCAGAGATATTCAAAGTAAAAGAAAAACATTTTGTTTTGATTTCAATTTTCGACTTTCCTTTTTGTCATCGACTAAATAGATAAAATCATCATCGTCTTATGATCGATTACTTTGTAGGCCAAAAAAAACGGGCCATTTCTTTCTCCATCAATTTCTTATTTTCATTTCTCCGATGTTTGTCTTTGCTCATGTTTTTGTTTTGTTTTTTATACAAAGAATCTGATTGTTTTTATTCAATCAAAGAAAAATTCAAGTCGTCATTCTGTTTGATAAGGACTTATTTTACATGATATTTCGATGATCACATACAGGTATGTGTATTTGTGATTTTTTTTTCATTTCGATCATAATCAAAGTTAACATTTGATTTGTTAGATAATTCATGGTGGTTGTTGGCATTGATTACAAATAATTGTTGTTGGTTGTTTTCTTATGATTGATTGATATTGATCAAACAAATGCGTGTCCATGCCATAATCAACAACAACAACAACAACTAAAACAACAACCAACAAAGACGACGATAAAAATGTAAATTTTCAATTAACGTTTAAAAAACCTTGCTATCGAAAGCGACCGATCAATTATTAGCCATGTAAACTTTTTTTTCTGGATTTAATAATAACTGGTTTATAATCATGGTCTTTTGTTTTCCTCATATCCATGACATATATCTTATCATTCCCTAATTTTCTTCAAACACTGAGATATATTATCCATCAAGAAAAAAAACAATCTTAAAAAATTGTTATATCAATCAATCTATCTAATTCTTCATTCTGATAGAACTTGATCATATGCATCATCATTGTCCTGATCACTAGGCATTAACGTTATCAGCAAAATCCAAAAAAAAAAAAAAGACAGCTTAATCTTCTTTTCAGAAAAATTTTCAGAAATTTTTTTTTTTTTGATGAAACAAAGTCGATCATCATCATCATCATCAAGGTATTTAATTTTTATTTTCCACACCATCAATGACATCTAATATAATATTATTGCCTATGATGATTATAGGATCATATATTTATTGCCCATGCCCATATTCAATGTTGTTGTTGTTGTTGTTGTTGATTGGCAATCATTTTTGAAATAACTAATAAACGAAAAGACAACATCAAAAAATTAACGTCGACACTAAAATCATTTTGACAAAAAGTTTTTTTTTGTTGTTTTCTGGTCACAGATTATAACAGATCTCTATCATAAAGACTTGATATATATCAATAATCAGCAATTTATCCGTAGAAAGAAAAAGAAATCTCATCGACGAACAACGACTTGAAGAAGCAACAAAATTCTATCTATCGATCGATTCCGTTTCAATCTTTCAGAGAAAAAAAAATCGATTCAAATTTTTAAATAAATTAAAAATAACGATCAAACCGAAAAGAAATAATGACTGCCAATACGGCATTGTCGTCAACAACAACGACGACCACTATTAGTGGCGGTAGTAATCATCATCATTCATCATCAATGACAGGCACACATCATAATAATCATCATCTGGTGATAACCGGTTCATCATTATTATCGTCATCATCAACAACATCATCATCATCGGGACGTTGTGGACCTTCATTAATTAAATACAGGTTAGTGTTGTTTCCATGTCATAATTTTTTTTCATGCACATATATAACCTAAATTCTAATATTCAGGTCAGGTTTAATGATAGGACCATTAACAAAATGAATTATTTTCAGTGTGTGAATTACCTAAAATTATTGGTTACAAAATGACATTGATCTCATTATAATTTTCCAATTATAATTTTATTCGATTTTCCCTTCTTTTAACGATGAAAGAATATTCTTATTTGTTTTACACTGTCACAGAATTGAAATTGACTGTTTATCAAGTATTTTTCTACTGTTTCTCTCTCTCTCTCTTTATTTATTCGTCATTAACCACAACCACAATGATAATCGAATTTGTTTTTTTTTCTCGGTTATGTCAACAAACACACCAGTATATATTGTTATTTTCATTATTTTAGACACGAAAATTTCCTATTCGGAAATAATAAAACCAATATATTCACTGTGTATGTCCGAAGAAGATTTGAAAAACAAAAATAAAAAATTCTAGTTAAATTTGAAAGGAAAATTACTTATCAAATGTTTGGTGTCTTTTCGTTTAGTTTATTTATTTACTTATTTTTATTATTATTATTATGTGTCTGGTCTATTTATAGTTAATAATAATATTTTGGACAATATTTTATGGAAAAATTTCATCATATGATAATTGTAGGCGAAAAAGAAAAAAAAATTGCTAAATGGATTATCTTTGAATCCTTTTTCCGTTGTCGATTGATTAATTTGGTTATTTTGTTTATTTATTCGAAATGATCCAATCGATTATTGAGAAGAGGGTGTGTGTGTGTGTGTTCGTAGTTATTTAAATGATCATCATATATATTATTATTTGCCTGATGATTTATCAAACACACTCATATTTGATTACGATAAGCTGAATTTGGTTTCAGTTTATTTGTATCACGCTTATCGAATATCATACACTATTCAAATGCGTGTGTGCTTGTGTTGGTGGTGGTGGTGGTGGATGATGATCACATCGAGAAAACATTTTAATTTTTTTGGTGCATTTTTTTCCTCTATGGTGATGATAATATATTACATTCGTCGTATACTTGACGACAATTTTTTTTCCACTGTTTGATCTCTTGTTTCATTCATATTTTTTGTACATTGTGCTTCTGATTTATTTTACCGTTTTTAGTTTGATAAACAAATAATAAACAACAATTCTGGAATTGATTTTTTTTGTGTTCATTTTGGTTCACTTGAAATCTAATTGAATTTTTTTATTTTCTTTCTTTTCCACTTTTATGTGTTTTGCGATCATCGATGCCATTGATTTCATTATCAACAATCGATGGTGGTGATGCCATTTCAATTGAATTCAAAAAACGTTCCTCATTACGACAATCACCATCGTCGTCATCATCATTGTTTGGTGGTCTTCATTCATCTCATAATAAATCATATAAAAAATCATCGATTCATGGCCATAATCCGAATCAATTGGTACAACCAAAATTTACTGAAATTCGTAATAGAAATTTAAGGTTCCTAATCACCGATAAACCGACTGATGCTACATTGAATCAATATGTGGAGGTATGTTATCAATATATATTGATTGAATCGATCTGTTTAATTTGTACAATTATCAATCATCAAAATTAATAATTAGGAACTACAACGGCGAAATGTAACTGATGTTGTTCGTGTTTGTGAAGCAACATATTCACCAAAACGTTTGGAACAGGCCGGTATTAAATGTCATGATTGGGCTTTTGATGATGGTATGTAATGAAATATTTTCAACTTTAACAAATTAATTTATTGATCATTTATATTAATTAAATAGGAACTCCACCACCACAAAAAATTATTGATCAATGGTTGGAATTAATTATTGAACGTTTCAAAGATTGTCCGATACCGCCATCATCATCATCATCATCATCATCCAGGTCTGATCGTAAAGTTAGCTCGGCAACAACAAATCTAACACCGGCACAAATTAATGGTTCGAATAGTGTGGAAGGATCGCCTGGATCTACCGCTGCTGCCAATATTGATAGCCAATTGCCATGTATCGCTGTCCATTGTGTAGCCGGTTTAGGTAGGGCGCCTGTACTTGTTGCCATAGCATTAATTGAAGCCGGTTTAAAATATATTGATGCTGTCGAAATGATTAGAGGTTGGTGATTTATTTTTTTGTTGATAATAATTGTGAATATACGATATAATTGATTTATTTATGTTTTTTTTTCATTTATATAAAATAGCTGCTCGACGTGGTGCAATCAATGCTAAACAATTGGACTATCTAAGCGAATATAAACCGAAAAAAGTGTTGATGTTTACTAATCGTTCATCGTCGAAACGAAAATATTGCTGTATCATTTAAAAACATTGGAAAGAATTTTTTTTTGGATCATGAAACACCACACACACACACACACAAATGACCACTTTAAATGGTGTATTTGAAACACGTGCCATTTTATCATTATGTATGTGTGTAAAAGGTGTTTGTATGTGTGTGTGTGTGTGTACGATGTTTCTATGTGTGATGCAATATAAAAAAAAACTGATCAATATCATCATCGTCATCGGAAAAAAACCATCCATAACAATCATTATAATCGTAATCGAGAAAAAAATAGCATCTCCATCAAAATAAATTAATTATCATTGTCGTTATTTTCTCACTCCAGATAAGTCCCCTTCCAATCAATCAATCAATCGATTGTCCGACATTTTATTATTTACATTTTTGTCATTTTTATTATTATTATTATTGCTACAAGAAAATGAAAATTGAAAATATTCAATCACCTTGATTCTTCTTGCACCCCATAACATTCTCCCAACACTACACTACACTACACACACACACACACACACACAGCCATGAAATTTCGATTTATTTAAATTAACTAATTTTATTATTCAGAGAAAGAGAGATAAAAACGTGACACACATTTTAAAAAAAACGTGTATGTGTGTACACACTTGGGAATGATTTGTTTTACCATTCATCCCCCTTTTTTTTAATTTCTTAACCGATTTTACTCGAATTTTTTTTCCTCTTCATATTTTACACAATACAGGGCATTTTCGAATTATTATTACAAATACCTACATACACACACACACACACACACACACACACACAATACTGACATAAGCTTATTTCTTTAAAAAAAAACATACACCACACACCCACCTACACACACACTGCATATACTACTTCCTTTTTAAATATAAATAATTATAATGATGATGATGATAATAATGATAATTGTAACTTTTTTTTCCTGTTTTTCTTTCATTTTTCATTTCTGTGCATCACATTTATGTCAACTATTAATTTTATATGAATTTTTTTTCTATTATTTTTTTCAAAAATAAAAAAAAAATTTTAAAAATTTTCATCTTTTATTTCAAATTCTGTTTAATTGAGAACTGGTTGTTCGTTGTTTTTTGTTTTGTTTGAAAATCGAAAATGAAAAGTAATGTGTTTGTTTTCTGTTTTTTCTTGATCGATTAATGGATTTTCCATGGATATTGCCTGCGGATCGTTGTTATTGTTATTCATTCGGCAATCAATCGGCAAAAAAAACCGGATTTTCAAAAGCAATATATCGATTAATGTGGTGTGTGTGTGTGTGTGTGTGTGTATGTATGTTTTAAATTTAAACAGCACTGATTTGAATCTGACAATTCTGTGTAATGTGAGCATCCATCTGTGAAAAAAAAAAGCAAACAGAAAAATAGTTTAGTTTTTCGGGTTTTTTTTTCTTTCATTATTTTTTAATTTTTGGATTTTCCATTTTGAATCGGAAAAACAAAACAAAAAAAAAAAAAAAACAAAAACACTTACACATCCTTGATAAACTTGAACCTGTTCAACAACGGCCATATTTTTCACTGCTTGTTGTCGATCCTGTGCAATCTGTGAACATTGTTTATGTGATTCCAGCAATACTTTTTCCATATCTTTAGGTAGATTTTTATTTTTAATCTCTTTTTCGGCTTTACTATATTTATATTGGCCTTTTTTATCAAACTTTTGTTGAAATTGAAATTAATGAAATTATTATCACCATTTTAAATGTGAATGAATAAAGAAACTTACCCAATTTTCAATTTTCAATGCACATTCAGTAACACTTTGTTGATCTATATAGATTTTTTTTTTTTTCAATATAAAATAAAATTCAATTGGATTAATTCAAATGTTCAATCTATGTTTTTTGTGTGGCCATTATACACTTACGTTGTATAATTTGTTCTTGTGTAAGCGATTCCGATTGTGGTGGTGGATTTTGTCGTAAACATTCTTGTAGAATATTTGATTTTGCTTCAATATCACGTTCGGTTGGTTCTAATTGTGGACATTTACCCCAATTAATTTTCGGCCTTCGTGGTGTTTGATCTGCCGCTTGTGGTGATGGTGGTGGAACAGAAACCGTAGATGGTTCAGAAGCAGCTGCAGCAATTTTTTTTTCTTAGCTGCCATTACCGATGTTGTGGCAGCCAAAACGATGAGAAAAATTGCCAAGAATTTCATCTTGTTTTTATTCGATTCACAGAACAGAAACGTATACACAAACAAAGAATGAGGAATGATAGGAAAAAAAATTTTTTATATATATCAAATTAACATGAAAAAAAAGACAAAACCGTTGTTGTGAACAAAAACAACACCACCAAACACCGTCAATCAAAATCAAGGAATCATGTATCTAGGATCTATCACTTAGAAATCATCAATCAGTTTGAGGTTTTTATATGCTAAATGAAATGCTATCAAAATCAATTTTTGCCGCTAGGCGTTGCCATTGAGTTTTTTGATTTGATTTTATAATTGAATTCGAAAAAAAAGAGTCGAAAAACCATTCGCACACACACAAACAGACAAAGCTAAGAGTAATGTAAAATGAAAATGAAATGAAAGCGAAGAGAAAAAAAATCAAGACGTTCGTTTTTTTTACATTTTCTGTTCCAGGTTGGAAATATGAAAATGAACATTCATTTCAATCATTATCATTATCATCATCATCATCATGGTTAGTTAGTTGTTGTTGTATATGTATCATGATGACATTGAAATAGTGGTGGTGAGTGGTGGTGGTGGTGGTGGTGGTTAATCAAACGTCCATTCTCTAATTCAATGAGATTTTATCGTTATTATTATTTTGCTAAAACTATCATTTTATTCCATAAAAAAATGACATTAACGATAATCATAATAATGATAATGATGATGATGATGATTGAAAAAAAATGCGACATAATCAAAAATGATTATGATAATCACCACTTACAGGTAGCCTTCAAATTATGATCGTACATGGTTTGACCTTTAACTAATCACCCTCCCTTTGTATAATTTTTTTTTTGAAAATTTATCCAATTTCATCATCATCATCATCATCATCGTTGATGATCCTAGATTATTACGTGCATAAACACGATCTGTAATCATGTAACATGTCAATTGTCATCGTTGTAGGCATCGTTTCTTTTTTTTCCAATTCAAATCGAATTAAATTCATCATCTCTTGAATGATTGTGTATACATTGATCATTATTCATAATAACTACTTTGGCATTACTATTTTTTTTTTTTGGAACAAAACGTGTGTGTGTGTGTGTATCATTTTGTTTCAAAAATCATGAATACCATGATTATTTTCAATCCAAAATGATGATGATGATAACTTGTTGTCGTCAAGTAATTAGAAATTATTATTATTCAAAAATTTTGATTGATTGATTGATTGATGAAATTCAAAACCCTCGTTTATTTTACATAGTTTCTGTATGTGTGTGTGTGCGCTTGTGTGTTTTTTCGATGGAAACTTTTTTGCAATGACGATAATCGCTTATCTTGATTAAAATTTTAATTTTTTTTGCAATAAAAAAAAATTATCTGAAAGAAAAGAAAAATCGGGACACGTCACAATTTTTTTTTCGTTTGTTTTACTTTTATTGAATAATAACGATGATGATGATGATCCGATTGAAGAAAATTTCAGTCATTTTTTTTTCTTAAGAATCTTGTTTTTGCCCCATTATTTAATCACAAATGATGACCCAATAAACTTTGAATATGAAAATAGGAAACGTTTATTTTGTTGGATCTTCTAAATCATCATTATTCATTATTATTGGCCAATCTTGATATTCTGTTCATATTCACTACGATATATGTGTTCCAAAATGAAGAAAAAAAAATACTCAACAAAAAAAAATCAATCATCGATTATAATGACGATGATGATTGTGATCCTTGGATTTTATTTTTTTTTTCTCTCGTTGTTGTACGAAATACATGAGCTTAACCTTCATTGGATGTCAAAAAAAAAAAAAAACAAAATTCATGAATTTTGTTTTTTTTCTGTCCATTGTTGTTGTTGTTGTTGTTATTGTCAATAATTTTTGGATTATTATTACAAACAAAAACCTGTGTGCTGCTGTTGCTGCAATTAAATACGATGATGATGTTGAAATCTTAATTCTCGATTCAACCTTTGAATCATAAAAACTTTTTTTTATGATTCATTCATTCATATTGATGATTGAATTGATGACAGAAGGAAAGAGAGAGAGAGAGAGAGCTAGCGAAAAATTTTCTTTCTCTTCGCCCACATTGTCTATCTGTCAATCCTTTTATTCCTAAAAAAAATTCGTTTTTGTTGTTGTTGAAATTTGCATTGCCATGTCATGCCATGCCAAGCCATTTCCTTTTCGTTTTTTTCTCTTTGGGCTACTTTCACAAACACACAGACACACGTCATATTTATTATATTACAACCAAAAGCGACCTTGCCGAGCTCGATATTTATGACATGAACAATCAACAATAAGTATAGTAGACAATCTCCTGATTATTCAAAGTCCATGTACATATAAATTTATTCCGAATGTGTGGAGAAATCATTAACAAATTTATTCTCAATAATTTCATTTCATTTCATTTGCGTTCATATTAACATTTATTGAATAAATTTTCCAATCCATCAATGGATCATTCTGGAATGTGTTTATGAAAAATAAAACCAAAATCACGTGATCAACAAGAGTTGATATTCGTGACCGGTAGATGGCAAACTTGTGATCATTTTTTTTTTTTTAAAAATTTTCAAAAAAAAATTCATAAATCAGAATTTTAGAAAAAATTGTTTTATACAGAAAATTCGACCCTTCACATTTTGATTTTGATTCAAATAAAATTCAAAGAAAAAAAATGCCATATTGTATTGACCATTATAATCATGATTAAATCACACCTGGTGTGTTGTTAGTGGTGGTGGTGGTGATGATGGTGGTTATGACCTAATTTCTCCACCCTTATTCAATTTGAGTTTTTTTTTCGTTGGTTTCGCAGCCAAAAAAAAAAAAATAAATCGTAACCCTAAGCCTCACACCCTCAGCCTCACCAACATCACAAATTCATGTACACACAGACACACACACAAAAAAATCAAAATATTTAAACACTGAAAAAAAACAAGAAAAAAAAAATGTCATAAACCAAATCAATCAATGCATCGATCGATTGTCAATCATAAATATATTTCCGATTATAGATGAACAGAAATAAAACTAAATATACGTTACTGGGGTTGAAGAAATTAATCCAATAAAAAAAATCGACAACAAAACAGAAACAAAAAAAAATTCTAGGTCAATCCATATTTTTTTCAAATTCATTCAGTGATTGGTTCAATGTCGGTCAATCACAAGCACACCTACAAACAAACAATATATCCCATTTTAACCCATACAGACAACAAGCAGGTGTGTGTGTGTGTGTGTGTGTGGGCAGATGTCGATATTTAAAAATGGATTTTTGTATTTTTCTTTGATTCATATTTTGAATTATTTTTAGATTTTGCTTGTCAATGAATGATTTGTATGCATCTAATTATATTGAATGTCATTGATTGGCTGTCTGTTTGTTTTTTTTTTTTTGGTTTTCTTGGTCATTTTTTTCTGATGGATTTTTCTGATGAAACATAAACTTTTTGATTCTTTAATTGAATTCATACACAAGTCTTTCCGGTTGCATTTGATTATGCAGATGTTTTGTTTCGTAATTTCATTTCATCATCATCATCATTAGGTAATAAGTTGTTCATTCAGAAAGAATGGTGGGCCATTCAAGTTCAGAACTCTGTTCTCTCTTTGTGTGTGTGTGTGGAGTATTTTGTTTATATTTTTTCGAGGTCAAATACCATTTGCACAAGTTTACACAAGGAATTTGACCGTTTTTTCGTTTCTCTACTTATAGACCCTCGGGCTTCTCTCTCTCTCTTTCTCTTGCCCTCAGTGTGTGACGACCTCGACCATCAAATCATAACATGGTATAATGATCATGATCAGACCAAATGTCGATTACGACAATGATGATGATGATGATGATGACGACGAACCGTAACCTTTAGCCCGTTACGACGTAATAGACGTCAGTCCTTGTTTTTGTGTGTGTGTGCATGTTTTCTACAATGACTAGTTCTTGACACCACCAACACCAACACACACACACACAATCCAGTATCAAGTTCAACCATCCAAGTACCCCAGGGTCTTACTATGTATGTTCGCCTACGCTTACTAGAGAAAAAAATAAGGTCACAAGGCTTGACTTGTTATGGAAAAAAAATTGACGGTCACATGGATTTAATATTGGTTTTTTTCATAAGGGTTTTTTTCAATTTTGAACTTCCTACCTGGTTATGTGTAAGATTGATAGAAAGATAGATTTTTTATTTTTTCCAGTTTAACAATTGAGAATCACTATTATTACACAAGCTATTATGGCATAATTTTTGTTTTGTTTCCAACAAAAATCCAGACTTCCTTTTTTACCTCACTTCTACCGGTCATTTGTGAATTTTACATTCTCATCATTGTTGTTGACCAATCACTATTGATGATTATTCAACCCAATCCCTTTGTTCCTTGTTCCTGTCTACGTGTGTGTGTGTGTGTTTGTGTATTATTTTTTTTTCTGTTTGATGACAACAGATTTTTTTCAAAGATACCATTATGTTATATTTTTTAGACTTGGGTCAGACATTCATTCCGCATAAAGATCATGGTCAATTTGACCCATATGGTCTCAATGACATTGGCATTGTATTTTGAATGAAATGTGAGGGTGTGTGTGTGTCCGTGTGTTAATCATATCAAAAATCAAAGAAGAAAAAAAAGGGTCTCAAAAGAATCTTTTTCGGTTTATCCAAGGACAAGGCCTGTCTGCCTATCTCTCTCTCTAAGTGTCTATGTCTGGCCATTTGAATGAATGAATGACTTAGTTTTTTCACCTTTCTTCTTTTTCTTTTTCTCTGTGTGTAACAAGGTCAGTATATAATATCTAAGGTCTAAGGTCAAGCTTCAATGTCCATCATCATCATCAATGGCTATCATGGCCACCACCACCACCACCTACTTTCCTAACTACCTACTTGAAAGACCAAACACCCGCACACACACACAC